GGCAGTTTTCCTTTATGATTTCCTGAAAGATACTGTCCAGGCTCTTTTTTTCATCATGATTTTCAGGTAGTCCAATAATTTTTAAATTGTCTCTCCTGAGTCGATTTTCCAGGTCGTTGTTTTACTGATGAGGTATTTTACGTTTTCATCTATTTTTTCATTTTTTTGTTTCTGTTTGACTGATTCTTGCTCTCTCATAGAGACATTAGTTTCCATTTGTCCAATTCTAGTTTTTAACAGATTGTTTTCTTCTGTTAGTTTTTGTACTTCCTTCTTCAATTGGCCAATTGTGTTTTTTAGGGACTTGTTTTCTTCAGTGTATTTTTTTTCCAATTGGCCAATTGTATTTTTGAAGGACTCTTCTACCTCTCTCATTTGACTATTAAAATCCTTCTTGAGCTCTTCTAAGAAGGCTTTTTGGGCTTCAGACCAGTTCATATTTCTTTTGTTGTTGCAGATGTGGGTTTGTTGACAATGTTGTCCTCTTCAGAATTTCTGTCTTGATCTTCACTCTTCTCATATTATGAATCTATGGTATGTTTCTTTTTACTCATGGTGTTTCTTTATTCCCTGGCCTTTAAGGAGATTGTGCTCTCCTGCTGGGGAACAGAGGGTACTGACCCAAGCTTCTTGTGTTGGGAGCCTAGGTCTTGGTCACTGGCTTTGTGTGCTGGGACCTCTTATGCTGGCAATTGGAGGCTGTAGGTTTCTGGCAGCTTACCTCGTGTTGGGCTGGAATCAGCAAGGCTGGAACTTTCAGGCAATTCTAGGTTGCCTGCTTTTCCTTTCCTTTAGCTTTCTTCACCTCCTTTTAGATGGGTGCTACAGGGTGTTTATGTGCCTGGGGCCCTCTTCAGTGTTGTCTCCCTCGGTTCTGCTAATGTACTGGGAGATTCCTTTGTGTTAGAGTGCTGAGGCACCTGGTGGCATTCTGAGCTGGTTTCCACTGGTCTCTCCCCCCCCCCCCACTGAGGCACTCAGAGGTCCAGGTGTTGGTGTTTGCCCATTCTACCACCTGGGCTTCAGGACTTCTTCACAATTGGAGGCTGCAGGGCTCTGACAGCTCACCTGGTGTTGGGTTGGAATCAGCAAGGCTTTAGGAAGCCTTTAGCTTGTTTTCTTCACCTCCTTTCAGATGACTGCCACAGGGTACTTATCTGCCTGGGGCCCCTTGTAGTTCTGCCTGCCTTATTTTTGCTGAGGCACTGGGAGATCCGTTTGCTGGGCTGCTGCACTGCTGCTCCCTGTCTTTCTTCTAGTTCAGGTGTTCCAGCATTTTTTTTGGGGGGTGATATTTTCTGGGTTCAGAGGTTGATAGGGGAGAGTGAGAGCTACTACCTTTTCATTCCGCCATCTTGGCTCCCAGAAGCGGAAACCAAAAATAACTTTCAAAGAAACTCTAATTAGGCAACACACACAAACTAACTTAAGTAACTGATAAATAGCTAGAAAACTTTCTGATTTGGTACATTCAGATTTCTACTTTAAGAATAATTACATCTACAGAGTTTAATTTAACTTAGAAAAGCAACTCATGGGGACCAATGTAGTGGAGTAGAGGCAACAACTCAGTCAAACTCTCTTAATATTCTCTCCAAACAATTTAAAAATAATGCTGGACCAGCACAACTAACAAATGGTCAGAGTGAGACATTTTTCTAACATGGACAGTTAGAAGGAGAGGTTTGTGACACTGGGATGGGGCCTAGCCTGCACACCAGCAGTAGGCTTTAGACGTGGCTGCAACAGTAGTAGCAGCAGCAGCAGCAGCAGCAGCCAGAGCTCTCAGCCCAGAGATGTTCCAGGACAAAGAAGAGCACCAGAACTTGCAGCTTCAGGAGAACTAGGGACCTGGTTCCAGGACCCAGAAGAGCTTGTGGTTGCAGGGTAGCATGGACCATTTTTAGGTAAAGATCACAGACAAGTTGAGTACTGACTATACATACCTCTCCCTGGATCATACCACTTTGGAAGCATGGAAAACTTAAAGACCCCAGAATGAGCTCTGAAAACAGCAGCACAATATAGCTTGAAGCTTGGGACATTGCCAGCCACCCCACCCCTTCCAGTTGAACTTTAAAATAAAGTTCAAAAATGAGCAAGCAACAAAAAAAGCTATTATGATGGCAGGAAGAATCAAGGCATAAAGTCAGAAGAAGGCAACAACATGAAAACAACTACAAGAAAAGCCTCGAAGAAAAAAAATGCAAACTGGACAGGAGCCTAACAAGAATTTGTGAAAGAGCTAAAGAAAGAGAGAGGAGTGGTAGAGGGGAAAATAGGAAAAGAAATGAGAGTAATACAAAAAAAAATTATGAAAAGAAAATTAACAGCTTGGTAAAAAAAAAAGGAGGCACAAAAATATTGAAGAAAATAACACCTTAAAATATAGAATTGGCCAAATGGTAAAAGAGGCAGAAAAATTCTTTGAAAAAAGAACTCCTTAGAAAGCAAAACTGGCCAAATGTTAAAAGAGTTACAAAAGCTCACTGAAGAAAATAATTCCTTAAAAATTTGAATTGGCCAAATGGAAGATAATGCCTACATGAGACATGAAGAAACAATAAAACAAAGTCAACAGAATGAAAAAATAAAAGGAAATGTGAAATATCTCATCAGAAAAAGCAACTGACCTAGAAAATAGATCAGGGAGATATAATTTAAGAATTATAGGACTTCCTGAAAGCCATGATCAGAAAAAGAACCTAGTCATCATATTTCAAGAAATTATAAAGAAAAACTGACCCAATATCTTAGATAAGTAAAAATGGAAAACGTCCACTCATCAGCTCCTAAAAGAGATCCAGAAATGATAGCTACCAGATATACTGTAGTCAAATTCCGGAGCTCCCAGTTCAAGGAGAAAATATTGCAAGCAGTCAGAAAGAACCTATTCAAATATTATGGAATCACAATCAGGATCACAAAAGGTTCAGCAATTTTTAGGTTAAAGAAATGGAGGGCTTGGAATACGTTATTTTAGAAGGCAAAAGAGCTAGGAATATAGCCAAAAATAACCTTCTAGGAAAACTAGATATAATCCTTTGAGGGAAAAAAATGGATATTTAATGAAATAGAAAATTTTCAAGCATTCTTGATGAAAAGACCAGAGCTGAATAGAAAAATTTGATGTTCAAACACAAGACTCAAGAGAAGCACAAAAAATTAAACATGATAGAGAAATCATAAAGGATTTAATTAGGTTAGAGTATTTACATTCCTATACAGGAAGATGACATGTGTATCTCCTCAAAACTTTATCATTATTAGAGCACTTAGAAGGAATCTACATAGACAAAGGACACAGATATAAATTGATTATATTGGGATGCTTTAAAAAAATGAAAGAATAAGAAAGAGGGATGCACTGGGAAAAGAGGTAAGAAAGAAGTGAATGGAGAAAACTATCTCATAGAAAAGAGGCATGCAAGGAAAAGCTTTTACAGTGGAGGGGGAGTACAGGGCAATTCTTGAACCTCACTCCCATCAGAATTGGTTCAAAGAGAGAAGAATATATACACACTTAATAGGTAGCACAGTGGATAGAGTGCCAGGCCTAGAGTCAGGAAGACTTTTCTTCCTCATTTCAAATTTGGCCTCAAATATTTACTAGCTATGTGACCCTAGGCAAGTCACTTAACCCTGTTTGCCTCAGTTTCCTCATCTCTATCAAATGAACTGGAGAAGGAAATGGCAAACCACTCTAGTATCATTGCTAAGAAAAAAAATAGGGTTACATAGGGTCAAACATGACTGAAAAACAATTGAACAACAACAAAATTGGGTAGACAAATCTATCTTATCCAGCAGAGAAGTAGGAGAGGAAGGAGATAAAAGAAAAGGGGTTGTAGGGTGCTAATAATTATACAGGATTTAGACCACCTATGAATATTAACTGTTGATACTCTAAACATGACTTCCTAGTCCAGGAACCAAACATGTATACCAAAGATAGAACTACATTCCTGCTATTAAATGAAATTTGAATACAATAGGAATTTGATCCTTTTTCACCCTATATTTCATTTTTTTATTTTATTTTATTAAATATGCACTATATTTCATTAAATATTTCCCAATTATGTTTAAAGAAATTTTTAACATTCACCTTAAATTTCAAGTTTTCAACATTTGTTGAATAACAATACCACTCCTAATTTAGAATTTATACCAAGGTAGGGAACAAATCTAAAAGTTAGAGGGGAAAGTATGCCAATAAAGCTTGTGAAAGAAACAATTAATATAAAACATATATATTAGCTGGCAAACATGATAAATGTTTTGCCCTATAGAATGTTTTGTCAAAACATCTCTTTCAAATGCATATGTTTCTGTTTGTGGATTCTAGACCATGAGCTCACATCTGGCTGTCATTGCAAATGTTGGCAGTGGATGAAAAAATACTTCGGGTCAAATAATATGTAAATGTTTGTAAATTCTTATCCTGGACCACAGACACAGGGATCTCTGCAGATTCCCCCTACATCAGCTCTCATTGTTCTTAAAGTCATAGGACAACATGATTTAGACCTGGAAGTAACTTTAGAGATAATATAGTCACAGGTTCATAGACTCTACTAATGTAGTCATAGGATCATGGACCAGCTCAGCCCCCTCATTTTATGCCTGAGGAAACTGAGGTCCAGGGAGGTTGAAGGGCTTGCCCAGACACAGAGGGAGTAGGTTGTGGGGATTAAATGACATAATAATTGTAAATCATAAGTAACATTTGAACACAGGTCTTCTAATTCAGAAGCCACTGCTCTTTCCATTACAATATACTCCTTTCATAAATCAGAGTACCAAAGCCCCAGGATGTTACATAATTTGCCACAGTCACCCAGTACATGATGATAAATAATAGAGTTGGAATTTTAATTTTAATTTAATCTAACCTTTGATTTCAAATAAGATCACATGTAAGCTATCCCAGAAAAATGGAGACAATATTTCTAGGGAAATAGACTCCTCAAACTCTGAAAGCAAGGAAGAATGCCTACCTCCAGCTTTAGCATTCTGCTATCCAGGACACTTTTGTCCGAAGTTGGCTGACAATAGGATTCCAGCATATGAACTGCATCTGCCATCCAATCTTGTAGCTCTTTAACACTGAGGGAGAACTGGTTGTGCTCAGCTACGATCCTGTCCAACCGTGAAACTTTCTCCTGAAATTCACAAAAGATTTTTAGCTTCCACTGAATTTCATAACTTAAATATTTAAGGTGCCCAAAATAATAAACTGTCTGAAAATTTTGAAAAGAAGTGGTTTTGTGGGTGACACCAAAGAAAGGTGATGATATTTACAGGTAGAAATTTATGGCCTTTGAGATATGAGGTTATAGTATGGCTGCATTATACACTAAGTTAAATACCAAGAACAATTAGGAAAATATGCAAATAAACTATCCTAATACAATCTTAAGAACAAAAAATCCCTTCCTATTTTTATTAACACCTCTGCCCCCTACTTTAGTCACTAGTCTTGGACAATGATAAAATTTGTTCATAATTAATAGGTACTACTCTGTTACTACCTATTTTTTGCATTTATATTTCATTTTGGTCTTTTTCTCAGACTAATAGATGCATCTTAATTTGCATATTATCAGATTCATGCAAGTCAAAGTCCTCTAGCAATTTGCTTGTATGCAAAGTAGTTACATTCTCATATTAAGTAGATTAAGGATATATGTTTGTTGTCCAGGAGAGAGATTTAGGTCTTTCATTTACTTGGTGTAGGAAACTTCTAAAGATGAAACCTCCTATCAATGCAGACCTACTACAATTCTCCAACTTACAGCCTTAGAGAGTCATCTGGGGCATTAAAGGTTAAGGGATTTATATAAGGTGAAATTGACAGCATGCATTAAAGGTAGGAAGTGAATGCTTCATTTTTTCATTCAAACTCTTCATTGAGACTCTCTGTCCATTCTGCCTTGCTGCTTTTTCATTCACATTATAAATAGTAATGAATATTTTCTTTGTCTAACACAATAGTATGTAATATGCATCTTTTACATACCTTTATGTTAAGGTAAGCTGTTTCAATTTTACTTGGCATCTTGATTTATAGGTACATTATTTAAAAAAAAAGGATCTTCCTTTGCAATGTTCCTATTTCATTATAATTTGAGAAGGTTGGAAAACAACTTCCATCCAGACCAATTCAGCAGTTTTTACCCTGAGGACTCCCATCTGCTTTCTACAGAGAAGACTGCGATACAGATGAGTCCACATTAAATATGAGAAATGTCTGACCTAAATGTGACCAAACTGAACTACTAAAGCAGTTCTGTGACAGTGTCAGTGGAGGTTAGGCAGGAGAGAAGAACCACAGGGCTGGGAGCTGTCACACCAGATATGGTTCATTCTCTTGCATTATTCTACAGTTCCAGATTACAATGGTTTAAATGATATTGGGCTTACAATTTATGAGCTAGGACTGTCATACAAAGCCATTCAAACTAGAGATTCTCAACCAAAGCACCAAAAGTATTAAATTCAGTGCTAGTTAATTAGTCGGGCCCTTGTTCTAATGCTGAACTTGAGTTATCTAATTTGTCATGTCAGTATAACTTAAAAGCACTACATGAGTTATTATTACATCATTGACCACTTAGCAAATCCATTACACTCCACTGGCATAGTAGAATGCTTTGGAGAAACATAGCTTAAAGCATTTTAATTTTAGGCAGACAAAATTGGATGAGATTTTCAGTTAGGAAACTGAGGTTTTTGAAGTGACCTAAATGCCTTGCAATAACTAATCAACATAGTAGCAATATTATTGTAATTTTAAAGCATTATATAAATGTGAGTCATTATTATCTACTACATAGATTCAATTATTGCAAGGCATTCAGGGTAAAAACAGTTTTTTAAAAAATTAATCTAATTTTATCTCCTTAAAACTAAAATGCTTTGAAGTATGTTTTCCTAAAGTGATCCACTTTTTTAGACATACTGGGGGATGGGAAGAGGAAATGAAATTTTCCCCATATATTCATGAGTTGTGCTTTTAAAATCAAAGTTTTCTTCCACAGAATTAACTATTAAGCTAGAATATTTTTACAGTTAAGGAGTAGAAGTGGCACAGTAAATAGCCTTCTTGACTTGGAATCAGAAAAGCCTGAATTTAAATCTGGTCTCAGACATTTGCTAGCTCTCTGACCTGGGGCAAGTCACTTAACCTCTGCTTCAATTTCCTCATTGGTAAAATAGGGACAATAATAACTCCTTCGGGGGTGCTATGAAGATCAAATGAGATAAGAACTACAAAATGCTTAAAATAGTGCCTGGCAGGAAGTAAGCTCTATATAAATGTTAGCTATTAATATTATCATTATTACTACTACTACTACTACTACTACTACTACTACTACTACTACTACTACCACCACCACCACCACCACCATCACCACTACCACTACTACTTAACTTCTGTCTGCCTATGTTTCCTCATTGCTAAAATAGGGATAATAATAGTTACTATCTGCCTGTGTTGTTGTGAGGATCAAATTAGATAACTGTAAAGCATTTAGCATAATGCCTGGCACATAGTAAGCATTATGTGTTCGTTATTATTATTATTGTTGTTGTTGTTGCTGTTGTTGTTGTTGTTCCTTAACCTTTGTCTGGCTCTGTTTTCTCAATAGAAAAATGTGGATAACAATAGCACCTACCTCCCAGGGTTGTTAAGGATCAAATGAGATAATAATTGTAAAGTCCTGAGCACTGTGCCTGGCACATAGTGAGCACTATATAAATGCTACCTATAATTGTTATTATTTAACCTCTGTCTGCCTCAATTTCCTCATCTATAAAATGGAGATAATGATAGCACCTGCCTCCCATGGTTGTTGTGACAATCAAACAAGATAATAATTGGAAAGTGCTTAGCACAGTGCCTGACACACAGTAAGTGCTACGTAAATGTTAGCTGTAATTATTCCATGAAGTCTCTCTTGTCCCTAGGAAACAAGCCACAGTAAGATGATGCAGCTGAAACAGCTGGCACGCTAGGCGGGAAAATCACACTTAATGAGTCCTTTTCTCCACTCCCTGGGCAGCGTTGGGACACACAGTGGATAGACCAGACACAAAATACAACACAGCAGCGGGACAGGAGACCACATCCTGATCCTAATGTATACGTATACACATTTTTAACCCATTATGCTTTTCATTTTAGTAACATTAACATTCCCTGCATGAAAGTGCACACACTGCATCCATTACCTTTGTTAAATTGCTCAGTGCTAGGTACTGAGAAGACAGCTGAGACACTCTGTGCGTAAAGTTTTTGCTGGCAGCTTGTTCTCCCCACAGCTGCTGAGCTTTTTCTTTGAGCCTGGTGAGCTGAGGCTCATGGCAGTTTATTTCCTCAAGGACAGACTGTAAAGCACAAGCAAGTTTACTATTAAGGGGTTGGGGGGGAAAGCATGCCACAGACAGAGCTTTGGCCCAAACAGCAGAAATCCACACTAGCAAGCAACAAGGGATTCCTGGAGGCTGTACAGTTTTTTTCAAGTTTACCTGGAGTACAGTAGGAAAGGAAGAAAACAGATTTAAGAAATTCTCAGGGCCAAGTCAGAAGATATAAAACTTTTTTTTTTTTGTGCAAAATTAAAGAGAACAAATTTATCCTAAGAACTGAAGCAACAGACCTACATCGGGTTCAGCATGCACTATGTATGCCTTGTGGTTTCCTAAAGACAAAATGGATCATAGGGTCTTGTCACCTGAAGCTTCTGCTGCTCTCTCCTCTTCGCGGGCAGATCATGGAGTCGACTGCTGCTTTCTCGTACCCATCTTCTCAGTTTTGTTCAGCCAGTTCTGCACCGGCTCTGCACTCACTTCAAAGTCCTTCATTTGGATCTTCAGGTTCTTCAAAGAGAGCAGATCACTATAAAGACAGTCCTTCAAAACGTTCAATGTTTCCCTGCTGCTTCGAGGACAAAGTCAAAATTCCTTCCCCTGGCTTTTGAGGACCCTCACAATCCAGACCCAAGACATCTTCCCACCTATATGGCCTGCTATTCAACACTGGGAACCTTATGCCCAACATCTGGGTGCTGAAACTACCATGACTTTGTCTGCCCATAATGATTCCCTCCAGATTTAATGCCTTCCTTCCTTTTCTCCATCTCCAGAATATCTTTCAAAGCCTACTACAAATTTTACCTTCTTTATGACCTTGTCTCTGACCTTATAATTCTGGATTCTTGAACTATGTAATAATACTAAGCTTTGTCTTATTGCTTCATTCATATAATTATAGAATGTCGGCCTTAGAGCTCCTAGGAATCGTATAGCCCAATTACCCCATTATCCAGAAAAAAAAGTGAGGATCAGAGAACTGAACTAATTTTCCCAAAGTCACATAGGAAGCTCCTATTGGATATGTGATAAGAAACCACACTGCTGCCTCCACAGGCCTATGCTCTTTCCACTATACAACACGGCCTCCCCTTATCAAATACTGTATTATATTACTAGTTTTCATTACCTATGTTTGTATTAGCTTTTCCAAGGAGACTAAAACTTCCTTTATATCTAGTTAGTGCTTACTGTGTTTCTCATATCCCTCTTTACCCTCCAATATTTTACATATTGTAATACTTTACATATAGTAGTTGCTCAATAATTTTCATTGGAAAGTAATTTATAGCATAAATTGATACTTTATAAGAATTTGTACTATATATGCTATTTATCATATACATGCATGTCATTTATCATTTAAATCATGTCATTTATATGGCATGATAAATAGCCAGGCTTGAAGCTAGAAAGACCAGGGCTCAAGTCCTAGCACTGATACAAACTGGTTCACTATGTGACCTTGGGGAAGTTATGTTACTTCTCCATGCTCTGGAACAATAAGTTGCAGAAAAGGTACCAAATTGCCATTATAGAGGGAGTTTCTTCACTCAGGAGTTTTTTAACTAATGAAATCAATATACAGATATATCATGTTTGTACTTATTTATAAAGTATATAAATACTATCAAGTAAGATTTTTTCACCATCATCGGATACACAATTTACAGAAACTAAAGTTAAATTTTATCAAGTCTTATATGGAACTTCCTGCACTTCCACCCCCTTGTACCTTAGCAATGGTGTCATTCTCCATAGGCTACCGTTTATGGCTATTTTAAAAATAGTGTTACAACACTCATGGTATTTCAGAATGTAGCTTCATTATGTAGAGGTTCCTCACGTCTAAGAGTTGACTCTCTCTTCTGATCCAGAGTTAATATGAGATAGCCTTCTAGACATGATATAAAGAGAATTGTATTTTCCCTCGCTAGGAGTTAGGTAACTTAAATGAAATTTAAACAATGGCTGTTTTTGTCTCTGTTTATGCTGCCTAATGCCTTCGAGATGATAGACCACTCCTGCATGTTGTATGGCCCTCATGGAATTGTCATTAGGTGCATAGTTAGGAGTGCCGGATCCTGATTCTACTGCTTAACCCTGAGACAAGAAGTAAGTCACTTCCTCTCTCCAGGCATCATCTTCCTCACCTGTTAAAATGGAGCATTATACTAAATAATATCTGAGGTCTCTTCTTCAAGGGACAGACTATAATTGTACAAGGTAATATACTAGAACACATCTGCCAGTACTTTCCACTAAGCTCAGGTCTGTCATTTTGCCTTTGTAATCATGCTGAGCATTGTATCCCCAAGAATCCAAACCTGTAAACTAGAGATAATAGTATTTTTATCTTACAAGAATGTGGAGTATCAAATGAGATTAAGGGTACAAAAGTGCCTTTCAAAGTTAAAAGTTCTACACACGGTCAAGATATTGTTATTACTTCTTTGGGAGTGAAAGAAATCAAATAGCTCAGTCAGCCATTAAGCATCTATCTGCCTGTCATATGCCAACCTGGAAGGAGTAGGAAAGGGCAGGCCAAAATTCTGGGTTGGGGTGTGGCTCAACTAGAGGAGAGAGTAGCATCGTGCATGAGAAACAAAACTGAGTGCTTGATACTAAGACAACTAACTGCCTTCTAAGTCCAGCACTGCTTACATATTTCCTGGAAAGGTGAGAGCTGATTTCCAGGTTCATAGCCCTTGTTCTTCAAGTAAAGATGAAATGTTTTTTTCTAACTGGAGTAATGATCATAACAATTGCTTCAAACCATCAAGAATCTGTGTTTTCAATGGGTTAGTGCACCTTCCACTAATAGAGATTGTAACTTCTCTACAAAATCTTAAATGATATTCATGAGTTGGTGTGACTGCCACTCTACTCCCCAAATAATGCATTTAGGGTACATAGTATAGTTTAAATTCTAATCTTATTGTTATTTTGAAATGTGACTTAATAAATCTGTAATATAAGTTATTCATGCAGCTATAATTCACTTTCTTGATAAGGCGTATGCTTCCAGTCCTGAGATTTGTATGAGTTATTGGGCAGTTTTTAGTGAGGGATAATGACTGAAAATTATGGACAGAACAGTTTAGATTATTAGGCAGGTGGTTTTACAAAAAAACAAACAAACAAACAAAAAAATCAAAAACAAGAAAGTTTCCATCAGATTGGTCCCATACCTCTAGGGCAGACTCCTTTTGACAGAGGTTGGAGTAAAAGCCTTTCCAGTCCTCTTTTGCAGTGACAACTTTGTCGTGGACAGATTTAGCCTTCTCTTTTGTGATAAGAGGATTCAGAAGTTCTCCTTTCGATATAACCATGTTTAGCTTGTGCTGCCCATTTTCACTTTCTGATAAAAATTCCTACAAAGAAAATGGGTTAATCATAATGAAATGACATTTAAAACAACAATAATGTGGTTTTTCTCTCCAGCTTCCAGTAAAATCCAAGATAACTGGATAAACTATTTTTAGTTCAGACATCTTCTTACATAAGCACCTACCTCACACGATTGTTGTGAGGATCAAATGAGACACAGTTTGTAAAAATGCTTAACACAGTACCTGGTACTGTGGGTAGGCAGGTGCTTAAAAAAAGCTAGGTGGTGCAGTCGATAGAGTTCAAGCCCTGGACTCAGAAAGACCTGAGTCCAAATCCAGTCTCAGACAATTACCAGATATGTGACTCTAGGCAAGTTAAAAAAGGGTTAAAAAGGTTAAGTACCTTTTTGCCTCAATTTTCCATATGTAAAATGAGATAATAATAAGACCTACCTCCTAGGGTTTTGTGAGAATCAAATGAAATAATCATTGTAAAGAGCTTAGCACAGTGTCAGGCACACAGTAGATGCTATAATATTGATGATGATGATGATGATGATGATGATGATGATGAAGATGATGATATTGGTATTCCTTTTCTCTCCCTTCTATGATCATACTCTCAGGCTGATACCCATAAAAAAGTTAGCATTGATATAGCACTCTGTGGTTTGCAAAGTAGTGCACATGAGGTGCTCTTATTATCTCCATTTTACTGATAAGGAAACACAGAGTGGTTAGGTGACTTTGTCTAGGGTCACATAGCTTAAAGGGACCAAGGCAAGATTGGAACTCAGGTTTTCCCTACTCCAAGTCCAGGACTCTATGCACTACATACTATCTTAGCAGGATCCCTACAATTGTTTAAATGAAAGATGCTACCTAAGTAAAATGTTTGTGAAGGTACTGCTTTAATGAAAGTCCACACATAATGCTCCCTTCCTTCCCAACTCAGACAAAAATGCATACATTTATACATGTAGAGTAGCTTCTCTTTAAATTCACTTAGGCCTTTCAATCAGGACTGGTTTCTTTTCTTTTTTAAAGTCAGGATTTGTTTCTAAGATTCCTGTCTTCCAGAAGCGGGTAATATGTAATTTATAACAAATACTAGATATGGATTTATGCATTTAGCAGAGCCGAATAGTAAGTTACCTGTATTTTCTGCAGACTTGTTGATACTTCAGTAATATTTTGAGGAACTTCAAAACATTTGGCTGTAGTGATTTTGGCATTGACTAGCCATTGTTGGAAATCCCTGAAAGCTTTTTGGAACCGTTGCTGTAAAATCTGCTCTTTATTCTGACAGTCCTTAGATACTTGCAAACAAAGACTAAGCAAAGCAGAGAGCAAAATGAAAGGGGAAAATAAAGAAGGTTTAAAATTACGCTTGGGAAATATACATTTCGAGAATTGATCACCACCCCCACCTCAAATTATTTGCCTTAAATTGAATCAGCAAGAGATTAAAACTAGAAGGGACTTTAAGAAAAAATCACAGAACCATTGAGATGGATCCATCAAAGACAGAAGAAAACTTACAGATCATAGTCTCATTTTACCAATGAAGAAATTGAAACTCAAAGAAATAAGGTGACTTATCTAAGCTCATACATCGAATCAATGACAAAGCTGAATTAGACAAAACCAGCTCTCCTGAATTCTAGTCAGAGTTCTTTCCATTATATCATCCTGCCTCCTTAAATAGTTCATATCCATTTTATATTAAATTTATGAATACAAAATTAATATCTATATTGATGAATTACTGGGAAACATCATAGAAACATAAAAGTCAACCTTCCCTGCCTATTCCTACTTTCCTTTTTGCTAGGACCTGTAGAAAAAAAAGAAATATCAATCATTATCACTAGAAAATAAGAACATAATAAACCCATTAGACAATAATTAACAGGCAAATCTGGAAAGAACAGTTCAGAGAAGGAGATATTAATATGAATAATTGATCTAGCCTGGTCAAATATATGTTTATACATATATAAATATGCTTACCTGTTGTATTCTTTAATTAAACCAGAAACCTTTCCGCTGTAAGTGCTAAGGTCTCTAGAAAATCTACACAGATCATTTAACTGAGATTTGAGCTCATCAGTCAAGGGTTCTGCTTTCCCCAGTGCATCCAATATTTCCTATTGGGTAATAAAACAGTAACAATCATTTTAGTGGTATTATTTCCATTTTAAAAATAATTTCCATTTTCAGTTCTCTCTCTGTATTAATAGGGGAAAAGAGGAGGGAGAAAACATAATGGGAGTAATTGAAAACTAATGATTAATCAAAATCAATAATCCAACACTCTCCTTGACCATTACCCATGCTGATAAGTAGCAATAACATCATACTTTCTTCTCTTATATGCCCTAGCTGTACTCTACTATGATCACTATGAGTAATAAGATTCAGTGAGAAAGAGGAAGAAGGACAAAAAGTGCTTAATACTCTAGGTGTGCTAAATCCACAGAATAAAACTGTGTTATACTAGAAGGCTTGTTACACTAAAAAATAAAGGAACTATTTAAATTGAAAGAACCACATCTCTCAAATATAAAAGAAACAAGTAAACAACAACAAAATAATAAACATAACAAAAAAGAAAAGCAATGATTTGACAACTCATATGTTCTACTTTTATATTTGTATTTAAAAATTTCCTATACACAAGCTGGACTACTAATGATCTCAGATGATAGATTTTTATAGTCTGTATACCAAAAGGGCGGCACACATCTGTGATTTCACTAATGTAGAAAATTTCCAGATGAGGAAGCTCCCTCTCCCAATACTGGCCAACATTTTCCCTACAACTCATTGTCTTAGAGAGGGTGATAATTGCATTGGGAAGTTAAGTCACTTATACAGTCACACTGCCAGTATGTATTATATATTAAGACTCAGACGCAGGGGTTCTTGGCTCAAGGCTTGCTCTCTAGCTATTGCAAAATGTTTCTCTTATGTATACCAATAAAAACATAAACCTCTGTTTTGAGGGCAATGAGCTATAGTTTTTAAATTGTTGTCTTATTTTTTCTCCTTTTCTCATTAGTAGGATCAATTTAATGCACCTATAATGTACAGTTATCCCTTCCAAATCATGACTTCTCATCACAGTTTCAATATATCACAGGTTGGCATAAAAAACTAAATGGGAATTTTTTGGGAGTTTTCTAGAAACTACAGACAACATACAAAGCCAACAGACAACACAGAACCTATGACCAAATGCTTAACCCAAATTTTAAAATAAGGTACTATAAACACCCCATAAAAAAAAAAGTCAGCCTTCTCTGGTCCTAAGGGGGGGCCAAAAAATTTACAAGGATTTTCCAGATTGTGGGGGGTGCCATGCCCCTAACCCCTGCAATATGAAAGGGATAACTGTACAACATTTTGAAAAAATTATAAAGCAAAAGAGATTTTTTGATTATTTTTAATTTGGCTGTACCTAATTATTGTATTATTGTTCTCTGTTGTTGACATATCTTTGGGTAGCATCTCAGAACTCAGGAGAGGCAATTTTTAACAGTAAACTAATATTTGACAAAGCCATTTATTGAATAAATAGCTTTTTAGTTCAGCATAAAATATCTAAGAAGTTTCACCACAAATATATAGTTTATGAGCTTACCATTTCCTTCATTCATGATATGTAGATTTATTGCTAGAATATATATTATTATATGTATAGAATATAAATTTATTGCATCTAACACCATCATTTTGGTAATGAGGAATGTTAGGACCAGAGAAATCAAGGGATTTGGCTGAGGTCACACAGGTTGTAAGTACCAGGACTGGGATTCAAATCTAGGTCATGACTCCAAACCCAAAACTCCACTGCACTATGTGGCAAAAGGCAGCTTTTTGCTGGAATGAAACATCATTAATTCAGAACAATTGAGCTTAAAGAGAAGCAGACAATATATTCTAAAGTATATGATAGGATGATTTCAAGTGTGGTTTTATTATATTAATAAATCCTTATTGATGGATTGATTGAAGTATCTTTTATGTGGGAAATTAGGTAAATTAATTATATAATCTAAAAGTCATACATTATTTGACATTGCTTTATAAGCTCAAAGTCCTTTTATTCATAAGAATTATAGATGAAAGTAGACATTAAAGGCATTGTACATATGGAATATTTCTTTCTTTCTTATACTTAATTTTTCAAGGTCTGGTTTGGGTTCAGAAAATGGCTAATTTTAAACTGCATTCCTCTTACATAACCTGATTAAGATCCTGACAATCTACATAGGAAGAAATGCTCTAATTTTTTCAGGAAAATAAATCAAAACATTTATTTCACATTCTCAAATCACTCATATCTGGAGAATAATTCAGTGCAGTAAATGGCACAGGAACTTTACTTAAAGGGGAGATCATAAGCAAAATATGGCATAAGTTACAACTAAAATTACACAAAAATCTGGAATGCAGTTACTTATTGACTGGTGATACCAATGGCAGGCAAAAGTATGGTTTCATGCTAAGAACATAGGATCTAGAGTTAGTTTAACTGGATTGAAATACTGACCCTGACACGTACTAATGATGATACTTTTGGGCAATCATTTACCTTCTCTGATCTAAAATTCACTTCCACTTCTTAGAATCCCTCAATTTCTTCAAGAGGCAGATTAAACACTACCTTCTCCATGATGCCTTTCCTGATCCCCCTGTTCAACAGGTGCTAATTGCTCTCCTTTCCAAACTACCTTGTATTTATTCTGCATATCTATCTATCTATCTATCTATCTATCTATCTATCTATCTATCTATCTATCTATCTATCTCTCTATGGGGCTTCTGCCCCACCCCCAGCCTGCTATAGTGCTTGACACATAGGAGGTACTTAAGACATGTTTGTTCATTGATAAATGAATCTACAAAATAGGGTGTAATAATATATGAACTACCTACTTTACAAGCTTGTGGCAAAGAGTTCTTTAAACCTTAAGGCTCCATATTAAGCTATTGACAAAATATAAAGCATTTTAATAAAGTTTTCATTTTACAAATATCAGGCCAGATTAATCCTAAGATTCATTTCTATAGTAAGGGTTTATTTATGGCATTACCAAATTATATTCACTTTATTAAAATGTTAACAGGAGCATTCAGTGGTTGTTAAAAGTCATCAGTAATGCAAATATGCCTTTTGAAATACAATGGCCAAGTTTTAGGAGAGTCTGTTATACATACATAGATATATACACATATGTAAAGATATTATATGTGTATATGTACACACACAGAAGCAGATATACGTATGTATGTGTATGTCTATATGTCTCTCTCTCTCTCTCTCTCTCTCTCTCTCTCTCTCTCTCTATATATATATATATATATATATATATATATATATATGTATGTATATACAACCATTGTATAATAAGGGGGACAGGAACATTAGCATCTTTATCCTGAGGAATGGAAAAGCTTGCAAAATTCTGGGATTAGTATTATGGTTAGTCATAATTCCCAAGTCATTTCTACACAAGTGCATAAGAAATCAAATCTTTCTGAGATTCATTAAAAATTTATGGTAGTTCAAAATGTGTCCATTCTCCAATACAATACTTTCATCAATAACACTAGGAGTAACACTGGGAGACAATACACTATACAATATTTTAAGCATAAAATGTTTATTTTTAAATGAAAATCAGCAGTTACTGAAATGTACGAATAAATTAAATAAAACTCTAAGAATAAAAACATATTGCATCCATGCATCAATGCCACCAGTGAACACCATGTGAAATCATGGACACATTGATGCATCAAAGCAAAAAAGTTTACTTTGTAGCAGGATTAAAGACTGATAATCCATGCCAACATTCAAATACTGACTCACTGAGAAGGAAACTAAGGATGACAAAAAAGTAAATTATTTTCCTAAGCAGAAATGAAGTATATTGAGCTGAAGTGGAAACATGGTGATTGTGTCTTTCAACTAATGAAGGACAGATGGCATATAAAATGAACATGAGAATAAACCTTATATAAATGGGAATTCACAATTATGTTTTAGTCTAAGGCTTAAAGTATCAACAAAGACTATTTTATCAAGCATGTAATCAAAATTAAACATGGACCACAGGGAGAAAATGTTTGGTTATTCCATTTTTAAGTACGACTTCTCAACATAAAGATACTTAATGGTTCTTTTAAAATGTAATTAAAGTGAACACTTATAACTTAAAATTTTGTTTTCATATTGTCTTTTTGCGTACCAACTTTCTTTAAAAAATAATTCAGACTCAGTTATTTCAGCTTGAAATGTCTTTATGTGAAAGCACAGAACAGATTAAAGACTAGTTCTCTCTGTGTTCTTTTGTATCCTTAAAGGTCAGTCTTTGTACTGTCCATGAAGCATATCTATGCTATACTACTTTTACCAATAGTAGTTGTATAAAAGCAATTAATTCTGAAAGAGTAATGTCAATTTAAGTATGAGCCAATCCTTTTAAAATTTTTATTCTAAGGTTAGATAGATTTTTTTTATCTTCTAAAAGAATGATGCTAGTTAATTAACTTAATAAACCTGATCCAATGTAACACAAAGCAGATATTAAAACAAGTGATTTTTCCATGTTAAGTATAATATTAACATTGACTATTTATGGTGTTACAATTTCCTTAGTCCTCTTTCTTTGAACTGATTGATAATCTTTATTAAGGCCCTTAAAATCTGAATGACAAAAAGAGTCTAAAAGAAAGAAGAAATCCAAGAGCCACTTAAAGAAAAAAAAAAGGAATCATAAGCAGTTAGTTAGGAAGTCTCATTTAGTGGCCAGACAGTAAAATGTTCTAGATGAATTAATCCTCAGCTGGAGAAGGAAGAGGAGAAGGAGGAGGAGATGTACTTTTAACAATAATAATAATCTGTATTTATAAATTCTTTATGATCAAATCTTTTCCACCAAAAATAAAACTAAAATACGCCTTTCCTCTCTGACAATATCTGAAGTAGATCTAACAGAAATGGAAACACAGAAGTTTCCTTAGGCTTCCTTATAAGGATAGCTATGATTCATAAGTACACAAAACTGCACATTTGAATTTCACAGTCTACTTAGTAAAGTAGTAAAACAAAATGGAGAAAGGAAACGACGGTAAAAGTTCATTTAAAAAAATCCATTATCCCTTTTACTGTTTTCTGTCTTTCAACCCAAAGAAATGGCCAGTAAAGCAAAATAGGAGACAGACAGACACACAGACACAGACGTGCACATGTGCACACACACGCACACAAATACACAACACACACACACACTCCCACAAACAGGCAGGGAGAGAAAGAATGGGAATGAAATAGGAGTTCTATTAACACAATAATTCAATTACAGCTGTCAAAAACCACAGACAGGAAACTTAGCAGGGCAATCACTCTGCATTCTCTCTAAAAGAATCCAATTGTCCACTCTGTGTTGTAATTCAGTACTCTATCACTCTAAATTAAGTAGCCAGTAAAACACACACACACATACATACACACATGCATACACACACACACAGGCACTTATGACCAGTAATCTATTTATGCCCCTTCAGAGAGGCCATTTTTTTTTTTAGCGTCTAAATGATGAAACGTATTACAACCTCCTACCACAGGGGAAAAAGTAACTTGTTTTTATTGCCAATAAACTTTCCGTATGACATATGATGGCTCTAAAAATAACTTCTTTGGAAACAAAGTTTGTTTTATGAGATTATATGAATGTCCCCAAAATATTAGTGCATTTTTGAGTTTCAACAGTTTAAAACTCAAAGTGTTTAAGTTTCAAGACTTTAAACTGCACCAAGACTTTTGGGACAAGACATACAACGGATTTGGCTTGGCGCCCAAATATTTCCTTCCCACAAAGTCTGATATTTTAATTTCTCCACCAGCAAATATTATTTGTAGCCTAGGAGAACTTAACCCATTTGTAACATAACTACCATATGGAGAAACCTACTTTTTCTTGGTGCCAGCAATCCACTATTTCTTGGTCTGTATTCTTCCCTTCCAAGAGAGCTATTTTCTGAGACCAGGTTTCCAAAAGGGTAGTGAAATGCTCCAGGGCCTGCTCCAGCTGGGCCACTTGGGCTGTGAACTCCTGCTCCGATAGGGCCATTTGGCTAATGAGATTCTCCAAGCAGTCCTGTGTTTGGAAGACGCTGTCTTCCCACTGCTTCCAGTCAGAGCGAAGGGCCTGCATCTCTGTGTCCATAAGTTCACACCCACTGGCAGCTGTGCTCTGTTTCACTGCAGGAGCCAGCAACTCCACTCTGTTTAGGCGGCTTGCACCAATCTGTCTGGAATCTATCAACTCCTGTAATGGAATATTGCCATGGTAACCAAGAAGGCTCTGATTCACTTTGGCAGAACATTTCTAAATTGGTACATGGAAGGACCCCCATCCTGCTAGGAACTTCTAGCAAGTGTATCACAGGGAATGGGAAGCATTTTATCCACCCACCCACCCCACATACCCTGCCCCCCCTTAAATTATAGTGGGCGGAGACTGTCAACATTTGAGGAGAAACTTTAACCTCAGGAAGCTTTGATATCCTGAAATAGACTAAGCAGGGACCCTGAAAACACAGCATTGTTAAAGTATCCAAACATGTTTTGATTGTGATTAAAATACTTTCCTTGTGGCATTTTGTCTCTGTAAATAAAGCTTCACCACTTTTTTTTCCCTCTAGGTCGAAGGGCATATAAACAGGAGTGGCAGAGAACCAGTGTTATGCACATGGTTTGAGCTGCAGTCTCATCTCATTTCACAAGACAGCAACTCATATTGTATTTCATGATATTACAGGAAAGCAAAGTCATATACTATCATGACAAATCATAAGCAAAAATTAGTCCTATGTAGTGCAGGCAATAAAAGAAATAAGCAAATTTTTAAAGCAAACTTTTCCATTCAAATCACTTCCTTTCTAAGTGAACTATTTTTTGAGAACCACAAAGTTAAAAAATCAAAAGAAATGTTTAAAAGTTCAACGTCATTAATTGGTCTGGTTTATTACTGCTTGTCTTTTTATAAAAGTATTGGCCGTCTAAAACTGTAGAATCAACTAGTCAACTAATTGGGTCAACTAGTCTACCCCTCTCCCTTTTTAAAATGGAAAGGGGTGAGGCTTAAAGAGGACTAGGTAATGTTTGTGATCAGGGCCAGAACGATGTTCTAACTCCCGGGTTAGTGATTATGCTTGATGTTGACGTCCTAAGGAGTTACTTTAAACACTGGATCCAGGGGCAGCTAGGTGGTATGGTAGATAGAGCACCAGCCTGGAATCAGGAGGACCTGAGTTCAAATCTGGCCTCAGACACTTGACACTTACTAGCTGTGTGACCCTGGGCAAGTAGCTTAACCCCATTGCTTAGACCAAAAGAAATATTAAAAAAAAATACTGGATCCTGTTTTGATCCTTTCATTTTTATTCATGATTTCCTAATCCATATAACAGACAACTCCACAGAGATGGAAAGGGACAGAATAAATTAAAAGGGGGATGATCTATATATTCACATGCTTCTGTCAATCTCCACCAAGAAAACTAGAGTCCCAAATGTTATTTTAGGAGGTATAATATGGATGAAACAAAAAAATGTTGATCAAGAGGAAATAGATGATGTTTTTGAAAAGCCTTAGTTAGTATTACTGTCAGCTAAATTTGTTTGAATTTTTGTCCTTAAAATGATTCTCAAGATGGCAGCAGGGTAGAATCAATAGACTGTTTAATTCAGAGTCAGGAAGCTTTGGATTCAAATCTTGCCTTAAACAATTAGTAGTGATATGACCCCGGGCAACCTCATCTATAAAATGAGGATGATAATAAAAGCAATGAGCTGTTGCAAAAATTAAATGAGATACTGTATCAAAAATGTTTTGAGCTCTATCTCCTGACCTGGAGTTCTGGGTTCCTTTAAATTAGGGGTGGGGAACCTGAGGCCTCAAGGCCACATACGGCCCTCTGGGTCTTCAAGTGCTGCCCTTTGACCAAATCCAAATTTCACAGAACACTCCCCTTAATAAAATGATTTGTTCTGTAAAACTTGGACTCAGCCAAAAGGCTGCATCCAAGGACCTAGAAGTCCACATGTGGCCTTGAGGCCACAAATTCCCCATGCCTGCACCCAGTTCATAGGAAAGTTCTCCATATGAACGAGACCCAAAATGCTATCTTACCTTCCATCTCTTCCCTCCAAGTCTGAGAATGACAATCAAACCACTACTACCATTCCTAGAAAGCATATGTCTGTCAACTGAACTATGAATTCACTCATCATCTCTGCAACTTCCCAAACCAAAACAAACTTCCTTGGCTACTACTCCCTCCTCTACTATGTGTTATCTCCCCTCATTAGACTGGAAGTTCTTTGAGGGATGGGACTTTTGTGCTTTTTAAAAAATGTACAACCCAGTGCTTAGCATTGTGTCTGGCAGTGAGACCTTAATAAATTGTGTTTTTTGTTTTTTTTTTGTTTTCTATTTGGTTTTTATTTTTGGTCATTCATTCATTCAAACTGCTTCTGTATCCAAATGAGAATAAGATCAGGATTAGTGTGAAAGTTATAGATTAACAGAAAAAACAAACAACTGCATGTCACCAAAACCAGGGGTCTAAAGGTGGTATACATGCTAGCAATAAATTATATGCCACATACATTACTGCTACATAAAACCGACCATGTCAAATAAACTGAATTAATTATGCCCTTTTATAATACACAATAGGAACCTATTACATCATGAGTTATAGGATCCTAGGTTTGGAGTTAAAGGTGACCTTAGGGATCACAGAATCAAATTCTTTTATTTCACAGGTGAGAGAAATGAGGCTTATAGCTCACGAATTTCTGAGTCAGCACTTGAAACCTGTACTTTCTGACTCCAAGGTAAATGCTCTGTCCATTATACCATACATACTAGGTTCTATTGGTACACACAGATTTCCCAGCCAGTTTCTAACATATATCAAGTCCTGACCTTTCCCTATAATACTTTTATTGAGAAGCTACCCTGCCCCTCCTTTTATTGCAGCATCTAAGAAAATAATTTGGTGAACAGACTTGAGATGTTCATATAAATGAGTGGCTTCACATTTTTGCATTTCAATTTTTATAATCAATTTTCATTCATAAGTAATTTTTCACAATTGGAGATCATAGGTTGTCAGCTTTCAAAATCTGCTTCCAAACAAATTTCCCACAGTGCTCTATGTTCTCCCAGTTATGTCCTGCATCAAAGCACTGCAATCCAGTTTTTTGTATCTCTTCCACAATTGCCCTTTTCTCCACTTCTAATCAAGTTGCACTTGGAATGCTTGACTGGGACCAAAGAAATAAAGAGGTTGAAAGGGATCCTGCTCCTTCATTTCAGTATAATTTATAGTTTTAAAATTTTATATATATATATATATATATATATATATAATTTACTATATATGATAAACAGATCTGAAATCTATTTTGAAAATGGGGATTTGAAATAGATTTTTAAATAATTTGAAATAGATTTATATTTTACTTTACAGTTTTCCATACTTAACTGAAGAACTATGAGTCCTGTGGTTGACTTAGATGGTAGATTGGGGCTGAGGGGATGAAGGATTCTTGTCTTCTTCATTGAGGTCTTATCCCAACAAAGAACATCTCAAGTGACTAGGTCAGGCCTGATTTGAATTACTTGGTTTAAATAATGTTTGTATATTTCTTTCCTTCATTCTTTTCACAACTTGCAACCCAAAATCTTTCCATGCATGTTATTGTGTTAAGTTGGTAGTTAAGGTATTTGGGAACAATTTCAGGCAATCTTTTTCAAAAATACTGAAAATTTATATTTAACAATTAAGACATGAGCAGAGTTTAAAGGAATGCAACCTTGGGTGCAATGGTTACAGTTACCATTCAGGAAACTTTCAATGCTTCTATGTTTTGGGTTATAAGGCATAGTCATTTACATCCAAAATCTGATGCTGCCTGATTTTCAACTAAACCACTTTACTTCCTTGCCTCATTCATGTTCTTATGATAAATCATGTGACCAAATCATTGATGAATCCATCTTGGTCTAGTCTTTCTTGTAAAAATCCATTACTTCAATTTTCAAGGAAAAAAAAAGTTGGTCTTTATCAACACCCTTTTTACTACACTATATCTGTATCCTTTTTTCAATAGGTCAAAAGGAAGTCCTTCACAATGTGAGACCTATGGCAAATTCTATCAAATGACGTGTGTGTGTGTGTGTGTGTGTGTGTGTGTGTGTGTGTGTGTCAAAGTTAGAGGAAAACACTGATGCCCCTGCAAGGGACTGTCCTTTATATGGTAGCTCACTATTGGCTACAGTAGCAAAACCAGACATCTACAGTGACATTACCAGGTTACTATTCACCTGTGCTTATTAGATTACCTAACAAAGAGTTTCCTTTCACTGTGCTAGGAAACAGTATCTGGATTTCTCAGCCAACCCAAGTGGATTTATTTTCCCAGCCTTTCACACTATAGTTTTCCAACAAACACTGTTGCATATGGGAATATAAAGGAACCATGTTGTGTTTTGTTCACATGTGTAATGTCTTTTTAATTCCCTTTTTCTCCAGCATACTCATTAGTAATCTGATACAGGGAAAAGTATGCTTTAAACTGGGTAAGTGCAATGTGATTTAAAAAAAATGGAAATGTATCTTGTAAAACTTGCTTTTAAAATGTACTCTGCATCTTAAGCATATTTTGTTCAGGGAATACAGACCTTAATTTTGGATAATTTTTTCTGGGTGGCAGATGAATCTCCTGATGCATCTGACCAGCGGTGAAGTTCTTCCTTTGCTGAATGGAGCCAATCTGTAAATTCGTGAACTGCATCCATGTACATCAGATGGTCCTTTACAATTTCTTCTACTTTCCTCATTTTCTCCTGGCAATGAAAGAGAAAGCTGCTCAGAACAAAAATTGTCGGGATTAAAGAACTAGACAAATAGATTAGGCTTCATGTATATTTTGTAATATATCCCAATAAACTATCAGTTTGACCTTCTAAGAAATTTTTTTGCAAGTATCTCAAATATCTCAAGATAAAGGATGTAAATGGAGAGATCTGAGGAAGAGATCATATCTTTCTTTCTCTATATTCAGCTCCGATGTACCAAGTGCTGGATAACATTTTCTAACAAGTAATAATAAGATCAACAAAATACACATATTTAATAGAAGTTCACTAATATAATGAAGAGAAAAATATATAGCTGAAAATTTAGTGGAAATACCATTGGCCTTGGAGTCAGGAAGCCATGAGTGAAAGTCCTAGCTCCAATATACATATATAAGCTATGTGAGTATGGGCAAGTCAATTAATGGGTCAGAGCCTTGGGAACTCAGTAAGACTATAAGTTACTGATAGGCTGCCTATCTACATCAGGGAGGGAGTTTCCGTATCAGGAGTTCTCTATACCAATTAAATCATAGATGTACTTAGACTATGGAATGGAATTAGGTTGAAGCCAAAACACAGATGGCCTTAAATGCCAGGCTGAGGAATTTGTATCTTATCTCAAAGGCAAGAGGTACCCCGAAGATTTAGGGGGCAAGGGAAGTGACACAGTCAGATCTTTTCTTAGAAAGATTATTTTGACAACTCTTTATAGGCTTTCTTAGAAAGGGTTATGATTAGAATCTGGGAAAACAATTCAGAGAATATTATAATAGTTCAGCTAAGAAGTGATTAGGGTCTGAAATAGGGGAGTGGTTATATGAATTCCTTGTTTTCTTTTGATATGTAATCAAAACAACTCTGCCAAACTCCTTTGTCTGACCAAGAGAAATGGTGAGCCATCTTTCTATGTAAATGCAACCTTATTATATCTCCTGGTTTTGTTTATAATAGGCATTTTTTAAATATTATTCCATTTCCCAAAGGTATATGAACTCATTGTCCATTGGAAGGGAAGGAGAGGAGGGAAGAAGCATTTATGTAACATTTACTATGTGCCAGGCACTGCGTTAAGCACATCGGACAAGGAGCTAACATTCAGAGTATCCATAATTGTTTATAAGTGTTCTAAAAACTGCATGATTCCTAACACCTTCTGCCTTCTTTTACACCAAACTTCCACTGTCATGGCACAGGTGTAATCATTCCAGGCCCCTATTGAAGAAACTTTATTGCCACTAGGATAAAATAAAAACTCTTCTTTTTGTCATTTAAACTTTTAACAATCTAGCTCCAAACTATTCTAGACTGATTTCAAGTAACTCTCCCCATATACTTTATGTCCCAGTCAAACTTGCTTGCTCTCTCCCCCACAGATGATATTCCAACTTCCTGTGTATCTTTGCATAGGTCCCCACCTAGTCATGCCTGGGATGCTCTCCTTTTTCACATCTTTAAGGATGCCTTGCTTATTTCCAGGATCATCAGTTTCAGTGTAAATATCCTCACGAAGCCTTTCCTGAAGCCGTCCAGTTGCTACTATCCCCAGAAAAATATCATTTTGCCTTTTCTTTGAGAGTGTGTGTATGTCACATACAGATCAGCTAGGTGGACAATAGATACAGCACCAGGCCTGAAATCAGGAAAACTCAGCTTCATGAGTTCAAATCTAACCTCAGACACGTACTAGCTGTGTGACCATAAGAAAGTCACTTAACCTTGTTTGCCTCAGTTCCTTCATCTGTAAAATGAACTGGAGAAGAAAATGGCAAACCACTCCACTATCTTTGCAAAGAAAACCACAAATGGGGGCATGAAGAGTCAGACACAACTGAAATGACTGAAGAAGAACAGTAAAGTATGTTCACATTTACACTGGAAGCACTTTCCAGTCCTACTATATTTGTCAATTGATATTATAGATGCAAGACACCCAGATATGTGAAGTGCTAATGAAATGCCCTAAATAAACCTGTTTATTGCACCTATATATCATTCTTTAAATGCTGGAGACTGACTTATGATGGTTAATAGTTGTCATAAATTTAGGATATGGACAAACTTCATGACATCTTTGTTGTTGTAATTTGCTAAACTTGTATATCTCAGTCACTATCTCTGTTAGCCAAACCCCCATGGAGCTACAGCTGCATAGATAATCAATCAATCAAAAGTGATTTAATGACTATCTATGCAGAAAGTGTGCCTCTCCACTCTCAGAATCTACGTATCAGAAAGCCATACAAATTCCAGGGTCATGGGATGACCCCTTCCCTTTCATTCTGTTCTTTACTCCCTTAACCAATGATTATAACTTAAGATTGAGAGTACAGATCTGGGAATATAAAGAACAGATAAAACTTGTTGCCACATGAATTAAAGAATTGGAAAGTCAAGTCTTATGGAAGATTAAGAAGTGGGAAAACTGATGTGTCATCACCAATACACATTAAAGATGGGACTTTTACTCTATTTAAGGGAAGAGTTATGACATTGCCCTGGAGTCATCTACAAACTGGACCTACGTGTTGTACCAGGGTCATGAGATGGTTTAGGGTTTGGGGAACCCCATAAAATGGGTAAAAATAACTCCAGTTACAGGAAAGCACTGAGCAAACCAAGCTCGTATTTTATGACCCATTTGTTTGTGAATCCAAGTGGTCTTCAATAAATTTGGCACCTGATATGTAAGTTTTTACTATGGATTGTCTTTTTGGTTTCTCTCTTGTTTTAAGAAGCTTGACATATATCCAGCCATTTAGAATACATTTGGTACTACATGGTGAGGAAGAGACAGAAGAGAATTATTACCTCTCCAGGCTCTGAAACCAGACTTCTGGACCTAGAACAATTTCTTCCTTTAAAAAATAATTTCTCTTTCTCTAAGTAGTTAGACAATAGAATGCAAGTTCTTTGGGGTATATTTATTTTTTTTATTTGTATCTCCAATACCTAGTGCATAGTAGGGTGCTTAATAGAAACTTTTTGAATTTAATTTAATTGTTGCAGAACAAGTTCAATTTCTCATTCCATCCTGAGCCACTGGAGGGCAAGAAAAGAACAGAATGAACATTTATGTAGCACCCACTCTGTACAAGTGCTGGTTTAAGTGCACTGGAAACATTTAGAGGATCAGTAATTGTTTACAAATGTTCTAAAAACTGTGTGATTCCTAACACCTGCCTCCTTTTATACCAAATTGCCACTGTCACTGAACAGGTGCTTTCAGGCTGGTCTCCTGAACAAAAAGCTTTGGGGGTTGAGGGACATTTTATATTTTTGTGTATTTCTTGGGCTTTTATGAGCTTCTGGAGAACAAGGACTGGTTTTGGCTTTCTTTGTTCCCCTGAACAGTTCTTGGTACATAGGATACACTTAATAAATCTTGTTGACTAACTGAATATCATGGCAAAAAGAAGAAGGAGGAGGTCAGTAAGGAAGAAGGAAAGAAAGAAAGAAGGGAGGGAGGAGAGGGAAGAAGGACTTCTGTGGTGGGTCTACTGATCACTTATCAATATTAGTAAGAGCACTAATAAAAGAATGTCATCCTAGGATGATTAAAGAGATCTGGGTGGTATTATTATTTATTATGTATTATTATTATTAATGTTAATAATGGTGATGATAATGAAAATAAATTTATATAGCCCTTTAAGGTTTGCAAAGCACTTTATAAATATTAACTTATTTCATACATGCATTATTATCCCCATTTTACAGGCAAGAAACCAAGGTAGGCAGAAGTTAAATGATTTGCCTAGGTAAGTGTTTGAAGTCAGATTTAAACTCTGTTCTTCCTGACTCCAAGGCCAGTACTCTATTGACAGCACCATCTAGCTGCTTCTCACATTAGCGCAACTCACAGAATCCTAGAAAATCTCATAGCTGGAAAGGACTCCAGAAATTACGTAGGTAAACCTTACTGCAAATGCCAACTCCTCCCTGAAGCTTTCCCTGATTTCCTCAGCTTAAAGTAGTCCCTCCTTTCTCAATTATACCAAGATAGATTGATACAGCATTTTTAAGCACTTGATTATTTGTGCCAGTCATTGTGTCAATAATATTTTATCTGGATTTCTAATCCCTATCATGCTCTGCCATGATTTATTTGTATATGTGGTACAACTCTAAGTAGACTGTAAATTCTTGGAGGGTAAGAATGATATTGCTTTTCATCTTTCTGTTCCTAGCATTGAGTATACCATCGTTCATGTGGGCATTTAGCAAATGTTTATAGAGTTGATTGAATTAACATAGCACTTGCCGTTGTTCAGTCATTTCAGTCACATTCAACTCTTCATGACCCCATCGGTGGTCTTCTTGGCAAAGACAGTAGAGCAGTTTGCCATCTCCTTCTCCAGATCATTTTACAGATGAAGAAACTTAGGCAAACAAGGTTAAATAACTTGTCCAGGGTCATACAGCTAGTAAGTGTTTGAGGATGAATTTGAACTCAGGAAGATGAATCTTCCTGATTCCAAACCCAGTGCACCTAGTTGCCCTAGTAAATATCAGAACCTAGATTTGAACTCAGAAAAATGAGTCTCCCTGATGTTAGGCTCAGCACTTTATCCACTGCTCTACCTAGTTTCCCCTACAGTTGACATAAAGAAATGGAAGAAGAGAAAGAAAACAAGCCAAAGTCAGAGCCATTCCAAAGTTTAGAAGTACAGTACAATGAAGTACATGGATAAGAACTCAGTATCATAAAAATCTTTTGCTCAAGGGATGTACTAATGGTTTTAAAACAGCTAATTTTCCACAACATTCAATCATCAAGGATTCCAGTTACAAAAGGAAGGAGGGAAGGAGGCCAAAGCTGGCAGTTATCTTTGGTTTCTTTGGTTGGTTTCTTCTTTTAAATAAATACCTTTGCAACAGTGCTGAGATCATTAAACTGTGTTCTCAGTTCCTCCTGAGAAGCTTCATTAAGTGAATCATCCTCGGTCTTCTCATAGAGCTCTATGGATTTTTCAATTACATGATGGAAGGCCCCAACATGATCATCTGCCTCTGAAACAATGGACTGAAAGTGATCCAGGAGGGAAAATTTCTCCTTCAGTCCCATCTGGGGCTGTAAGGGATGTTCCACTTTGTGATCCACTGATTCCATCCATTGCTCCAACTGGACCTTCCTCTCCATATAATCATTCCACAGAGTAATCACAGACTCCAAAGAGCTAAAATAAAAAAGTCATGTAGAGTGCAGGTTGGTTTTATTGTTAGCTTAAAATCAAATCAAATCAAATCAATCAATAAGCATTTTTATTAAGTGCTATGTGCCAGGCACTGTGCTAATTACTGGTAACACAAAGATAAGTACTGTAACACTATTATTATTGTCAAATAATGAAGAGCAAAATGAGCAGAACCAAGAGAACATTGTATACAATAACAATAGTATTGTTTTAAGAACAACTTTGAGTGAATATGCCATTCTATTACAAATACCCAAATTAACCACAAAGTTCTTATGAAGGAAGTTGCTATGTGCATCCAGAGAAATAACTTATAAATAGAAGTATGTATAGAATGATTGTACGTACATATACATATTTGTGTCTAATGGTAGCCATCTCTAGGGTGGGGGGAGGGAAGAAAAAAGACATTTACATGATAATTTTATTATATATTTAAGAGGATAGCAAATTGTACAGTATAGATTTGCAGTTTCACATGCAATATTTTTTATTATACTATGTATAGAAATGCTTGTTTTATCCCATAAATTAAAAATAAACAAATAAATGTTTAAAAAGATTAAATTCTGCATCAGTGCAATAAAAATATTGCTTCTCTGTAGAGTGATGGAACATCCCACCCACATGTCAATGATTAAAAAAAAAGCATTCATTTTTCACTGAAATTCTACCAAGTTTCACCCTGAATACCTGATAAATTAAATCCCAGGTGATCATCCTTAGTTGACAGGTAGCTCTGATATATACAGCCACTTACTTGCCTTAACTAGATGAATAGAAATATCATCCAAATGGTCCCTGCCTTGTGGGGGCACTCCTGGACATTTGCCTACTTGGTAACTTTTCTGAAAATATTGCTTTCTGGCTTTAGGATCCAGGATTGGATGTTAAGCCACTGCACTGGCATGTTTATGTTGGGAGCATGTGCCTTAATTGAATGTGGTGTCTGAGACATATAAACAACATAGCTGAGATTCAACCAAATATTATAATACCCTGTCTCACTGTGACTTTCTTTACCTCTTTTAATCCATTTTAGTGGCCCCAATTAATGTCAGTTTGGCTCCAAGGTTTCCTTTTCAACAGACAATTTTGTGCGGTAATATTATGCAATGTGCAAAGAGAGAGCCACACACTGAAAACAGCAGAGTCAGTCAGCTGCTTCTAAGGAAGTCTTCCAAAAACATGTTGATTCTAATTCATGTCATACTCAGTTAATTCCATCTTACTGAACCAAGGAATGTTGCTTTAGGAAATGCAAGAAAAAACAAAAGTACCTCTGAGCACGGACAGCAGTGATCATGACATTATCCCACACATCTGTAAGTGTGTGGAGCTGAGTCTGAATCACCTTCTGGCCTTCTTTGTTGCTACTTTTCAAGGCCTGTTCTCCTTTCCCAATGGCCATATTCAATTTCACTTCACCTTCACCTTTCATCAAAAGTATCTCCTGTAAAAAGGAAACAGATTTAAATAAACTCACAACAATGTTCAAGCACACTGTTTCTGCAGTTACACTCAAGTTCTTTATTTCATTATTCCCTTGCCTCAATGTCCATGCTTGTTCAGCAGAAAAAGGATACTATGTGATGCATCAAGCGTGGGAACAATTCAGTGGCTCCAAGATTTTATAACAGCAGTGTAGAACTCCTAAAACCTCTCACAATAAAATGATCTGCTAAGTGGATATGTGTAACTAAAACTATTAAGATAAACTATTAAACAATTATTTGAGAATTGTTTTCAAAAATAAAAGGCAAGTATAGAATGAAATCAGTTGAGGGTGGGGAGTGGGAAGCAGGAAGCTCTATTGCAGTTGGAAAATTTGGTTTTATAAAGCATCCCAGATCCTTAAACATACTCCATTTTAAAAATGCAACTGACTATATCTTCTCTCTCCTTTCATTCCCCTGAATAGCAGTTCCTTCCCTCTGATACTACTCACGTCTATCTTGCATATATCTTATTTGTACATCATTGTTTGCATGTTGTGTTGTCCGTTATAAATGTGAGCTCTTTGAGGGAAAGGACACAGCATTTAGCATAGTGCTGGGCATAGAGTAAATGCTTAATAAATGATTGCTTGCTTGTTGACTTCTCCTTCAGAATAAACACAGAAAGAATAGGATCCCAGACAATTGGCCAGTTGGCTGTGTGTGAGTGCATTTGTGTGTGTGTGTGTGGTGCGCACGCGCATGTGTGTGTGCACCCCCACGTGCACGCAATCTTCTCTACTTGTCAGGAGGTGTATACCTGGATTTGTAAGAGTCGTTTCTCTAAGATGGCTTTGCTGCCAACAGTGCTTTCTGCGGAAGCCAACTTGTCTTGCACATCTTTCACCCAGGACCACATGCCTTGAAGGGCTTCTTCCAGGGCCTGGTGTTCCTGCAGAGCTACTTGGCAAGTTCTTAATTTCTCCTTTGTAATTTTGAGTAAGTTCTGATAACCAGTGAGGAGCTGTGCAGCCAGACGTACTTCTTTTCCAACCCCGTGTCCTTCTTCACTTAAATTCTGCCCTCTCTGAGAAAGCTTATCAAGGGATTCTCTAAAAAATAGGGGGGGAAAAAAGAAATTTATAATTCAGGAATACAGGTAATTACTGTTGAAGCAGTGAAGAAGTTAATCAGACAATGAGGAAGAAAAGAAGAAAACGAGCCTTTATTAAGTGCCTGCTATGTGCCAGGGACTGTGCTAAGCCCATTACAAGTATAATGTCATTTGTTCATCACAACACTATGAGGTGGATGTCATGATTATCCTCACTTTATAGTAGAAGAAACTGAGGTAAACAGAGGTCTAAATTACTTTCCAAGGGTCATACTGCTAGTCAAGTATCTGAAGTCAGATTTGAACTAAAGTGTTTTTTATTTCAAGCCCAGCCACTCTATCTACTTCAACATCTTGCTATCATTCATCAATACTAGACACTGTGCTAAAGATAACAAGAAACATGTATTAATTGTTTACTGGGTTCCGGGCACTGTGTTAAGGTCTGGGGATTCAAAAAAAAAGGCAAAAACATGGTCCCTACCCTTGAGAAATTTATATTCTAATGGGGGAGACATGTAAATAATTATGTGCATTTAATAATAATAATAATGACAACAACAACAACAATAGCTACCTGTGAACTTAAAAGTTTATAAAACACTTTACATACATTGTTTCATTTGATCTTCACAACAACCCTGGAGGCAGATACTATTATTATTTCCATTTTACAAATGGGGAAACTGAGTCTGAGAGAAGTTAAGTGGCTTGTCCATGTTCACCCAGCTAATATGTGTCTGAGGCAGGATATGAATTCTAATCTTTACTCAAAGACTATTAACTCCACCTATGTGCTATACATAAAGACATATACAGTATAGATGGTAGTTAAAAGTCTCAGAAGGGAAGCCACTAGCAGCTGCAGGACTGGGAAAGGCTTCCTGTAGATGGGAGGGTGAGGTATTTGAGCTGAATCTCAAAGAAGGGCAGGAAAACAGAGGGGTAGAAAGGCGATGAAAGAGAGTAGTTCAGATGACACCACACATTTAAAGAATAATTAATTGTAGCCTAATTTGGTTATTTCAGAGGAAGGGATGATATATCTACATCCAGATAATACTGAGCCATCATAATTGTGCTGTCTCCTATCTGACTGTAGATATATACATAGGCTATCACTGTAAATATGTATCCATGTACAAGTATTTGCGCTGGTTAATTTGGCTGTTTAGAGTAGAGTGTTAATTAGACCAAGACTATAAGTGTTATCTTTATGGGAAACTAGGTAAGAGAAAAGAGATGGCTCAACAGAAGACATTGCTATTACTAAACAAACAAACAAAACCAAGCTAAAGTAACGAGTAGTGTGTCAATATTTACTGAACACATTTACCATGTACATAGCACTGTACTAGACTCAGCGTGGCTTAAAAGACATATACAACACAAACCCTGCTGTGAAGAATTGTGCAGTCTACTGCAGGAGATAAGGCATAATTCAAGACAAGAGAGAGATAATGTAGAAAGAGCAGAAAATCTGAGCAAACATCCTGGCTTTGCTGATTGCATATAGGTGCCCTTAGGTAAGTTACTTTGGGCCTTAGTTTTCCTCAAGCATAAAATGAAATGGTTGAACCGCATGACTTCTGAGGTCTCTTACACCTCTAATCTACAAAAGAAGAAGAAAGAGGAGCAGGAGGAGGAGGAGGAGAAGGGAGGAGGAGGAGGAGAAAGAGGAAGGAGAGGAAGAAGAGGAAAGAGAGGAAGGAGAAGGAGAGGAGGAGAAGAAGAAGAAGAAAAAGAAAAAGGAGGAGGAGGAGAGGTGTTTTTACACATGTGGAAACTGAAGCTCAGGGAGGCTGTGACTTACTCACAGCCACATAGCTAGTAAGTGTCAAAAGCAAGATTTGAACCCAGGTTAGCCTGAGTCTTAGATTTATCCATATTGACTCCCCAGTCATAAACAGTTAAATAATAAAAAATACAGAGCTAAACATAAATGAACAATAAAGGACAAAAACACCAAAAGTGCCACAAGGAAGTCTATAATTAATTGTCAAATTGTGGCAGATAGAATTGCTGTGTGTTCACAGAAAGTGGAGATAGATCACTGTGGGCCAGAATGGTCAAGTAAAAGCCCTAAGGAATAGGCAGCAGTTGGCCAAGTGGAGAAACAGGGTGGAGTCAGGGGAACCAGGGAGCAATGTATATAAGGGTCCTGGAGCAGCAATATCCAAGACATGTGGGTGCAGTGTTCAGGCTATAACCTATTTGTATGACGTGGAGAGTTTCATTTTGAGAAATAATGAGATATTTTAGAAATAGTGAGGAAATTTATGTTGGATAGATTGTAGAGAAATTAAAATGCAAGCAAAAGGAGTTTTAAAAGATTAGTCATTTTTCAAAAACAATTTCAAATGTCATATGTGTTATAATGGGAATTTCTATCACTTCTTGGCCTCAGTTTCCTCATCTCTAAAATGGGAATAATAACAGCCTTTGCCTCCCAGAGTTGTTGTGAGGATGGAATGAGATCACATATATAAAATATTTTGCAATTATTACTTTTATAATTCATTATTATTAATATTAATGAATATTAATAATACAATAAGTATATTGGTTATACTATATAACTGTTGAGCTCCCTTCCAAATTTTGAATTCTGGGATTCTGGAACTCTTTTTCATCAAACCTTTCTGGATTTCCTCATTTACATATAATCTCTTTCTCCTATGAATTATTATAAATATCTCACATATCTCTCCTATGACCTTCATACCATGTCTGGTTTTACTTGCATATATTCTTTATCATCCCTACTGGTTTTAAGCTCTTTGATGGTTATAGCGTGAAAAACATTTTGTAAACTACAAAGCACTTTTGGGGGTTAGGGATAGGGATTGCGTATGCAAATTCATTTGTAGAGGGAACTTATGGGTGAGCACATCCCTCCACCAAAGCAAATCAGCACCTTCTTTGTACCTTACAGTCTTAGAGACCGGCAAAGAGCACTGAGAGATCAAGTGACTTGCCTAGGGCCATGGCACCAATAGATGTCTCAGGTACAGCTTGAAATCAGGTCTTCTGCCTCAATCCAGCTTTCTATCTACCATGCCATGTCATCTTTCATAAATCACAATATAAATCATTATGACTGTAACTTGATATTTTTGGAGCATTTTATACTTTTCAAAGCCCATTTAATATCTCCTTAAATCCTCATAACAAACCTAAGATAGGTAGGATAGGTGTTATTATCCCCATTTTTCAGATAAGGAAACCAAGACCCTGGGAGATTAGGTTACATGCCCAAGGTTAATGAGAATCTCATAGGCAGGACAAGAACTTAGATCTCCTGATTTAACACAATCTGATGATCTTTCAACTATACCACAGTGTCATGAAGGAAATAGTGTAAAGTTCACCTGCACATTAGACACGCAACCAGATTAATAAGAAAAAAACCCTCAGTGATTGGTACAAACACATTTTTCCATTATACCTTGCAGCTAGCAGTTCCCCCAGAAACATTTCAACTTTATGAACTTCATTTTTCTTCTCAGGAATATGCTGTTTATACTCTCCAAAATTTTCTGTGCTTAATCTTTCCTCCATTTCATGAATCCACAGACTGAGTTTCTTGTGCTGATCTTCAAAACTATGATAAATAACAGCATTTTAGGAAAATAAATTATTCAATTTTTACCATTCTATTCTGCAAGATTTACTATTATATTCTGTAATGAGTTCTTAATGATGGTTTAAGTTATACAAAACAGGAAATTAAGAGTTTATACAACAATAGAGAATCACAGAATTTTAGAGTCGTAAGGGATCACAAAAACTGTCTAGTTTAACCCACACCTGTAAAGGAATTCCTACAGTAAAACAGCCAACAACTATGACCACTGCTTGAAGACCTCCAATGAAAGGAAACCCACTACCTCCTCAGGTGCCTTCTATGTGATGCTTTTGGAGAACTCTATGAAAACTAGAGAAAAGAAACTTTTAAGAACAATCCTGTCCAAGCCACAGGACCAAAGTATTTAGATTAGTCATCTAGTCAAAAGCTCTTATTTTACATATGGGGAAAGTGAGCCCCCAAGACTTGAAGCAACTTGCCCATGGCTACAAAGCTAGTAAGTACTGTAGGAGAGCTGGAATTTGAAGTCAAGTTATTTGAGTCAAAATATATCAAAAAATGAAAAGTAAAAAAGTTATATGGAAAAAATGATAAGAACCCTCTATTGTCAATATAGCAAGATCAGAAGGTTGTTCATCAAGTCAAAAGTTTGAAGACAGAAATGAAGACTTATTACCAATAAGGATGAATTTTCCAGTTATTATGCAATCTGCTAGAGGCCCAGTACCAGGAAAGACAAAAATCACTGAATGGGAACAAGGGGATGAATGAAGAGGGAGAAATGAGGGGAAGGGAAGGAGATGTAAGGAGCTGAATTTGACCTTTGAACTTTAGTGGAGAAGAAGCTACTGGAATCTCAACTTGGCTGCAGTAACCTCGGTACTACACAAGTTCCCAAAGAATCCAAGAAGCAAGTGGGGCCAATTCCCACACTGTGCCACATCAGGGCTTCTGGCATTTATTGTGACATTGGTTCTCTCCTGTGTTTTCTGATTCTAATACAAGGTAAGGGGGACTTCACATCAAGCTTAATGGAATCTGGCAGAAATATAAGGAATTTGGCACATGATGTTTGTCACCAGACTCAGTGGATATAGGCATTTATATTTTCAATCAGTGGCCAAAATGTTTATTTAAAACAAACGAAGAATAACCAACAACCCTGCAATTAATTAGGAGATTATGATTATATTTATTGAATTTATGTATTATTTATTATCATAATCCCATGTTAACTATAAAAACACACACATATACACATACAAGTAGTCTTTATGTATCTATGCCACTCAATTTGCCAGTGAAGTTAACTCCTTGCAAATAACGATTTCAGAAGCACAGAACTGTTTATTATCCTAGTATCGACCATGTCTTAAGTTCATCCCTAATTAAGCCATGGTAAACATGGATAGAATGTAAATTCTTGGAGGGCAGGTACTGGTTTGTTTTTTTTTTTTTAGCTTGTTTTTGTATTCTTAGCTCCTAGCAGAGTACTTGACTCACTGTAATAAATAAAGGTATGTTGACTGGATGAATGAAACAAACGTTTCTCTTATTTAAAATCATAATTTTGAATCTTCTTTGCTCATCCTCAATGATCCCTATCCCTTAGCCAAATGAAAATAAATTCTACACATTATTCAGTATAACTTACCTCCCCAGTTCTGTAGCACAGTCCTGAAGAGCCTGTTTATTTTTAAGGCAATCTTTCAGGAATGCTTGAAATTCTTCATTAGCTTTTGTAATCTGTTCCTCAATACTACTCACAATTTGTTTAGATAAGTAAGCATATAAATTCTGTCCTTCCTGAGTCACTGCATCAAGTTTGTTCTGGCCATCACTGATCGAGTCCAAAATGCTCTATTTAAAGAAAACAGCAAAAACAACAACAACGTATAAGATATTTCTTGGTTTCATCAAAGAAACCCGGCAAGGATAGCTCATGATTCTTTTTTCCTTTCTGGAACTCCTATGGCATACTTTGTTTCTTTCCACTAACACAAAATCTAGGATCTAGCATTGACCTGCATATGGCTTTGAGTTGCTTTTAGTTTCATTCAAGTAGTATGGTATCTCCCCTACTAGACTGTAAATTCTAAAAAAAAAAGTCTACATATTCTGCTTCTTAAACACACCCTCTCCCCCTCCCCCCTTTCTCCCGGCTCTTTCCCTGTAGTACTTTGCTCAATAGCAATGCCATACTTAGATCTGTGATCTCATCAATTCTGGAGTTCCTTTTGCTAATGCAAATTGCCAGCCATTCTTGCCCATCCAACTCTTGACCATGCCCTCCCAAAAGACTGCCACAAGGGATACTTCCAATATTATGGAAGGACTTTCTCACTTTTTTCCTAATATCAAGAAGACACCTATTGGCAGATCACTCTGGCTATCTATCTGTGATCCCTTGCTCTCTCCAGGTGATCAGTCTGTCTTCTCTTTCTGCCATTCAGTTCTTTCATGATGCCTTTAACATATGCTTCATAAATGTTGAGTTTTCTATGATTTAAAAAAATGGCCCAATATGGGCCACAGATTGAAAAAAAAATAAACTTTTGAAAAGGATAATGCTAGAATAGAAAAGAATAATGATAAAACCAAGAATCATAAATAGTGTATCTCTATACATATTCGAAATGATTTTTATTTTTCTTGCCTTCTCGATGGGCAAGAGGAGGGAAGGGGGAGGGAATTTAGAAATGGAAAAAATTAATTTAAAAACATAAAAAAGAAATAGTATATATCTCATATGGATTCTTTCATTTCTCCTTTATGTTATGCCCATCACTTCTTAAGTTAGGTAATGTAACCCCCAGTAGAAGGGGAGAAAAGAAAAAATAAGAGAAGGAGATGGGAGAAGACAGAAGCATAAAATCCACAATTATAGAGCTGGCTCTGAGATTCTATACTTCTGTGGCTCAGTTTTGACCTGGAAGCACCCCATCTCCCCAGCCTGGCAGGAAGAACTTTTGCTGACCCCGGGGCACCCACCTGTAGATTCTGTAGCTTTGCCTCTATGACTTTGCTGTCCCCAGATCTATCTGATGATTCTCTCACTGCTGCCTTCACACCAGAAAACCATGTTTGGAATGCCTGCATAGACTCTTTTGAAAGAGAACAAAGAGCAAAGATAAATATTAAAAGATGAAATAAGCTTCCAAAAATTACCACAATGAATTTAAATCCAGTGATCTTATCCTAATGAAATGTAATATTTGGCATTATAAGAACATTCTGCAATGAAAACAATAGAGATGGTTTCTATAGTCACAATTGGTATTATAATGATAGGAAATGACCATAGAAGTGTGAACAGTTTCTAGAATGAAATCCATTATTTTCTTTCACGGTTCCTTTCTATTGGAAGAAAGAAGACAACATTTTTATTGGAAAAAAAGAAAAAAGAAAAAGAAAAATGTGCCTTGAAATATATAGTAGTTATTTCTGTATATTAAGGGGAAATCTCAAGTTCTCCAAAACCAGTCGAGGAATGTTCTCATACAGTAGGGAGAGAGAACATTTCCGCTTTCTGTCATGTTTGGGCACACTGCCATTATGCTGAACTATTGGAACACAACCACAACTGTATATCCTAGAGGCAGAACTCATATTACACATCAATGGTAAATTTCTAGCTCATCTGGTGCTATAGCTTCCCTATAAATTCCCTCTATTGATTTTCCTATGGCAAATGAGACTTGCAGCATATTCCCTTGGAAATGGAGACTTCTGGCTTTAGGGAAGGAATTCCTTTCCCTGAATGAATGATGAGGAGGAGTGGAAAGAGAGTACTTTGACTTCCTCCATCAGGAGGGCATGTTTTTTTCTACCTTCTGAGGGTGAGTGGAATAACTAAGGTCATAACGAGTTGTACATGATTCATAATGCTTTTATTAAAATTTCAAAGAAATATAAAATTTCAAAAGATGCCCCTGCAACCCTTTTGCCACCTTCCGTTGGCAGTTTCTGAGGCAGTATTTGGATCAGTACCATTCCTGTGAGCTAACTGTTCCCTATAACACCCAGAATGGCTCACCAGTGAAGTGTTTTTCCAGAAAATCCTGTAGGCTGGCCTGTGTTCTGGAGCCAAGATGACTGACAGCTTCGTGCTTCTTTATTAGGAGAGTGATTGTGCTGCCCAAGGTCTCCAGCTCAGCTGAATGGTACTTGCGACATAGGCTGTTGAGATTTTCTTGTGTAGAATTGATGCTACTCTGCTGACCTTGAAGTTCTTTTTGAATTTCCTAAAGAACAAAAGTAAGCTATGAAGGCTACACACACCACACAGGAGTGAAAGTACTCTGATACATCCACATTTTTCCTTGATCCCACATATGATCTAATGTACACATATCAGCAGGTGGGAGGGCTGGCCAGGGTTAGGATTGCTGCCTGTGACAATTAAAAAATATAATAACATAACTAGCCATTCAGACTAAATTATCTCAGCCTGAAGAGCTAGTTACTTTGGCTGGTTAAAGAATTCAGTTATTGGGTGCTACCATCAGGGAACTATAGCACTCCATTTTGTGGTCACAGACTGTACTGGTAATTCCAGTCAAGTAGCTTAGAGATGTCTGTCAGAAGACATATGTACATATACATGCACACACACACACAGAGATATGTGTGTATATGTATATGTGCATATATATATGTATGTATATATATATATGTATATAACTTGCATACAACCATTGAAAGAATTTGTTTTGCTTGACTATACATATTTGTCAGAAGAATTTTATTTTTCTTTTCCAATAAGGTAGAGGGTGAGGAGGAGAAAAAATAGATTAATTTTTTTTTAATAGAAGGGTAGGGACTGCTACAGATATGGAATGCTACTTTCAGATGAAGTCCCTCCATTATTAGTTTTTCTTAATTGTTTTACAAGAGATATCTCAGGAAGTGGTAATAATCTGTAAATGTATGCAATATAAAAACAAGCACATCAATAAAAATCTTTTTACATAGCAGCTCTTTTTGTGGTGGCAAAGAACTGGAAATTGAGAGGATGCCCATCAATTAGGGAATGGCTGAGCAAGTTGTGGTATATGAATGTAACGGAATACTATTGTGCTGTAAGAAATGATGAACAGGCTGACTTCAGAAAAACCTGGAAAGACTTACATGGTCTGATGCTGAGTAAAGTGAGAAGAACCAAGAGGACTTTGTACACAATTATAGTCACATTATGTGATGACTAATATTGTTAAACTGAACCCTTCTCAGCATTACAAGGATCTAAGACATCTCCAGAGGCCTCGGGATGGAAAATGCTGTCCACATCCAAAGAAAGAACTATGGAAGTCAAATCACTCACTTATTTTTACCTTCTGTTGAGTTTTGATTCATCTTTCTGACGGTTCCTGTTATCGGTTTTAATTTTTACTTACAACTTCACTAAAGTGAAAATATGTTTAGTAGGAATGTAAATGTAAAGCCTCTATCAGATTGTGCGCTGTCTTGGGGAAGGTGGGGTGGAGGAAAGGGGAGAAAAATTTTAAACTCAAAAGCATATGGAAGTGATTGTTGATAAATCAAAATAAATTAATAAAATTTAAAAAAATAAAAAAATAAAAAAATAAAAACCTTTTTAAAAAGAGAAATAGCAACAAACACTTATTATATGCCTATTGCGTACCAGGCACAGTTCTAGGCACCATGGTGACAGAACCAACCTGAAGAAGGCTATGTTCTGTCAGGGGAGAGAACACATACAAAAGAAATACAAATTAGTTATGGGAGGGAAAAAGTATCAGCAGCTATGGCAGAGTACCATCTTTCCCTTCCCATTCGTTGTGAGACCAGCTTTAGCCAGCACAGTTATGCAAGGAGATGATGGACTTCCAATGGCGAAGACCAGAAACTTGGCTTTCACAACATTGCACTCATAAAATCATGTAGCACTTGGAAAGAGAAGGAAGAGAAGGTAAGACCTTGGCACAGTGGAGTAGAATCATTCTGGGGACCAGGTAACTCAGGGTATAACTATGTACTTGTCATTAGCATTATCTTTCTTGTATTCTATGAATGTTTCACTTGGGCTACTGGAGTGCAGTTTATGATGAGTCCTGGTTCAGCAAAGGTGGCTATTTCTGGTTTATTCCTTTAAGATTACTTCTGATCTGTCAATAGGGAAGGTTTGAGAGACATCATAGGCTGTAGACCTGGAAGTGTCTAACACTCTTATGGAATAGATGAATGTATCTAATGTACCTAAATCTGTGGCCCAGTGAGACTGAAACTTGTCCAAGTTCACACAAATCACACAATCAGGTTTTGAACCAAGGTGCTTAAACTACAAATCCAATACTCTTTCTACTATGCCAGAAACTTAATAGTTATCCCTTCCACATTGCAACTTTCCCCATTGAGATTTCACTATATCGCTGGTTGGCAGAAGAAATTAAATGGGAATTTTTAGGGAGTTTCATAGAAACCACAGATGATGCACGAAAGCCAGCAGATGACACAAAAAAGTTTAGAAACTCAGAAATGAATAAAATATATGTATAGTATTGTATAATACCAACATCTTTTATCTTTTAACATTGTAAACACCCCATAAAAGAAAAAGAAAAAAAAATTCAGACTTCTCTGGTAAAAGGGAAGACCAAAAATTTTTATGTGTGGAAGGGATAAATGTAATAAGGTGGTATGATTTAGAAGCCTGACAATAGATTTTGAAAAGCTCCAAATTTTACAAAGAATTAGTAACTATTAGCAGTCTGTAATGACTGTAATGCAGATACAGCATTGCATGTTCTCAACATTTGTCAATGGTTTATCTAATTTGTGTATTAACCTAGAGAAACCTTGAAGCTCTGACCAGAAGAACTGGGTTTTTTTTCTTTCAAGTGGCCCTTATTCTGTATGGGGTCTATGATTTCAGTAATCTCTTCTTCTGATACTCAACATTCCCATAATTCCTCAAGAGTTGGTTTATCATACTGGTTGAAATTACATAATGCAAGAACTTACAAATAGGATTAATAACAATAAGTTATTATTAAATATGATTATCAAACAAGATAGTTTAAAGATAGATTTATCACTCACCTTTACTTTTTTTAAGCTTTCACAGTTCTGAGTTTGTGCACAGTTCAATAAAGATTCTTCGGTTTTTGTAAGCCAAGTTTCAACTTCATGAATAAATTTTTCTAACTGCATTTTTTGGGCAGTAAAATCTTTCAGGGTTCCCTTTGCTATTTCAGTTACTTCTTTGGCATGCTCCAGTTTTTGCCTTAAATCTTTTTCTATAAACTAAAAGTTAAAAAAAAAAGATTGATATCAGGGTCATATGAATACACTCCTGGAGTTCTCATTCTGTTATACATTGGAATGTTCACACTTTTTTCAATGAATAGAGAAAAGATAGCTTTTAATGGATTCCTTTCATACATAAAAAAAAAATCTGGTAAATGCAGTATGTAACAAAGACAACCACAAAAGTTTTATTTGCCCTTAATTTATTTCTAGGAAAGTAGGAAATTAGTAGGAACAAAATGGAATGTTGTGTAACTGATGAAATGGGAGAAGCATGAATGGAAAAGATCATAGAAAATTTTTGTATCTAGGTCAGCCAGCCACTGGCGTCTGCAAAGTTTACCCTGAATCCAGGGAGTTCATCCAATCTAAAGTGGTTAAGTAAGTAAGAATATGGTAAGTTGCTATGGAAGCTATATAATTGAACAAGAATAAAGCAAAAAGTATCTAGAAAATTCACCAATTCAGCAAATATGTATTAAGTGCCTACTCTGTGAAGAATAGGTATTTAACACATATTTGGTGAAATGAATGCTATTACTTTGAAGTGAATTGGCATAGTTCATAGTCTGAGATGTCTACATAATCTGGAATGTGTACAAGGAAGCATAAAGGATTGAAGTTAATGAATAGTTTATGAATGGTTAATTAATGGTTAATGCATAACCCCCTAAAGCAGAGGTTCTTAAACTAGGTCTATGAATTTGCCTTTGAAATACTATGTATTTTATTTAGTGTACTTCAAAATATTTTACTGAGAAAGGATCCAGAGGCTTCCCCAGTCTGCCAAAAGGGTCCACAATACAAAAACAAAGAAACAAAAAAAACATTAAAAACCACTATCTAGAGCATGTGGTCTATGGTATCACTAACAATTGAGGCCCATCACAGGGGAATGGTCATGATGGTCTTAAAAAGCTGGTAAGTCCGAGTAATCTTTAAGGAAGATGATTAAAGATTCTTACTATGGTTCTTTAACTCTGCTGTACTTCCCAGATAATCAGACAAATCTATTAATACTTCTGTTCCCTCTATCATGCCAAAGATTGAATCCCAACAAAAATCCTAGCTTGGACTTGGTGTCTTCCAACCACTGCTCCTTCCTTGGTATCCCTTACTTTTCTTAAACATCCCAGTGCCCTTGCAAGCAGAATTCCTGACCTGATTTAAGATGTGCCATTCATTTCTTAATCTGTAGTAATAATATGGTGCAGTCATGAAAAATGGCTGCTGTGATGGCTCCATTAAGATTGCTGTTATCTTTTAAGTTTGAGAACTTCAGACCTCTCTCCCTATTTTTGCTCTGCATGGCCAGGCACTCTGGATTTAATTGGACCTTCAGAGTCTCTCACTGTGCTGGCTTATTGTCAGTATCTCCAGTAATCAGAGGAGAATATGATTCCTGATAAGGTCAGAATCCACTTATTTGTATTTTTTTTTAGTTGTTTTATAAAAATTGGGAAGGGACCTTGGTCACAAAGACCTTGATAAAATGTACCTAAACAAAATAAAGCATTAGAGGAAAAGTAATTGGAACATTGTAGTAGTGGTATGATAGTTCTGGACAATTTATAGTAAATTATCTTCAAGGCATTGCTCTGAATTTTCCATTTCATGACTTAAATGACAAATGCTGCTTCCTTTTCAGTTAGGGGAAGTCAACATGTCCCAAATATATACATAAGTTATTGCTTTTAATGTTTGAGTGGTTTTAATATAAAAGTTCAAACATCACATATACCTATTCTTGAAGGGAATAATTGCCCTCATAATCATAATCTGGTTAAAAAATTCACTAAATTTCATTTCCTAGGTGATTTCTGTGTTGCATATTTTTCAATAATTTTCTTAACTTGCAGAATAGCTTATTTTGTGATTTATAAAGGCTTTATCTTATACTGAGATTGAGAAAAAATTATTATTAAGAACCAATATCTTGAAGAGATTCATAGCTCTCCCTTTCTTCAAATTTCTGATTTTAGAAAAAAATCAGTCTCTCCAAGGTAATGAGATTGAATTAACTCTCCTAGATCTTGGTCAGACCCTGCACAACCTTGCAAGGAATTTAATCTAAGGTGGGGAAGCCCATTGTAGTCTACTCAAACTTGGGTGGAGACACATCCTTTTGTCTAGAACAGCTCAAGGCTGGGAGTGGTCTGTTATAGAGATATTTTCTCTGTCCAAGGGTGACATGATGATGGGTGACATCAGCCCCTCATTGGAAGGGTTATTAATGAGGCCAGGAGGTTACTAATAAAAGGATGGTCATTTGGCCATCTGTCTTGGACCACTTTCATGACTGTTTTTGATCTAAGAGAGATGGCCAAATGACTATCCTTTCATTAATAACTTGCTAGTTATTTTATTTATTTATTGTATTAATAAAAAAATCTGCTGGCCTTATTAATAAAATGATTAAATTACCCAGAAACTATGCCTCTCAAATAATTTTAAATATCACAAAGTCCTATCCTAATATCCCACAGTGACATTAAAATAACCCTGACTTTTCGAAGGCTATTTTTACAGATTCTTAGCATAATCTTTGACACTAGATATTGTCAACATGGCACCAACCAAATCCAAGAACTTTGATATTTTAAACCCAATGCAAGGCCCATCTTGTTTGCTTTGGGTTTTGTTTTTCTACAGATATTAACTAGTACAATGACTTGCATAAGATAATGACTCAATACATACTTTACATCACAATCATGATCGTGATCATTATCCAGCAATATTAAAAGTCATCTCACCTGAAGATCTGGAGGTGTTTCCTGATTTTTGGTCAGTCCTTTAAGATTTAAAATTTTTGAATGAAGTTCTTCCAATTTAAGTCCTTTATTTTTAACTTCACACTGCCCCCAAATAGAAAAAATACAAAAAAAAGTGTTGATAGTCATATATATATGTGTGTGTGTGTGTATATATATGTGTGTGTGTGTGTGTGTGTGTGTGTGTGTGTGTATATACATATATATACACACAAATGACTGATCACATTCTTATTTTCATATTTGTGGGAACATGTTACTTGTACTGAGTCTTGAGACTCTTTTAAACACATACATAACATTATGTCACTTTCCAAAACATTTTTCAAAGTCAATTTCTGAATAAAAAAGAAAAGCCATTATGAGTCTGGAAAAGCTGTTGCTATTAGCTTCCACTTAATGGAATATAAAGCAGTCCATGGACTTTTTGGTTTTTTATTATAGAAAAGAAATCTCTGGGAAAAAATAAATTCAAACCAAAATTCTTAATTCAATGGAGACTTTAAATACCATAGTTCATTACAGCAGCCTCATTAAATTCTCAGAGTAGTATTTCATTTTCAAAACATAACCATATGTAATTCATACATCATTTAAATATGCTACATGTAACAAATATTTATTTTTATGGAAGTGAAATCTAATTAGAAAATTGTCATACTTCATCATGTTGTACATTTAAGTGCAAATATATTTTAAAAATACAGGATGAGCAAAGGCTAAGGGTTAAAATTCTTCAAGCCTGCTGCTTCTTATAGAATAAATTAGACACTTTAAAATGTAAAGTAATTATTTTGGGTCAGGAAAGACCCATTCTTAAAGCCTGAATAATATGTTGGAATTCCATATAAATTTAGCAATTTCCCTATAGCCAGACTCCCAAGAAGTAGTTCACTTATCTCATTAGATATAAAAGTGCTGAATAGAAACTGCAGATTAAGGCTCAATATAAGTAAAGGCTTATTAATAATTCAACCTATCTGTGAGTAGAATAGTTTGCAAAGGGAATAAAGGCTTTGCTTTCCTTAAGTTCTTCAGGTAAAGCCTAATTGATCACTTGCCAGGATGTTGGAGAGGCGAATGATTGTTCAAGAATGAGTTGGTTCTATGATAGGGTTAGCTGAACATGAGACCCAGTTTGAGTCAATTATTCCCTTGGAGAAGCTTGAGTTTTTAAAGAAATACACAATATTTTTTAGGTCCTTTCAAGTACCTTCATATATAGTTCTTCAATATCTTAATACTGTGGATTATTGAGAAAAGTTAGGCTTATGATTAAGATTTACAATTATTTGTATTTGTGATGTTTCCCTCAAAATTTCATAGCTTTAAGAAGACCATGTGACTGACTATCATAAGACTTTTCTAATCTTGCTCAATGCATAATTTATCTTGGGATCAAACATAGCTAGCAACTTTCTGTAGCTCTCTTTTCCCTTTTATTCATGTTTTCCATCTTAAGAAGAAATGCGGGGTCAGCTAGGTGGCTCACTGGATAGAGTACTGGCCTTGGATTCAGGAGAACCTGAGTTCAAATCCAGCCTCAGATACATAATACTTACTAGCTGTGTAACTTTGGGTAAGTCACTTAACCCCATTGCCTAGCCAAAATAGAAAGAAATGCATATAGAAAGATGCAACAAAAAAGATGGATAACTGCTTTTGTCACAAATATAGTCAATGCAGTGACATTGAGTTTAGAAAAAGTCCTGGAATGGCCATGGTATCCTTGGGTAAGTGGTAGATTATCAAGAGGAAAGAAAAAGAGGTCACTTTTCATATTCCTTTCATAGTCCACATGAACAAGTTAGACTCACTGACCTCAAATTCCTTAAGGAATGCTTCTGTTTTGAGGCTACTACTGAGGTTGCTAATATTTTCTGTCAGCTGTGGTATGGAGCTGTTTGACCAGCCATCAATTTCATCTCTAGCTGCAAGCACATCTTCCCAAAGAGACAGGCTTATGGTAAGTCTATCCATGTTCTCCTCAATTTTCTCTGAAATCTAAGAGAAACAAGAAAATGTGTTGTCAGTAAATAAGTGGTGGCACCACCGAAAATTCCTTGCAAATAAGTCCCAAAACAGATGGCTCTCTAGTCCTCAATTATTTTCTTATTTATAAATAAAAATATTTAAAACTTGCCCAGACAAATTAATAAATAAAAAGCACAGAAATCAATCCTAGCTCTCACAGAAATGGGCCACATGCTTAAATTTCATGCACTATATATGAACAAATCTTTAAATGAAGTATTACTATGCTAACAACGAAAGAATGACAACATGTATAGAAAACTGGCCTCTTATTCAGAACTACTTAATTTCAAGCTGTGCCTCTGATTTGGCTTTATTTGAGATATATATCTATATATATCTATATATATATATCTATATACATATATATCTATATATATATATATACATACACACACACATATATATATACATATACATATACACATATATATACATATATACACACACACATATATGTACACACACATATATGTACACACACATATATGTGTGTATATGTATATATGTATACATATATAAGTGTGTATGTGTATATATATATGTGTATATGAATGCATATTATTTAAGGGGAAGATAAGTTTAGAAAGTCACTTAATCATCTTTGTGTTCTAGGTGCCAATCTGTATTGGTGGCTAGTTTGCTCACATGGGAAATTACAGATCCAGTCCCTATCCTTATACTAAGAAGAATCTGCTTCTTTGGGGGTATTTTAGATTTTTACCCTAATATTATCCACTGTATGGTAGACTTAGCTATGAGGAAAAATTAATGTTTAGCAGTATTAATACAAAGAAAAAGTGACTGTCCTTACATCTAGCCATCTATCCACAGTGCTATCCATGTCTGTTTTCACCAGAATGAAATCACTGCTTTGAGTTCTTTTCAGTTCAGATATCAAGTGTTTTCCTTTACTTGTAAAGTCATCCAGTTCCTTTTGCTTCCCATTCATCTCAGTCTTGACAGTTTCATGCTGTGGAAATAAACAATTCTTTCATTTAATAAAGTAACCAGTAATTAAAAATACATTATCTGTGAAAATATGTTTAATGGGTATGTAAATGTAAAGCCTATGTCAGATTGTGAACCGTCTTGGGGAGGGTAGGGGGGGAGAAAAAGGGAGAAAAAATTTTCAACTCAAAAGCATATGAAAAAAATAAAAAAAATTAAATTAAGAAAGATAAAAAACCACATCCTTCTACATATGCATATATATTTTATGTATGCATGTGTGCATATGCATGTGTGTGTGTGTGTGTGTGTGTGTGTGTGTGTGTGTGTGTGTGCATGTATTGCTCACTAACACCTGTCTCTAAGAGCTCCAGGCCAAGCTTGGCTTCATAAAGAGAGGCTAATAATCCCAATGAGATTTATCAAGTGTCTAACAACCCACTTACACCCACACAGTAGGATTATGGTCATTACAAATGACCTCTTGAGGGGCTCTCTGAAAATCTAGAACACAATCTTTTCTAGAACAAAGTAGACATGGAGTTCTGTAGAGCCCAGCATTTCTAACATACAGGAGAATGTCCCAACCAAATAAGCCCTTTATGACCAAAAACATAAATCTATGACCAAAAACATAAATCTATTTCAATAAAAATCAAGCATTGGTCAAGTTATCACCTTAGATAAGGCCCATCTAATGTCCTCCTGATCCTTTACAGTAGATCTGGTCATAGTTACATTGCTGGCATTCTCTAGGACTTTATATACCACTGACTTCAAATTCTGATATTCTCTCATCAAATCAATAAGTCCACAGCACTGACCTTGACTGAAATGGTAACAGAGAAAAAAAAAAGAATTAGAAGAGTATCACTTTTCAGGGAAGACAGCACAAGGGAACTACTCCTTTAGGTTTAATCTAACGAAACCTGTCTCAGATTTATCAAAGGGAACAGTTTGGAGACTTAATGAAAACCATAACTTTGTTTCTGCCTTCAGCTCCTACAGTCATAGTGATGCTCTTCATTCACATTTAATTGGCTTAAAATATTTACCTTGAATGACGATTGCATACCTTTTACTAAAACTCTCTGCTTCTCTGCTATAGTGAGGGGACTGAGGGGTTCAGAATAGCACATATACCATCCAAATTTTTTAAATTTGTTTTGCTGACCTTTATTCCCCTTACATTTTTTATTCTTTATTATTTTCTCTAGAAAGTGAAAGTGGAGGAATATGGGAAATGTAGGTAATGTAAAAACAAAATATTGTAAACAGACTTGGACCCTAAAGTCTAGGGGAAAGGAAAGGGAGAATATATGTAAATGTGTATGTAAACACATACATATATGTATCCCTATGTATATATGAATGCTTAATATTCTTCATGGAAATTACTTTGAATTTTATATTTAATAACCCTCACTTTTATTTTTCTTTATTAAGCCCCACAAAAGAGAGAGGGAAGGAGGCTAAGAGGGAGAGAAGAGGAAAAAGGGAGGGATAACATACATATCATATATAATATATATGTATGTGTATATATATCATATATACATGTATGTGTATATATATGTGTATGTATATATATATATATATCTGTGACATCTAATTTATGAAATAGAGAACAGAAAAATGAAATTAAAAAACTACTATTCAAGAAGCATCCAAATGAAAAAAAAACATTAAAAATAAAGCGATCTCTTAAGTGTTTTGATCTTCAAGGATTGAACTAATTTTATTATATTATTGTCTCTCTTACTACATGTGCTAATACTACATTTTATCTTTAGTAACAGTCTGGCTCTAAAATGGAGCTTGGCAACTTATGATACATGGTCAGAGGTGTCATGCAGGAAATTTCAAATAAAACATATGCTGGTTCCTGCCATCTTGTTTCCCTTCCCACTATTATTGTTTGTTAGAACTGTTTCTCCCACATTGTACACTGTAACAGTAATATTGTATAATGATCAACTGCAAATGATTTGGCTATTTTCAGCAATACGATGATCCAAGATAATCCCAAAAGACTCATGATGAAAAATATTATCCTTCTCCAGAGAAAGAACTGATGGCATCTGAATGCAGACTGAAGCTTTCTTTCTTTGCTTTTTTTCTTTCCTTCCTTCCTTCCTTCCTTCCTTCCTTCCTTCCTTCCTTCCTTCCTTCCTTCCTTCCTTCCTTCCTTCCTTCCTTCCTTCCCTTCTTCTTTCCTTTCTTCCCTCCCTCCCTCCCTCCCTCCTTCTTTCCTTCCTTTCTTCCTTCCCTCCTTTTTCTTTCATGAGTTTTCTTCCACAAAATGATTAATGTGGAAATATGTTTTACACAATTGAACATATATAACCTATATCACATTGCTTACTGTCTCAGGGAGGGAGGGGAGCAAGGGAGGAAAAGATAGATGTTTGGAACTTATATCATTTTTTTTAAATATTGAAAATTGTTTTGCATGTAATTGAGGGAAAAAATATTACTTTTTAAAAGAAATTGTTTCTCTATTTCTTTCTCACTGCTTCTCCTTTTACATGAACTAGAATGATACTACTTCCCTTCCCCTGGGGCTCCTGAGAGTTGCATTCCCTATCCTCACAGCCTCCATGACATTTAATGAACAGTAGAGAAATTTAGGTGCACTTTTTTTAGGTTCACTCTCTTTTAAAGTTCCCAACTCCTTCCTCAAAACATTAACTTTCATATAAATGTGATGTCTCAAAAATAAGCCAATGATTGTGAAGAAATATCTGGAAGAATACAGAATAGCCAAAATTGAGAAGACATTAAATTCCAACATCTGCTTTACTCACAGCAGATTCAGTCACAGCTTTGCTCACATGCAATGACCCAATTATTCTGAGAACATTTGACTTACTTTTCATGAATCAGCTTCTTTGTGTCATCCCAGGTAGCTTCCAGACGATTTATCTCTTCATCAAATTCTGGTGCAGAAGTCACATCTTTCTGAGCTATTTGTTTAGCTTTGTCCTTCAGCCACCACAATTCATGCTCATGAGAATTCAACTCATCTTCTAACTGATTAAAAACTCGCAACCTACAAATGAAAATGTTCAATTGCCTTCCTTTTAAAATTTATTTATCCAAAGACTTTGTCTGTATTTTAATGATCCATAATTTTATTGGTGTGGATATTCCCGTTTGCCAGGATAATTCACAATCCCTCTAGGACTTAGTAGATGGCATTTGAGAGTTATTGTGGTTAAAAAAATTATCTCCTCTAACCAACCTGATAGTGACCCTTTAGGTAAATTTATCTAGGTAAAAGACTTCTTGAACTTCAAATTACTTGAATCACTAATTTTACCTATTACATTCCAAAATACTTATTCAATAAATTTCAGTTTAGCAAAGGTTTATTTGGTACTTATGTGAAAGCTGAATCTATATAATATGGAAAAAAATATTGTCAACAGGACAACAGAAAAAAAAAAGTAGTGCAAAGTCCCCATTCCCTTTGAGTATCTTCTGCCTATCATGTAATCATGGGAGTAGAAAGGGGTTGAAAGAAAATATTCTGATTTTTAAGACAAATAAGAATTTAGACCAAATGAGCTTGGAAAGTCACAGGAGAAAAGGGACTTAAAAAGACATTTGAAATGATTGCGGGGATTAATTTTAAGTAGGTATTATGACTGAGATCTATGTTGGTCACCCAAAGAGAGCTAATACACCCTCAAGAGTTTTTTACTAAAGATTTTGCAGGCCTCTTCCCTTGGGAAAGAACTGAAGATAAGCAATACAAAGCAGAAACAATCAACCAAAAAAAATCAGAATAGTACATAAGAAAGCAATGTAATGTCATCACTAGAGGACATCTGTGGCTGTGCAGCATTAGTCAGATGATTTACCCAGCCACACAACTTCCTTAGCATGTTTCTATTCATATGTGTCCTCTTTGTGTGTTTCATCCCCTATTGGTGGCTTGGGAATCTTTGGGAAAGTATAACTTTGAGTGGAAGGGGTGGGGTGAGTGGGTGTGAGATCTTCCTCTTAATTAATTTAATATGCACTTGGAATAAATGTCTTTTGTTTTGCAAGAATATACCCTCTGGCTAGCCTAATAAAAGTAAATATAATTTTGAGTAGATTCTGACCCATGGAGCTAAAGCTGGAGTAGCTTTCTGGAGACCCATATGTAAAGAGGCCCCTGGCTGCCACAAAAAGTGAAAAGAAAATCTCTAATAGAAAGAGCAAAAAAAAATTTTTTTTAACAAAAGAAGAAAAGCTGAGCACAAGTTTCTTCTACCTTTGTTGAACAGCTTGTTGGGTGAGTTCCTTCAACCGTTCTTTGTCAGCCCTTTCTTCAATATCTTCAAGACTCTTCAGGAGGGCTTCCTTGTGATCTACAAAAGCCTTTCTCAGGGCTTCAAAGGCCTCTGCCTCACTCTGCTTGGTCCCCAGGAGATTCTGGATGCTCTCTAATTCCAAACCAAGTTGATCTGCCATTTTCCTACAGGAAGCTCTCTGCTCCAACTGCCACTTTTCAGGTGATACTGAGCTTTTGTGAGAATTCCATCTAGATTAATTGCAGTGCAGTCTAAATTTTTAGCATCCATAATTGCATCATTTAAGTCCTTCTCCAATAATTCAGACTGTGTCTTATCCATGTTACTAGTAGCTTCCACAGTTTGCCTTAGCCTATGGAGAACACTTGATAAAGAAGCATGGGCCTGGAGGAACTGGGTCAACTCTGTCAATGCAAGTTTCCTTCTCTCAATCATCTGACTGGCCTCTTGGAACAGCTGGAAGCAATCCTCTGCCCTGCCCTGGAGAGTGTGGTGGTCCTCTCCTCTGCTGAAAGAACATAACTTTCCTAAGTGAGCCTTTAGCTGAAGAATTTCTTCCTTCTTGCTCTCTACTTCTGCTGAGTGGTCCTAAAAAAGTGAATAAATAATTAAAAGCAGTCTAGCCTGCTACAGATATGTCTCCCTTTATACAATAGGTCTATTCTACAATTTAAATCCACTTCAATTACATTCAACCATTGCTATATAAGGCACTAGACTAAATTCTGGGGATAGTAGAATAAAACAAAACAAAACAAAATAAAATCAATCAAGAAGTCTGGGTGTTGGGGATTAGAAGAAAAAAAATGTAGCTCACAATCTAGTAAGGGGAGAATATACAACTAGACAAGTAAAATAGATTTAAGGCAATTTCAGAGTGAATCAGGATATGGATTCAGGTAGAAGATGGCACTTGAGTTGAGCCTTGAAGGAAACTAGGGATTCTAAGTAGTGAAGGTGAGAAGGAGTGTCTTTCTGATGGGGGTGTTGGGGGGACAGCCAGGGCAAAGGCTCCAAGATGGGAGACAATATCTTGTGTCAGCAATGCCGGTTGGAGTGACCATAGTGTGTGTGATGGGGAACATGTATTATATAAAGGCTAGACAGGAGAAGGCTGGAAGATGTATGTGTGTGTGTAATGGGGAATATGTATTATATGTATTATGTGACACATATTATATAATATATATTAGAAGGCTAGAAAGAAGGCTAGAAGAAGGAACAATCTCTACCTTATAGTAACTAACATTGGATGTGGATAGGAGAGGTAGATTCGATATGTGAGACATGATCTCTCAGAAGTGAAGCCTACTTAGGGAGTCAATGGGTCTTGTTAATAGTTCTTGAGTGTTGCTTTCAAAATCCCTCCCCGCTCAGACCCTGTTTTTAAGCAACTAACAGAAAGATTAGCCCTGCCCCCAACCTGAACTGCTTGCCCTTGCAAAACTTCCCACCTTTTCTTGTCTCTGGGCAAACTTGTGTAACTACCTTTGTTCTAGATTTCCATGACTAGATTGTGCCCCCTGAAAGCCCAGCCAATGGGATGAGGGGAAGGGGGTTAGGTAGGAGGAACTCACATTAGGGTATAAATAAGCCTTGATTTCTATAGTGAATTCATACTCTCCTGGCCCAAAATGGCGACTAAGAAGGTACCCTTTCTCATGAGAAAGCAATAAACTCCTTTCTACTTTCAAGGTATCAAAGTCTTCATTTTTATTTTTGAATAAGTGGTCTCTGTCCCACACAGCTTGGGGCTCTCTGGGATTTCCTTCCTTATCTGAGAAGGGCCTCCCAGCCATTCCTAGGACAGGTGCCCGCTGGCCACTTGCCAGCTGTCCAAGGAATGGTTTGTGAGTTTCCTTTCACTTTTAAGGAATGGACCCGAAGAAAGGCAGATAAATGAAAGCATAAACCTCGGAAAGCATACAGTGACCACCATCCGCTGAAGAATTTGAATTGGTTATGTAACTTGTGCACACAGGCCCAGGAAAGACAAGATCGGTGAGCCCCCTAAAGAGGGCAAGAAGTAGTGATTGTCTGGGTGACCAGGGGAGGGGAAACAAGGCTGAGCTTAGTGAGGTGAGAAGGCAAGATTGGTGAGCTTTCTACAGATAGCAAGAAGTAGTGAGCCCTGGGCAAGATCTAGCCAGCTTCCCCTCCTGTAAGGGGGCAAGAGTGATGAGTTCTTGAAAGAGGACAAGAACTAGTGAGCCTCCATCTCACAGCAACATATGGTGAGCCTTAAAGGGCAAGAACTGGTGAGCCATGGGGACATCCAAAAGCAGGTGGTCAGCAACATAGTTCCTTTCCATATGTTATGGACGATAGCTAATTGGACTTTGCCAAAGTATAAAGGGAAACATAAAAAGAAAATGATTAAATATGATTTGATGATTTGAGGATTCTACAGCAATTTGTTGTATGTCTATTTTGTGTTCCTGTTTGTGTCTGTGGTGTGTATGAGTGTTAACAGTGTTTGATAGTAAAAAGTTTGGAAACTTTTGGAAAAAAAAATTCTCAGCATTCTAATTCTGGCCAAATTTTGAATGTGGAAAGAAAGAAGAGAAAAAGTTTTTTTGTGTACCAGAACACAAACGAAAGATAATTTATGGGCAGCCCAGGGCTGTGTGGAGGGCGGTGGCTTGTTGGGGACACCTGGGTTTGGAGGCTGCTGAGGTCATGTTGTTTCCCCACAAGCCCCAACTTATTCATTCTGGTAATATTTTAAATGAAATGTGATGTTACACCATTTGGCACTAAGGTAAATTGGGAAAATGTATGAATTTGAAATTTGTTATGATTGGAAGGTGCCTAACATAATGTCTAGCAGAGGGCAGACACTAAAAATGTTAACTATTATTATTAATTCCTTAATTAGATGTGACCAGTATATAATGCAAATGGTGAAGAGATGCCTGATTTTCTATGTAAGGAAAGTTGGAAATATAGTCAACAGAATTGGAGCCACCTGATTGGTAATGTTTCTGTTTAAAGTTTTAAACCTCTACTATTGTTTCAAATTGGTAAAGTTTTGTATTGTTATGTCAAGTAGCTTTTCATAGTTTGGATGTTATTAAAGTGAACTGAAAGAAACTAAAGGACAGTGGAAAAATTGTGTAAAACCAGTCAGTCCTGCTAACCCTGTCTTGTAATTTTTTAATATAACTGCTATTTAGACCACCTTTATCTGTAATTAAAGAAGGGTTATAGCCGAAACAGTTTGCCGAGACCTTAGCCCCTTACTCCAAAAGAATTTGGGTGCCATTTGTTTGAATGAAGGGGGTTAGGATCTGGGCCCCAGAAAGGAAAAAAACCCACATGACCAAATCTCTAGTGTTTGCCTGAGGCTATAATCCCATCAATTGGCCTTTCACAAGGGGAACCAAGGGGAGAAGAGAAGTTCGCCCTTGTAGACCCAAACTGAGACCATAACAAACTGGCCCATAGAAAGAACATGAGGAAATTACAGGGAATTAGAAACGTCATCCCTAAAAGCCAGAACAAGAATAAGGTGATGTGGATCAAACAGGAAAAAGAGGAAACTTCCTCTTCCTTTTTAGACAGGCTGAAGGAGAACATGAGGAAGTTTTCAGGATTAGAACCTGAGGATTCCACTACACAAAGTTTATTGAGAGTATATTTTATAACTAACTCCTGGCCAGATATTAATAAAAATTTGCAAAAGTTGGAGAATTGGCAGAACAGGCCTTTAGATGAGTTGCTAGAAACAGCCCCAAAAGTGTATGTAGCCAGGGTAGAGGAAAGTAAGAAGGAACAGACAAAACAGAGTATATCTGCCCTGAGGAAAGAACTTGCAGTTCCTAAACAATGAACTTGGCTTGCTGAGAAGTTGTAAGTTTCTAATGATTGGCTTTTATACCGGGACAAGCTTAAATTTGAGATGTGAGTCCTGGTAAATTTTTATTGATTACTGCAACTCCATGGGAGCAAAATTAACTATATCTGGCTTTAAGCTGTAATTAGTGAAATTTGCTGTTTAAGATAAAAGGCTCTTTGGACTATAATTTTGTTTTGAGTCTGAATTTGGGTATAGTTGTCTGCATTAAATCAATATCTGAAAGAAAAGCACTCAGAGGGAATGTGATCCTGTAGGTGGAGGTCTGCATCTGGGAGAAAGCCATGAGGACAATCTTAGCCTCAATCTAGGATGGGATCCTCCTGGCTCAGTTTCTCCATTGTGTTCCTTTGAGAAGGAATGTTTCCCACCTGACTATTCCTGAGTCTGGCTATGATATGGAATTGATACTGCATGATTGGAGAACTGTGACTCTTATCTGAATTCAAACAGAGCTAAGGATGTTCTATCTTGTTATATTTGGCATGTCACATGTCCCTGACTTTTCCTTTTATAGTAGATTTCTCTGATTAGAGCAAGTGGTCAGTAAAAGAAGTATGTGAGATCTTTCTGTTTTGATCTGAATTGTAGTCATCTCATGGCCTAAATAAGAGTAAAATCGGTGTTTGAATTTATCGTATGTAAAAGATTCAATTTCTGAAGTATAATTAGAGAAGGATGCATATGTTAAAATGCAGAATACGTAATTGTTAAAGGTACCAAGAGTGCCAAGTGTTAAAGGTACCATAAGAGTGATAATTTCTATATGTGATAATATGGAAATGCAATTGATGTTACCTGAAGTTTATTGTTTTTGTTACAAAAGTTATTACTGTTTCTAAATTGTATTGTATTTCTAAAACTCTTAGATTGTAAAATTTGAGGGAAATTGTTATTATCCCACACTCCCAGTGTGTCTCCCCTCTATGCAAGACTCCTTGTCCACCTTGGTTAAGATAGAAGGGAAAGGAGAAATCAAGCTGCTGGTTCTGAAGAGTCAAGGTTGAGTGCCAGTCTGAGACCGCCCTGATGGTTATTAAGGTTTAGTGGGTGTGAGGAGGCTTCAAATTGTAAGAAATGAGAGGGGGGATTATGAGAGATGATCTCTCAGAAGTGAAGCCTCCTCAGGGAATCAATTGTTCTTGTTAATAGTTCTTGATTGTTGCTTTCAAAATCCTTCCCCGCTCAGACCCTGTTTTTAAGCAACTAACAGAAAGAATAGCCCTCCCCCCAACCTGAACTGCTTGCCCTTGCAAAACTTCCCACCTTTTCTTGTCTCTGGGCAAACTTGTGCAACTACCTTTGTTCTAGATTTCCATGAATAGATTGGGCCCCCTGAAAGCTCAGCCAATGGGATAAAGGGAAGTGGGTTAGGAAATCACATTAGGGTATAAATAAGCCTTGATTTCTATAGCGAATTCATACTCTCCTGGCCCAAAATGGCAACTAAGAAGATACCCTTTCTCATGAGAAAGCAATAAACTCCTTTCTACTTTCAAGGTATCTAAGTCTTTGTTTTTATTTTTGAGTAAGTGGTCTCTGTTCCACACAGATATATACCTAAACGAATGAATGAATAAATAAATTAAGTTGATGAATGAATGAATAGGTGAATGCATACATGAATGAATAAATGAACTTATTTTTAATAAGATACTTTTTGAAGATACAGAGATATAGTTTAGAGGGATAAGGAGAGAAAACCTCATAAAGTAGGGATTAAAAACTAAAATAATACTTTAAATGCAATAGGGATATTCTTAGAGAATAACATACTGATTTTTTTTTTTTGAGGAAAAGAATACTTTGCAAGGAAAGCTGTTATTTTAAATGTCTTCTAAATCCAGATTGTCACATAATTCTAATTTTACATAATGAATTAGGAGTAAGGTAATCATATGAAATAGAATTTTACATAAAAATAGAAGCATTCTATTCTAACAAAATCTTGAAGAAGTAGGAAGAAACTTGGCAATGCTTAAACATTAATGTGGACTCAAGTGTACTTAATCTAATATATACGAGAGAGAATAGCCCAAAGAGGGAAAGCTGACATTTCCTCTAGTGTCCTGTCACATTGTAGAATAATAGGAATTTTATATTAGATCACTGAGATTATTAAACAGAATATGAAAATTCAATGAAAATCATGAATACAAAGCATGTTAACTGGTGAAAATTTTTTGAGTCTCTCAAAGCTGCTTCTGGTGATACAATGATTTGAATCTGCTAATGGCTATAATCACTTTTATTTCATAAAGTTGGGATTTTTAGTAAAATAGAATTTCATAAAAATTGGAAATCTACTTCATCTAATGTATTTAAAACACAAACTATTATGCTAATGTTGTTATAACCATTGATATATATGTACATATGTATTTGTATTTATCTCCAAAATTTTTAATTCAACAGATATGTACATATATAAAAATATATATATATATATAAATATATATATATAAATATCTATATCTATATCTATATCTATCTATCTATCTATCTATCTATCTATCTATCTATCTATCTATCTATCTATCTATATAGAGAGAGAGTCTACTTTTTCCAATGCTCTCTACTAGGTGCTGGAAGACCAAAAAGAAAAATTTAGTAGTTCCTCCCTGCCCTCAAGGGGCTTATTGTTGTTTGTCCTTCATTCTAGAAAAGGACCATATCATCAAGAAGGTGATGCCATGACTTGCCAGTGAATTAGATTTAAGTGAGGGAGGGCTGTGAAAAGTCACCAGCCCCATTCTCTCCAGAACCATCTATGTCCAGTGGCAAGATATAGATCAGGATAACTGGAGAGTCCCCTCCCCCACTCCTACCTCTGAGGGGCTTCCATTTTACATGAATACAAATAAGTATAACATAGGTGAGGGAGTGAGGAGGGGGAAGAAAAGATAAGATGAAGACTCTGAAGAAGATTGAAATGGTAGAGAACAATAATAACTGGGAATGAGTGGGAGGGAGAAGGCACCTGAGCTAAGCCATGAAGAAATAAAATGATTCTGAAAGCTGGAGTGGAGGACCAAGTTTATCCCATGCATGGGATGTGGAATAAGGGGTGGCCAGTGCAAATGATAGTAATGAGGTTCTGGACTAGGTGATAAACATGGTCAATAGTGGAAAGATTACTGAGTGATGGTGGCAAATAAAGGGCATAGAAGTAGCAATGGAAATAAAGTAGTATGCACATTCTCCCTCCTAGACCACTGTGAGGGAAAGAAGGAACTTTGTGATCAATGGCTCATGTTTCTGTGAAGTATACTATGAAAGGCTAACTATCAGTAGGAAATGTTTTATAATAGTAAAAAAATTTAGTACATATAGGGGAAACCACTTTTAAGCTAAGTAAGAGTTTAGAGTGGGAAATGGGCCAAGACAACAGTCTTGGTTTTCTAATTAGATGAGAACAAGAGAAACAATATAATAATAAGCTTTAATATTTCACATTAAATTTTATTTCATCTAGCTTTGGGGCTAAAAGGGGTGGGAGGGAAAACAAGTAATAGGATTGCTATCTCTGTTAATTAACAAAATGGTAGTGGAATTAATGATAGTTTACTTAACTAACTTTGTATAGCTCAGAGAACAAAAACTAGATGGGTTTATATGTACTTAAAATCACAGGATTATAGACCTAGACCTCAGGGGCCAACAATTCCAACTCCTCATTTGACAGTTGGGAAGATGAGACCTAGATAAGCTGAGTGACTTGGCCCATAGGTCACACAGGTGTTAAGGGTCAGAGGTGGGATTAGAACCCAGATCTTTTGACAATCAGACCCATTGTTCTTTCCATTGACAATGAAGTCAAAAGACATTTAACAAATAAGTTTTATTTCTTTATACCCAGTGACCTGCATAGTGCCTTGCATATAGTAGGAGCATAATATTTTTAAGTAAAAAACTAGTAATAATGATGATGATTTCAATGGCTACCTAATAAATTTTTAACTTTGTTGGCATCATTATTCTATACTAAGTAAATGCTTTCATTTTCATCTTCTATTAAGAAAACTTTCCCAAACTTTTAATACTGGTGCTATCCCTGAGATGATTTCCAGTTTACTCGTCGTCTGTATCTTGTATATACATAGTTGTTTGCATGTTGCCCCTTTAATTCGAATATAAGCTTCTTGAGGGCAGGAACTTTTTTTTTGGCCTTTCTTTGTATGCCTAGTGCTCAGCACAGTGCCTGGTACATAGTAGGGGCTTAATGAGTGCTTATTGATTGGACTTTCATTCATGTGTATGTTTTTTCACGTGTTTTTTCAATCTTTAAAAAAAAAATTATGCTTTACCTTATGTTGAACTAGAGCAGCTTGATGGTCCATTATACTGATCTCAGAAGTACAGTGTAAATCACTGAGAAACTGCTTAATCCAGACAGAAAATGAAAGTAGCAGTTCATCAAATTGCTGATGTTCAGTAACTACAGATTGGAGGAAACTAATTCTGTACAGAAAGAGAAAGGGGGAGAGTGCATTTGAGATTCAAAAGTTAATCTGAGGTGATTTCCATTTATGTGGAGCTTAACATTTTACAATTTATTTACCTCAAAAGATGGCTAGGTGGCGCAGTGTATAGAGCACTAGACAATTAGGAAGACAGCTCAAATTTGACTTCTAGCTGTGTGATTCTGGGCAGCTCACTTTATCTGTCTGCCTCAATTTCCTCAAGTGTAAAATGGGGATAAATAACAGCTACCTCCCAGAGATATTTTGAGGATAAAATGAGATAATATTTGTAAAGTTTTGCAAACATTAAAGCATTACACAAATGCTAGCTACTATTCTTATAATTCTGTGAATTAGAGCAAGTAGTATTTAGTAGATGAGGAACCAAGGCTAAGAGAGATGTTATTTATCCAGACTCATAAAACTAGTGTATTTCAGAGTTCATAGTCAAATCAAGGTCAAGTAAATCTCCCCTCCCCCCATTATACCATTTTGCCTCCAAGGGTTAAAATAATAAAAAGGAATTCCTATAAGAAGAAATAAGGTCCAGAGAAAGGAAGTGAATTGCTCAAAATCACAAAGTGGAAGACTAGGCACAAAAAGTCTTATCTTTTGACTCCCAGAGCAGTGTTCAACCGATAACCAGCTTTCTTAATTTAGGAGGCCCATTGTCTACTCATGAGTCAAAGTGAGTAGTTTTCAGGAAAAGCAACAAACCTTTTGCTAATTATTTGAGGCAAAACTCTCCATCTCTCATCCAGCTGCTCTAGCTGTAGCTGAATCACTTTCACATCATCTTTAGAAGCCACCGAGAAGAGAGATTCTTTCAACTGTAAGAGATTGCTGTACAATGAGGCATGGGATACAACTTCATTCTGCAGTGCCTGAGGGCAAAAGAGAAGATTTTACATATTGTTATGAAAGGACAGACTACTAGTTAGGAATTCAAGGATCTAAGTTGGAAAAGCTAGTTCATTTCAAATCTCTCAGTCACACTGCCTATGCTCCAGCCATTATCCTCATCTCACTCCAACTTCTTGGACTCTGCTCCTGGCTCTTCCTCTGATAGGGAGAGTGAGAAATCAAGAATGACTCCCAAGTTGTGAACTTTGATGTCTAAAATATGGTGGTGCCCTCAACAGAGATAAAGAAGGCAAGGAGAGAGGTGGGTTTGGGAGGAAATTAAGTGGGTATTATTTTGGATGCATTGAATTTGGGATGCCTAAGAAACCCTGAATCCAAAATTTCTGGGACTGGAATGAATATCTAAATCTGGGAGTCATAGGTATAGATTTTTTTGAACCCATGCAAGCTACTCAAGAAAGAATGTAGAGAAAAAAGAAAGCCCCTCCCCAAAAAAACATGAGGCACACCCACAGTCATCTCTTTCCCCTCAATTTGTCTTGTACTTTTCAGCGTTTTGGCTAATATTACCCTTTGTGCCTAGAATATCATACCTTTTTCTTTGACTGCTAAATTTCACCCATATTTTAAATCTCAGATCAAATGTCATGAACACTTCCCTGACTCCTCAAGTCAAGATGGGACTTCCCCTTGCACCTCAGTACTCTGTGCCAGGCCCTAAGTGTGTGGGAATGGGCAGGCTGGTGGTGAGGGAAAACAAGAAATTAGGTTCAGGAAATTAGGAGACAGAAAATGATACACCGCCCCTGTTCACATGAAGTATACCACCTGAAAAGCATTTCAGAGTATTATTGTACATTTTTGTGGGTATATAGTACTTTGAGAGTTATTATAATTATAATTCTTTTTTGGGACCAGATGTGTGATTCCATTAGTGTAGGGAGCTAACAGTGAGGAGCGTCTTCTGTCAATGAGAAGAATATATTTACCACGTAATATTATGCATTACATTTATCTATGTCTGTGTCTTACTCTTTTCCAGAGGATAAGCATTGTTTCTCTAAGGATAGAACAGTGTTTTTCTTATTTGTCCTTTTTTTCCCCATCCCTAGCACCTATCAATGCATTTTTAAACTGTAGGTATTTAAATAAGTGTTGAATAATGAATAAATAGCATCTCTGGATCTTCTGCCAAGCACAGAATGACCATTCATTCATTCATTTATTTCACAATGAACATTTAAAGTCCCCTAACTTTCAGAAATCACCACTGTTGCCTGTAGTATCCTTTCACAAATAGTTTGACCTCAGATAATTGCAAAACTCAAATACACAAATTCACCACATGCTTCACTCCATTGGTAGTAATTGCACCCATACTTCCAAACAACTTGGGGATGTACCCTGATGATTCTGCCTCCCAGAAAGGAGAATTCCCAGCCTACCACAAGAATACAAGCACGCACCACTAAAGAATGTTAACCAAGTTTCTTCTTAACTAGTCTCCTCTCCTTTGCTCTTCATAATTGTATATCAGCAATAATAAAGAATAATATTTTGTTCTTTTATAACACCAACAATAAGAAAATAAAAAGTCCATACATCCCGTTACACTTTCCTGACTCAATAGCCCCATCTGCTAGCTCCCTTACCATCTTCATTACTTAGCTACATGAGTTACCTCCCTATTTGTACAGATAGAGCTAGCTAGAATATCCCTGTTTCATAAATATCCACTGAAATCTGTCAACAATGAAGAAACATTAAGCACACTTAGTTAAACCCTCTATTTCATTCTTCTTAGCATATAGGCTGCCATTTCTCAATATTTCTCATAAACAATAATTATTTATGCAGAAATATCATTATTCTATATCATAAGTTCTCCTTGGTAGGTCATATGCATCAACCTCTACCAAGGAGTGACATCATCTTTCTAGTAACATTCTTTGACTTCTTTCCAAGGCAAGTTGAAAACCTCGAGTATCTTGGCAAGCTACACATTGGGCAATTCCTTCAACATGTTCACTACATTCAAAGATATAATTTTCCTACTCATATTGTTTGCTGAAACTTGCCTGTACTAGCTGAAGTTCACTCTCCAGTTTGCCTCTGTCTGCAGAAATGCCACTCTCTGGGGAAGTGGCTCCGGCTTCACACCGCTCCAACCAGGTCAGAAAGGTAGATAGTTCTTTTTCTAACCTAAAGAAAGTAAAGTTAAGGAAAACGTTTAAAACTAATCTTATTAGAAGAACTATCTTCTTTGAAGCTTGTAGAGTTGTGAAGGATTGTTTTTTTTTAATCCACAAGTAAAAGCATGGCAGGTTATTTTAGATTTTACAGCTGAAGGATTCTTTCCTTTCAAATTTCCCTGTCAGAATCACTTCAGAACGTGAAGTACCTTAAATTGAACATCAGGGAGGTCTTGCTTAATACTAAAAAAAAATCTAATATTAAACACAAGTACAATCAAACTTGCTTAGTAACTATTTATATTAAATGTATAATTAATCAATTACTCCAAGTCCTCTGGAGTATATTGATTTTCATTCACTTTTTATCTACTGTGGTTGATGAATTTGTGCATGAATTAGATTTAAGTAAAGTACAGTTCTAAAAATCAAGACATCACCCCCTGATGTCATTGGTCCTCTTCAAAAATGAAGGGCAAATAACAACAGTATGATCAGTGGATAGCTAATTCTTCTGATTTTAGTTTTTTTTTAATTTTCCTTATTTTATAATGACCTTTCCAGAATTTTTTTGTAGTCCTCATTCTTAGTATTATTTTCATTATTATACTTTACTATATTAATGTACAACACTTTCTTTAACTATTCTCTCATTTTTAGACATTTAGACTATTTCCAATTTTTTGTGATTATATGTCATGTTACTGGAAAAAAACTAGAACATGTAAGTCTTTTTTCTTTTTTCTTTTTTCTTTTACTTTTTTTGTAAGTCTTTTTTCATTTTTTTTAAATTGCTTTTTGAGGGCACATTCCCAATAGTGCAATAATTGAGTCAAAGCGTATGATTTTTTGGTAATTTTTGTGATGTTTGTAATTTTTACTGTGTACAGTCAGAATATTTTTCAAAAAGGTTCCAGAAGTTTGCAATCAAATAACCAGAAATGTATGACTGCACCCATCCTCCACAGCCCTGCCAGCAAAGAGTTTCATTGCTTTTAGATATTTTGTACATTTGATGGTTATGAGTTAAAGTTATTTTAATTTTCATGTAAAGGTTGAGTTTTTTTCAAGTGGTCATTAATAATTTGTGTTTTCTCTTTTGGAAACTGTCTATGCATGGCCAGAAATGTCTTTTCATATTAAGTAAGGGTTCCATAGAAATGTTCAGTCTATGCCTTTCATTTCTCACCAGCTGATAAAGAGTGATGCCACCTAACCTTAGAGCAATAGCCTCACCTCTGCCAGTGAGCCAATAGATTTTCTAGCATCATTTGCTGTTCCTTAGTGATACTAATCATCTTCTCATGTCTTTGCTGGAGAGTCATTGCTTCTTGAACAGATGAATCTTTGTTAATAACCTTGTGGGCACTCACTGACAAAGAGGTAACTGCGCTGCTCATTGTTTCCAAAGACTGGCAGAGATCCTGACAATCATGGAAAAGGAATGTAAAGAAAGAATTACATTAAAAAAAATGCTAAGAAATATCCAAAGTAATTTTTAAAAAAATATATAGTATTACCAGAACTATTACCTCAATTATTCAAATGCAGCCTACAGTGGTAAAAAAAAAAAAAGTTCCCCTCCCTACCCAGTAGTATCATTTAGATATTGCAGGCATATCAGTAAGTGGAAAATTACTATGCCCTCCCTTCCTAAAAAATGGGGTGGGAAATCTTCTTAGAATTTGAAGGAACATTAAACATTGTGTAGTCCAAGCACCCTCACTTAGAGATAAGGAAACTGAAGTCCAGAGATGTAAAGTGATTTTTCCCAATTATAAAACTAAAGATTCACTACTTCAGTGTTAGATTCACAACAACTTCTGTGTCATCCTAACTTCTCACTCTCACTCACCCAAACTCTCTGGTCACAAATTGTTTCATTGATATAACAATCTCTTATTATGAAATAATGTCTATACATTTATGTTTCCAAAATGTAGTATTGTTCAAGTTTTCAAACCATAATATTTTAAAAATTGTAATAAAGTTTCAATTCTGACCTAATAGATAATCTCGACTTTTTTCTTTCAAGAAATAAAGATTTCTAAGCACAAATAAAAAGTGTAACCATGCAGTATTTCACATTTCTAAGTTGATAATTAAACAGAAAATATAAATTTTTTTTTACCATATGTTCTTGGAGAGCTCTGTATGTCTCTGTAGCTGAAGAACATACTTTAACTGGTTCATTTAACTTATTTTCAAATTCAAACACAGATTGTTGGACCTAAAACATTAATGTAGATGCAAGTATAATGATAAAAATAACGTATTATGGCAAAATACAACCCAATCTAGTCCAGCTATTAAATAGTGAATGACATGCCCATTTGTTGCTATATAAATATTTTATAATTTGAGGACAAATTTTGAAAACTGAAAAATTTAAGATAAAAATCAACAGCTTCACTGCTGCATCATTTGAAAGATACTTTATTCAAACTCAGAGCCAAATTAAACAAAGTGTAATATGACATTTATATGTTGTCCAAAAAGGAATTTTAAAAATCACTTTAAATTTACTAATATAATTGATGGGAATATATAAATTAGATTAATTCAATATTTACTTCAGGTAGTCTAGGAACTGGAGTACTGCAGGAAGGTAAGAATATATTTGGAACAAAAATCTTCATCCTCCATAAATGATATAAGGTAAGTAAGATGAATCAATTCTGATAATCTTATACCTTTTTGAGGCTTTCTTCAAACTTTTGTTGCTGAGATTCATTTTCCAGGAGTGTGGCTTCCAGACAATGAGCATGCTCTTTGAGCTCTTCCCAACGTCTCCTTATTTGTGTCAATTTGGCTTTAATTCGAGCAGATTCTCCAGTGGTGATAAACTGAGCGAAAGATTGAGTTTCCTCTTCTAATCTTGGAATGTCACTTTGATTATTTTCTATTCTCTTGAGAATAACCTAAGTTTTGAAATAAAATGACAATGTAGACCCAGTTAACTTTGTTTTTCCTATAAAGGAATTTTTGTACCATGCTAAGACAAGTGCCAAATTTTCGTGAATAGTAATTGTAATATATTTGGGAATAATTTGGGAAGTACCATAATTATAACCCATTTGTTTCTTTTCCCTCTTTCTCTCTTTTTCATTCCTTCCTTCCTTTCTTCCTTCCCTCTCTCCCACCATCTCCCTCCCTCTCTCCTCTCTCTCTCTCTCTCTCTCTCTCTCTCTCTCTCTCTCTCTCTCTCTCTCTCTCTCTCTCTCTCTCTCTCCCTCTCTCTCTCCCTCCCTCCCTCCTCCCTCCCTCCCTCTCTCTCTCTCTCTCTCTCTCTCTCTCTCTCTCTCTCTCTCTCTCTCTCTCTCTTTCTCTCTCTCTCTCTCTCCCCTCTCCCAATGCCTCTCCCTCCCCTTCTCCTTTCTCTCCCACAAAATCTGCAAAAACTGAACAGATGGTGGAATGTACACTGATTGGGACTGCCTGCCTGTGCATGTGGTGAAGTAATCATGAGGGGCTTGGTGGAATAAAGAGCTAGTATACATAATCCACAACATATCTCAAGTCAAAGCAAAGTTAAAAGCATTTATTAATATAATTAATACTATAACAGTATTATGCTCATACTATGTGTCAAGTCTGGGAATACAGCTCAGATCATGGATAAGATCTGTGGCTCACCTTATTTAACCAAAGTATTTAATTTATAGATTTGAGGAAAGGGAAAGCTCCCAACTACTTACAGGAAAACTAATATGGTATCTATTCAGTTTCTTCAAAGGAGAAACATAAAATGGTCATGAAATCAAGCATGTGTGTTCCATATACTTATACTACTACAAAATACAAAGATGTTTCTGAACTTTCAGTGCATTTGTAAATATGTTTTATTGTGCTATGTAGTGTGAATCCTACATATGAGAATTTCAGTGTTACATTTATGGGAAAAAGTACACAGTAATGTAGTGGATAAAGGTTGGTAGTAGAGTTAGGACACTAGAATACTTGGAGTTAGGATACTATCTGTGAACATGGGCAGGTCTATTAATCTCACAGTACCCCAGACAGCTTTCCAAGACTCAAAGTTACAGATGAGTAGTCAATCCACATCAGTGGGGAGTTTCTATACTACACGGATGGGATTACAGGTCTAGACCCTCTTTCCACACTCAGAACCAAATAAAAAAGTAATGAAATTCACTGGGCTACTACGTAGTGGTTATATAACATCCATGGTGCCTCACTTGCAAATACAGAAACGTGTTCATTCTCAAATGATTAATATTCACTCCTCTGAAGAAATAGGCCAAAGAAAAGTAAAAAATTTAGACAGAAATCTCATGTCCAAATAATTAAGATGAAAGATGTTGGGATTTCTCCTCTTGCTAACATAAAAAAGTCTCTACATTTCAGTGTCTAAATATCTTGTTTATTCCGAAAAGATAAAGAAGTAACTATGTTTGTGTTTTGTGTGTGTATTTTTTTTTTCAGTGAGGCAGTCGGGTTAAATGACTTGCCCAGGGTCACACAGCTAGGAAGTGTCAAGCATCTAAGGCTGGATTTGAACTCAGGTCTTCCAGGGCCAGTGCTCTATCCACTGTGCCACCCAGCTGCCCCAGATATGTGTTCTTGAGCTGGATATACATGTCCACAATAGAACTTTTAAGAAAATAAAAGGTTTTAGCACTTCTAAAAGCTTTTTTAAGATGAGTTAGTTTGATAGTTCTATGTAGAATGATAAAATATTTCTTAATCAAAATTGCACAATCATGTTATGAAAATTCTGTGGAACACATATCATAGTTCATATTTTAGAAACTGGATATTTAATGAAAACTAAAAAGAGGATAAAGATTTACAACAAGTGCTGAGGTTAAAGTGTATATGCTTATGCAAATATTAGAGCCTTAGTTTCCTAGAGTTCATTTCGCTGATCTGTTGTATAGGTGAAAATTCTAATACCCTAATTTTATTTATACTGAATTCCATGCTATCATGGGTATTGTTACAGAAAGTATATCTTTAATTTATATGTATTTGGGATAAATTACTTTGTTTTCTATATTAAAATATAGACCATTCATCCATCCATTCATTCAATAGTCTTTTATTAAGCTTCTACTATGGACAGGGTACTAGATGCTATGAATATAAAACACAAAAGTGAATCTATCCTTTTCCACAAATATCATACATTCCTTTGGAGAAAAAAATAAACTACGTAGAGAGCTAAGTAAATACTAAATATATTTGAAATAAATACAAAGTAATTTTTTTTAGGGGAAAGGATAAGAGTAGGACCCTAACAAACAGGGAAAAGCTTCATGAGATTCCAAAGTTTTCCAAATGCTATACAGGGACCAAATACACTTCTAATCTATGTGGATATTTCTAAAGTATAGCAAGCAATTAAAATCTATGTCTTTAAAATGAAAAGTATTTCTTTTCCTATAATGTGATATGATCATTGATACACAATTCTAGAGTGTTTGTGGAATGATTGCCGATATCAAGGTAAACTTATGAAAAAAAAACTTGGTAAGTTAAAAGTTGTACATAAATTCGGAAACAGGGTGGAGGAAAGAAGCAATAGCAATGTTGAGAGAGAAAATATAATAGTTTTATGTTTTCTAAGCTTCAGCCACATACTTTGAACTTCATTTAGTGAAACAAAAGGCAGCTTTCTTTTTACTTTTCACAACTTTGAGGGTTAAGAATTTTCCATGAATCTGTCCAAGGTAATTAGAATCAGTTTATCCTTAGGAAACTATAGCAGACATATAGGCTGTATGTAAAAAAGGTGTATGTACTTGTTTGCACATCATGTGTGATTAGCAATGATGAATCAACTTCCATCTCAGTAGGTGGTAACTTTCTTACCCCTGCATGCACCTATTTATTTCTTGTCCTAAGATATAATGATGCATGGTGTTTCTCTATCAGTGCTCACATTTACCCTGATAAAAGGACAGAGGATTCTTGCATTATAAAGGAACTAAGCAAATCTGTGAAAAATGAGTAGGTATTGTTAACAATACTAATTGTATGGCAATATTTCCTCTTCTTTTGGGATCAAGGATACTACATGTCATGTAAGTTAACATATTCTCACTTTAACCTTTTCAGCTACAATCATACATGATAACATAACAGGGTGCTATTTTAAGCAGGAAAGGATCTAGAGAGTTAAGTCATTTGAACATATGCTCCAATGTCTAGGTGAGAATAGAATTGCTTGATCTCCTCCTTGTGGTTGTTTAAGGCAACTACTATTATTATGTTATTAAAACATCTGAAATGATTCTTTAACATAATAGTTTTAAAAGATGAACATTTTTTCCCAATGTGTTGCCTAAATGAATAAACAAGAGTACCCCAAAGGGTTTTATTCAAAGTCAAAGAAAAGAACTATGCAACCATATTTTTTTAATGTCATCACATACAGTGTGAATTTTGTATGTATAAATCAAACACTAATAGAAGAAAACTTAATTTATAAAGTTTTGCACAGTTTCCATCAAAACCCTCAAGCTTGGTATTTTTTTTTTACAAATGTAACACACAAATTGAATACAACCACACACCAAAAATATCAGCCCTCAGTAGCAAGAAAAGAAATGGAAAAAAAGGGAGGGTTTCTTCAATGCTACACGTGTATGAATTGTAACATAACATGTGAACAGATCACCTTAATTTGGCTGATTTGCATGTCCCAAGGAGATGATGAAGTTTCCAAGGCATCCAACTCTTTTTCTCTTTCAGTAATCCAGACGGAGAGGGCCTCAAAATTATTGCCAAAATGCTCCCACTTGTTTTTCACCATTTCCATGGTTTTAATACTAAAATTAACCAGATCAAGTGAACAAAATGCAATATTTTAATAAAGATGATCATTAATGTTTTCTTTAAATTATGAAGTAAAAATTTGTGAAGACATTTGTGGCCATATTGACTTTTTGGCCACATTTTTATTTTTCTGTATAAACAGAAGTGACAGGACTTCATCTTCCCCATTAAGAGATTTTGCATGATAGGTACATGCAGAACAAATAGAAGCATGATATAAAGACTTAATCAACTGTAATGTACTATGTAACAATGGTACCATCCCAACACACACACACACACACACACACACACACACACACACACACAAAATAATGCCTCTATAACTAAAAGAATTTGAATCTATGTAATAAGGAGAAGGAAGAGAGACTACTAGGGAGTTCAGTGGATTGGGTAGTGCTGTGGCCTTGGAGTCAGAAAGACCTGAGTTCAAATCTTACCTCAGACATTCACTAACTCTGTGGCCTTAGGTAAGTCACTTAATCTCTCTGAGCTTCTATTTACTTATCAATAAAATGAGTTGGACACAGTGATGTCTCAGGTCCCTTCCAGAACTAACTATATGATCCTTTCATCTTAATAGTGGAAAGATTTAAAATACATTGCAATGCATTTTGAAATGACTTATTTTCACATCATAACATCCCTAAGTTTTAAGGGAAATTAAAAATGCTCACTCTAAAGACAAATTTATGCTTTGGTTCACAAAATATACTTTTACGTATCATAAGTAAATTTAAAACCTAAGTGAGGACACTTAGTCACACAGAAAGTGTCCTTTCTTCTTGCAGCTAATCCTCAAACTCCTGAAATGCAATGACACCAACTACTTTTATACTTCTTGTGGGATTCTGACCACAAAACCCCTTTTTTGCAGCTATTGTTATTGAGGAATTACTTATTATTTGTGGACAGTTCAGGATTCACTTTTTATGAACATATGAAGTGAATGTTTCCATTTGAATTCTTAGTTTGCATTAACACCATTCATGTGATCTGGTAAATGTGTTTGTATTTATGTCTTACTATCTATAAAAAAGATTAAGCAACCAATTGGATCTTATTAAGAATGTGTGTCAAGTTAGACCAAGATTAAAGGACTTCCTTGCTTCCCAAAAGGCACTTTAAGATCTCAAGAAAAAAAAAAAGTGGCGTGATTCGTGGGCAAATGAAATGGTTATGCAGCTTCCAGTCACCAAAGCATGGCTGCACCTTTGTCCTTTGAAGCTTATGGGAGTTAGATTAAATGCAAGAGTAGAACGTGAGAGAAAGACTATAGTGATTTTTATGGCAGCTATATTTTTATAGCGTTTGTCCTTTATGAAAATAGATAGTAACTGATCAACTGTTACAATATGTAAATAAGTTGCTGTGGTTTCATTATTTAAATCAGGACAGGCCTAAATAAAATAAAATAGTCTATTATATTTGATAGAAAATTTATATTATCTATGAAGTTTTAATTTATTATTTGCTTAAAAAATCACTTGAAAGTCAAACTATTAGCAAATTAAAATTTCAGAGAAATGCAAAAATTGGATGAGGATGTTAAGACATGGCTTCATTAGTGCAAAAACTGAATCCCATGAAGCAGTTGAATATATTAAATATATTCTACTTGAAATTATAATTACATAGACTATTTTCCAAACCAAAATACTTAGTTCCAGCTCAGTTGGGATATGCAGTATAAATACAAAAAATGTCACCAATTCATAGGATTTGCTGTTTATACTAATTAGGACTTAAACTATATTTTAAGATTGGGATAGATAGTCTATGAAGAAACTGCCTTCACCAATGCAAGTCAGCACCTACTCTGCAAATTAAGAGCTTCTTGGAGAGTTGCCTTGAGCATTGTGAAGTTAAGTTACTTGGGTCAGGGTCACACAGCCAAAGCTTCTTGGTTTCAAAGTCAACTCTATCCACTAAAACCATGCTATGTCACTTTATATATTTAAAATTCATCTTGGGAATAGTAAGATATCTATAAATTAGTGAGTAATATGTTACAGAAGGTATTTTGGTGGTTCTTTGCTATAATATGGAAAACTGGTCGGCTTTATCTGTGTTATAAACTTTGTAACCTCATATTTTTGTCTCAGAATTTTTTTAAACATATTTCATGACAAAGTCTTGATGATGATTCAGTATGCAAAGTCATGAAGACAGGTCTTGATAGTGGAGACCATTTATGGAAGACATAGACATTGCTCTAAATCCTGGGGATGAGCAAATCACAGAATAGCCCATTTATACTTTCTTGCCTCAAAAAAAAAACAGCAAAAGCCTGAAAAAAATGCAATAGCTTCTTATAGATGGCTACAAAAAATAGCAGATGAACCAATGACAATTTGGCATCACTACAAATGGTGATGAGTCACTGCAAACTTTTTCTTTTAGTTAGTGGCAACTGCTATACATGTTGTGCTAACAGTCTTAGAATGTTAAATCACTCCTGCAAATCAACTGCATTTCCACAATCTGCTAACTCTTAGCTAATCCAGTAAAAATCCTGCTCAGTGATTGGCACCATCTTGAGATCCAGTCACAAATGTCTGGGTACAAAAGGCCACAGAATTGAATAGGTATGGCTTTTTCTTGTGAATAGAATCATTTTAGGCTGCAAAAATTGCATCCCTTTTTTTTGTAGCTGCTTTTGAAATTTTAGCTTCTAAATTTAGTGACACTTCCTGTTAATGAGTCACTACCTCAGAACATGCTGTAATACACAGACACTTTGAAACAATAGTTTAAACACAATATACAGGGAAGCTTATATTAAACTTTATCTCAGAGAAGAAAGTTTAGGACTTGTCAAGCACGTACTCTTCTTCAAGGGTGTCTTCCAATTTCTTGACTTGTTCCTTGACTGACTTGGCCTGTTGCTGAAGAGTCTGCTTAGTCTTCGATCCCAGCTGTATCTCTGACGCTTCCTTCACAAGATTCTCAGCCTGAACTGCAATGGCTTCTGTGTGCTTAGAAAATGCCTGAAAAAAATGATTGGAATTACTAAGAGAGAATCTTTCTTGGCAAATTTCTCATTCATACTGTTAGTGTTCCATTTGTCAATTCTGTCTTCATTTTAGTTATGTATCCCCTGAGGAAATTTTTCCTTTAATCTGTAATGTTCTCTTTAAAAATACTGAGATTTAATTTTCTGAGCCAAAAAATCTTATTTTGATCTATTTTGATCTATCTATCTATCTATACACATATGTGTGTGTACATATATGTGTATGTATATTATCTATACATACATACCTATATATGTATTATGTATATATGTGTGTATATGTATATATGTATGTATGTATATATTGTGTTTATACATCTATACATGCATATATTTGCACATATGTGTATGTGTATACATGTATGTACATGTACACTCATATATACACATATAGACATGCATGCATATACATACATGTGTGTGTGTGTGTGTGTGTGTGTGTGTGTGTGTATGATTCAATAACTATTCCTTTTGATGAAATGGAAGGCCACCAGCCTTGTCACTGCTTCCTAAGTCCAGACCTTATCATCTACCCTGCTTCTATGTTTTATGGGCTTCTGGCAATGTCATCTGACCTAAAGACCTTGTCATCCTTACTACTTCACCATCAGGACTTGAGGCCTTTCCATCTGCATTGAAACTGAGTTGTTTTTTTTTTTAACTTGTCTCTCTCGATAAGAGTATAAGCTCCTTGGAAGCAGTGATAGCTTCACTTTTTCTATTTGTAATCCTGAGTCAATTCAACAAACATTTATTAAGTGCCTACTATATGTCAGGCATCATGCTAAGAGATGAAGATACAAAGCAAGGAGGGAAGAAAGATCCCTGCTCTCAAAGAGCTCACAGACTGAGGGAAACAACAATTCATATAGCCATGTACAAACAAGATTTATACAGAATATATTGAGAGATAATAAAAAAAGGGAAGGGACTTAGCACATTTTTTGACACATAATATGTGCTCAATAAATGCTTTTTCGTTCATTCACATGAACTTGTGACTATAAGCTCCATGAAGGAAGGAGCCATGAATCATCTATTTTTTTTTATCTTACCCAGCAGAAGCAAATTAAATGTTTGTTAAATTGACTTGAATTTCAATGGAATGGTTAGCTCTGAAAACACAGAAGCTTCTTGCAGAGCCCAGTTTATGTAATTTCACATATACTCTGTAGAATAAACATTTACAACAGTAAATGATAGGTACAATGTTTATCAAAGAAATACCAGAATGCATAGCATAGTTTTGCAAATGACATTAGGTCACCAAGTCTCAATAATAATTTTCTGAAGACCCATGATGTAATAATAGCTAACATTGATATAGCACTTACTGTGTGCCAGGCATTGTGCTAAGTGCTTTTACAATTATTATCTTCTTTGATCCTCACAACAACACTGGAAGGGAGGTGCAGTTATGACCTCCATTTTACAAATGAGGAAACTGAGGCAAATAGAGGTTAAGTGACTCTAGCTAGTATCTGAGGCTGGATTTCAACTTGGGTCTTACTCCCAGCCCAGTCCTCTATCCACTCTGCCATCTAACTACTTGGAGGTAGCCTAACAAATGGGTTTAATAACGAACTAAAAGAAGACTCAGATTATTTTGTTTTGTTCCTGCAGTAAAACCCTCAATAAGACAGTCACCTTTGTGCTATAATCCTTCACTTCTAGCTGCTGCTAACAAGAATTTCATTTGGGTTGAGTAAAAATCAATCCTATTCTTAATTAGATTGATTATTTTGTGTCCTCCTTTCAAAATATGCAATTTAGCTTCTTTCCTTTAACAGTCAGTGATGTATATGTATGTTGCTGTTACTTACAAACTAAATCAAGGAAGAACATGTGTCATGAGTAATCATAAATTTTATTTTTTCATGATTCAAAATAAAATGCGATAAGGCTAGAGAATTTTAAGGCAGTAGATAGTTAACTAAAAGAAAAGCAAATCATTCACATAGAACAAATTCTTAGAGCTGAATCTTATTTCAGGGAAAGAACCAGAGTTAACATAAGCACTCAAATGTTGCCAGATGGCATGAAAGATCTATTAAGATGACAAACAAATCAGAAATAGGAGAAAAGGACCAATTATAGAACAGTTGTTTTAGATCAGAACTTGCAAATCAGCAATGAGCTAGCTAAAGGGATGACAGTCTGAAAGAAATTAGATTTTGCCTAAATGATGTCAGGTTATGAATAAAGAATTTTAATAACAAAATTGCAAAGATGAAACTTGTTTTGCCTATAGCCACATGTCATAATTTGTCATTAAATTAACGTAGGGAGCCATTTGTAGGTCTCCAAAGATGATACATCAAGAATATTGTGCATAATTTACCACTGAACCTGTATGTAGAGCCTTTAACATGTGATATATACCATACATGCTCAATATATACAAATAACTCACCTAGACATGGATGTAAGCTGACATGTACACACATGTTGGTAAGTAGTTAAACGTTTGTAGAATAACACCTAACATTTTAGAGCAATAAAAAGTTCTATTTTGTCAGATTGCTTTTACTAATTGATGTTTGACTTTCTTTTCATGAGAATAGGAAAGGAGAAATAGGAAACTTCAACACCATATGCGAATGGTTCATAATAAATTTAGAGGATGTTAAAAAATACTTAATTTATACATTTTCAAACTTACATATAAACTGATTTTTGGACTGAGGGAAAAGTGAATATGGTGAAAACAGATGCATAATTAAGTGCGAAGCACATAATCAAAGAAAAAAGGGAAATTATGGATAATGTAGAACTACTTAGAATGTGGTCACAAATTGTGAGAGAAAGAGTTAGAAGATCTGGGTTTGAATCTCCAACTCTATTTATAACTAGATATGTGATACTGAGTTGAGTTTTTTTTTTATCTTATATTTATTTGTATGTTGCCTCAACCATTTAGAGTGTAAGATCCTTGAGGGAATGGACTACCTTTTGCTTCTTTTTGTATCCCCAGCACTTAGCACAATGCCTGGCATATAGTAATTACTTAATAAATGCTTATTTATTATTGATCATTGATTGATCTTCATTTGTAAAATGTAGACAATAATGTTAACCTGATCTACTTCCCAAGGTGGTTGTGCTATGCTGTGTTTTGAGATAATATATGGAAAGCATTTTGTAACTGTAAAGTAGTAGATATGAAAAAAGGAATAAACATTCATAAAACACCTATTATGTATGTATTATGATGTGCAAGATTCTGTGTTAAGTGCTTTACAAATATTATCTCATTTAGATTCTCACAACAACCCTGGAAGGTAGGTGCCACTATTATCTCTAAGGTCAATGAGTATTAAGTATCTGAGGCCATATTTGAACTCAGATTTTCATGACTCCTAGTCCAGTGCTTTGTCCTAGGGGCCTCAGATAAATGTGAATTTTATAAAGTGGAGATGGTAATATCAGCTTGACCCACTTCCCCAGGTTGATGTGTTGTGCTTTGAAATTAAGTATGTAAAGTGCTTTGTGACCATAAAGTAGTAGATAAATGGGAATTGTTGTTTTAATTTAGTACTTAGAGTCATGCTTTCTTCTGTGTTGGCATCCCTTCCACTCTTACAAATTATACTCATTCTCTGCCTGTTTATCTGATTCAATTAGTTCATGTTTTTACATAAATCTTCCATAAAGAATCAACCCCAATCACTGTAGGATTTTCTTTTCTTTTAATACCAGGAGTTAGAGGAGGGAGGAGTACAAATATACCAGTGTAACTATTCCTCTGTTGTTTCTGGAGTTCTTTTCCTTGTCATCCATTTTTTTGATAACATCTTTTAGCCAATTTTTCATGCCATTTTTCATGTCATGTCAATTTTCAGGCCATTACTAATAATATTCTGCAGACCTATTTCTACCAACCAAACATCTCTCCATTGAGCTTTATGTTATTTCTAACTTTGATTCCTTCAGAATTCTTCTGTTCCATGATTCAAAACAATAGGTCACCACTGGAAGAATACTAGTATCAAAAAAAGATGGGTTTCTACAGAAGTGAAGAAGTGTGCAGAATCATAGAAATTACAATTTTCCCATATGCAACACAGTCTAAGCTTCTCTTCAATTCTGGGCTTCATTTACTGTCTTTCTGAAATTCTTGTCATATATGTGTGTGTGCGCATATATATATGCACACACACACATACATATATATACACATCATACACACATATGATTGAGTAAGCAATGTTTTTCACGTATTTTGTTTTTTCCAGTATGCGTGGTGGTTAGGTCAAGTTCACATTACAGAATTAATAAGGAAGCTTCGTAGTCTTTCAGACCAGAAACAATTAGCATCAGGTCAAGTACTGTGCAAAAATGATGTCATTTGTAGTCCATCAATTTCAACGGGGAACCATTTTATTTAGGCTTAACACATGACATATTCTATGAATGTTCATTTTGTTTTTGTATCCTTGGCACCAAGCACTACGCCTTGCACGTGGCTTGCTGAATTTAATTAAATCAACTTGGGTAAATACCTGGATTGAATGAGTTTTCCAATTTATACCTCCTTCATTTCACTTTACAGAAATATTCAAAAGCTCTTTGAATAAAGTCATTCCTAAAGTTGCATCTGTCACTGAGTAGTCCATGATTTTATTCTAGAGATTCAAATGCTGTTTTTAAATTAACGGACAAAGGCACAGTTTCCTATTAATATAGCCAAATTAGAGTTTGAATAAGAGACCAATTTCTCAAAAAATAAGAGTAGAAACAGCAAAGAAAATAGGTAAAATTTACACATACACAAACACAAGAAAATAAAAATCATCTGGAAACCGGAAATTATCAAAGTGAACAAATAATAATATTCTGTGGGATCACTTTCAAATAAAGTACCAAAAATTAAAAGTGGAAGAAAATTGATGATGCAAGAAATACTGAAAAGGTCCCCAGGTAGATAAATGCACATTCAAATAAACTTTAAAAGAACTGACATTGGTAAGGAAATCACAGTATCAGGGGAAAAAATTTAGAAAAAAATCACAGAAGTCACTGACATAGAATTCAAAGAAGCATTAAAAAAGAGAACAGGAGGATTTTTTTTAAAATATGACCAATATGGAGAACATGACAGAAACTCTCAAAAATTAAAGAGAAGCAGTCAATAACATCAGACCAAACACAGCAGAAAATAGCATTGCAAAGAAGTCAGATCCATTGGAGGTGGGTGGAGTGGGAAGCTTAGGAAATGACACAATTGTCAGGGAAAAAAATTGAAATCATGCAAATTTAAGTGACTAACCCAGATAGTAAGGAAGGATGCAGAAATCTCAAATTATTTGCATCCCAGAGAATTTAGAAAAGCAAAAGAATCAGAACACACTATTCCAACAAGTTATTTAGGAAACTTTTTGGAATTAGCAAAAATGATTGAAAACATAAAAAACCCCAGGAAAAGTACATAGGACCTTAATAAGCGAAAACCCAAGATTAAACAAATTATAGGCAAACTCCAATGGGGAAAAAATCTTAATATCAAAAAAGAAAGAATAAAAGTAGCATACCAAGGGACAACAATCAGGATCACAGTGGACTTCTCAAGGGAGATAAAAATGATCAAATAAATTGGACTGTGCCATAAAACTTTTAAGAACCACTGATCATGAACGAAGAATTTATCTACCCAGCAAAAATTATATGCTGTGTAAAGATATGAGATACACATTCATGAAGATTCAGTCTTTGAAAAGTTAACAGAGACACAGAGTCTTAGGACAAGAGTTGAATTAAATCACTTTTAGTAAATCAATGTAAATCAGTTTCTAATAAAATGTGAAAATCCACAAATATATTGATTTAATCGCTTTATCTCATATAAAAGTATAATAAAAGGATATTTTAACACCCTACTAATGAGAATATAACAGATCCAACAAAAAGATAAGAAAGAAATTACATATATTGATCAAGTATTAGTCAAACTAGATCTAGTAGATGTATTGAAGTACCCCAATGAGAAGAGTAAAGAATACATATAATCTTTTGATTATATATTATACATGCACAAATTACAGAAAAAATTTATGTAAGGATATGAAGAAAGTTTAGATCAATAAACAATTCCATAGATTTTATGTATTCTGCTTACATATCAATGCAATCAAATCAGTAGGAAAAAACATTAACAGTAAATTTTGATACAATAAGTAAAATCTTTGGATACAAGTGGTCATAAAATTATTTATCAAATAAGCCCCCAGCTGAAAGAAGAAATTATAAGAAAACTGAATTCAAAGATAGTAATAACATATAAACCACATATAAAAATCTATGATATTAATTCAAGGCAATATTGAAGAAAATTTAGGGCACTGATTGACCATATTGCTTTTTAAAAAAGAACCCAATTAATTGAGTTTGCATTTTAAAGCCCAAGAAAAGCAATAATACAACTATCAAAAAAAAAAGATCTGTAACCAAAATCAGAACAGATACTAATACAACTGAAAATGTTTTTAAAATGAATGAAATAATAAATCTATCCAAGAGCTAATTTTTGTTAATACCAACAAAATGGATAAACAATTAACAAATCTAATTACATAAAGGAAAAGAGGAAGCAAAAATAACTAAATTTAAAAATTAAAAAGGAGAGATCATGAGGGCAAAAGAAATTAAGAAAATAATTAAGAATCATGATACACAGCTCTTTTCTACCAAAGAGGATCTAAAATAATGCATAATAATGAAAACATTCCCTAATAAATGCTGGTATATAAATATAATGGAATGTTATGGTATTATATGATGATAAATATAAGTTCAAAGAAATAAAGACTTATCTATGAGAAGTGATGAAAAAATGAAGGTCAGCAAACAAAATTATATATACTGAATAAAACTTTTTTAAAAAATGAAAACCAAAGGAAAAATAATTTCAAATCTCAGGAGAGGACACAGAAGAATACACTTTTGGGTTTTGTTAATAAGCTTCTTTTTTTTTTGTTAAAAATACAGTACAATAGGCTTAGGTTTTTAATATATTAGTTCATCCCTTCTTGTATATTGGTTATTCTCTTTATAGTTATTAAGTTTGTAATAAAAAATAGATACAAGTGGTACCATGTATTCTCAACACTTCTCCTTTCATTGCCAGAAAGTCGAATGTAGAAAATGATTGAAAAAGCCTACAAGTATCCTCTTTATGTTTTTAGCAAGAATGATCTTGATATATAAATATGCCATTCTTATTTATAGATGAGCAAAACAAATATATGGTTCAGAAATTGGTGGTGTTTTCTCCTTCCCTTTTTTCTTTTAGTGACTTGCCCATGGTCATACAGCTAATAGGAATCTGAAATCGGATTTGAATTCAGGTCCTCCTGACTCCAGGGTCAGTGCTTTATCCACTCTGCCATCTAACTGCCCCCATCACTTTTACTCTATAAAAAAAAACCTATCTAGGATCTTTCTTATTCTATTAAAATTTTCCTGTATGTATAATATCTTGAAATTAATTTCCATATGCCTTGAAATTGGTATCAACATCAACATAGATTTCTGCCATATGTATTTGATCTGATCCAACCAGTCTTCCTGATTTATGAGTCACAATCACTACTGGTATTTTCAAACATAGTTAATATAAAATGGAGGCAATGGGATACAAATACTATAGCTTTATGACTGTCAAAAACAATACATGACAATAAACATGAAAGCAGATCTGTTTCATTTTAAGTCTGTTTATCTTTCTTCCATTTTATTGACATATAGTCTTGGGATAATCCTCTGCTTCTTTCTGCTGTGATCTTCATCATAATGTTTTTCAAATCGATTTGTACCAGAAAGTGAGTTGCACTCAGCTCCTAAGTCTCTTTCGAAAGACGATTAAATATTTACTGAGTGAAGTGATTTTTTTGGACTCCTTTAACCTACTAATAGTAATAACGTTTTAGTATTGGTTAAATTTCTCAAATAAATGTTGATAGGTTCAACATCTTTAATTTTTTTTTCCATTTTACTAATGGTATCACAATTAACATTTATGTCAAACTTTAACGTTTGGAAAGGGTTTTATAACTAGTGTCTCATTTGAACTTCTTAAAAAAACAGGGGTTTTTTTGCTGTTATTTTAAAGTCAATTTTTAGTCTCAAGCAGTATGTTCTAATTCTTGGCCCCATGATTAATTTTTTTGTATTATAGTTGTTTAATCAGGCTAACCAGTTAATGATCTGATTACAAAGAGCTAATTCTGAAATGACTGATAATATCTGTAATTGGTAATTTCAAATCCATTAAGATATGGTCAGTTTCATTTTTTATGATGTTATTCAGTACACATCACATTCAATATCTTTTGACTCTCTACTAAAGAAAGTACTCATATGCAGAGCCTAGACTTTCTAATAATCTACTAGCCTTTGGCTTTTTCCACTACAGAGTAGTTTTGTTAATTAGCAAAAATTAAGAATTCATAATATAGAAAGAACAAATGAATTCTTAAATAATGCAGGAACAAATGCAAGTATTCAGAGAGAGATATATGTTATGATATCACATGATATGATATGATCTGATATGATTTGGGCTGGCATGGCATAGCATAGTATGACATAGTATGGTATGTTATAGTATGGTACATTATGGTATGGTATGGTACAATACAAGTATGACATGATATGAAGAAATTACAAACCTATGCAGCCTTAAGGGAGAATAGAACTGTAACTGAAAAAATCTTCAAGAGTTTATAGAAAGTGTTCATATAAACTTTTTAATAATAGGAAGAGAGACAGAACCCTCCTAATGGTAATCAAATGAGCAAATGGAATATTCAGAGAGAAATGAACATTATCTTTGTTCTTACAAAGTCTCAAACCTCTTTGGTAGGCCATAGCCTATTGTATAATACTGTATAATCCTACTGTACTCAGTCCAGGTAAGGTGACATCTGTATCACTATGTTCTATTTTGGGTATCATATTTTAGGGGGAAGGGAAGGGGAAAAGCATTTATTGAGCACCTATTGGTTGTAAGGAATTGTATGCACTTTATAAATGTCATCTCATTTGATTTAGGAAGGACATTGATAATATGGAGAGAATTGATAACTAGGATAAGTAAGGTCCCCAAATTCATGCCATTTATGGATGTTTAGCCTCGAAAAGATATTTGAAGGGTTGTCATGTAGAAGAGGCTTGTTCCGTTTTACTCCAAAGGGCAGAATGGGTACAAGTTTCAAAGAGGTAGATTTAGGCTTGATGTAAGGAAAATATTCCTACTCTAATGGTATCCAAAATTATAATAGGACGCCTCAGAAGGAAGAGCATTCCCCCTCCCTGCAGGTCTTGTAGAAAAGGCTGGATAACTACTTGTTAGTTACATAGCAGAAAGAGATTTTCAGCCATAGGCTGGGTTGGGATGGATGGCCTCTGAGTTCTCTTAAAAATCTTGCATTCAACAATTCTGTGCATCATTTAAATATGAGTGCAATGAATTGAACTGAACTTAGCACCCTCCTTGTAAACTTCACAAAATATAAACCAAAATATAAACTGTATACCTGCTATTGGTACCTAGTAACACCATCTTAGTATCTAGTATCTTATTAGCTTAGTAAATCATCATCTTAGCCAGAGTGGTAACCAGCCTCTTGATACCCACACATAACACTAACAATCATTCATTGTTCTGTCTGGGAAAATGTGCTCTGTTTTTCTTTTTCTGAAAAAAAAGGGGGAAACACGGAATCATTTCAGGCTAAATGTTTAACAAAGGACTAGATCATGTCACTTATACCTTTGTCTGATCCAGTTCTGAGGACAGGCTCTCTAAGCTGCTAAAACTCAAGAAACGTTCATGGCTGGAACCTGTTTGAAAAAGGTATCTGACCACTGTTTCTTTGTTTGTCTCAAAGCGCTCCCACTTTCTTATTGTGACCTAAAGAGAAAAAAAATGTTAAATAATATAATAAGTTATAAATTAATGAAGTATATCAAGGAATCATTTTTTTACATGGACCCTAACTGGGAGAGTTTCAACCCTTCAACTTCCAGTTACTTTTATTCAGCTGCCAATTTAATACACTAATATTCTAAGAAAGTTTATTGTCCAGTCTCTAGTAGAGACTAACCTCTCTAGGCCTCATCTATGGGGGAGAAAAGGAGTTGGACTTGCTCGTCTGTAAGGTATTTTCTGGATATAATCAACCTAATTACAAAAATTAACATTTATGTTCCAACAGAAAAATCAGGACTAAAAATATCCATGCTTTTTTCTGTACACTGCCAAGGTAAAAAGAGCTACTTAGAGTTAGACAACAATAGGTAGGTCAACATCATCTTTTCACTGGGGAGAACTTTTGAAGAGACCATTGCTTTCTTAAGTCTCACCTGTAGGCGGCGCTCCTGCTTTTCCCTATTCTGCTCCATGTTCTCTAAAGTATCCTCCAGCTTTTTCAGGTCCTCTTGGACTCTGCTAGGTAGCCCACCTTCATCCTGCTTAGCCCTGGCAATCTGCTCTTGCACGTCTTTCTTCTTTGCATGAATCCTCTTGGTCTTTTGCTGAAAGGATTTGTTAAACAGATGGATATGCATATTAATTTCTCCCACAGCTGAGAAGGGAAGTACACGCCCACACTTGAACAGAGGATGGAAAAGTGCATACAAAAGCATGCAGTGTGGGCAGTAACTATACTTTAAGTGAGGGAATAACTATTAATAGCAACAAAGAGTCTACATTAGGTGGAGATGGACATTATTTATAAATATTTTAGTTAAGAAAAACAAGAGTTACATCACTTAAAATTGTATCAAAAGATCTGTTTTGTGCTTTACACATGAAATGCATTTGGTGCAATAATTCATTTGTTGAAAAAGAAAAAATTGTGTGTGTGTGTGTGTGTGTGTGTGTGTGTGTGTGAGAGAGAGAGAGAGAGAGAGAGAGAGAGAGAGAGAGAGAGAGAGAGAGAGAGAAAGAGATTCCTTTACTACTTAAAAAATAAAAGAGGACCAAATCCAAAGTAACTCTTTTGCTAATGTAGAAAAAAGTGAATACATTAGGGTTTGTGATTAATCTGTAGAAACTGCAAAAAAAAATCTACAGGGATTTTTCAGAAACGTAAAAATAGAAATAAAAATATCGATGGTGCTGTTCCCTAAATTAAAACAACACAAAATTAAAATCTCTTCATCAACATACAAACAACATAAAATAAATGAAAGCAATATGCAAACAAATTTTCATTTCATGCACATTAACTTTTAAAACAGCCACTGACCTATTATTTTTCAGAGGTAACAGTGAAGTTTATAAAAATAACAACTATTTTTGCATCTTTAAAAAAAGTATATGCCATGGGAAGACAGGAACTGATGCAAAGTGAAGCAAGCAGAGACAAGAAAACAATATATGAAATGTATTTTTTGTTTTTGTTGTTGTTCAATTGTTTTCAATTCTGTGACCTCATTTGGCATTTTCTTGACAAAGATACTGAAGTGGTTTGCCACTTCCTTCTCCAGGTAATTTTACAAATGAGGAAACAGGCAAACAGGATTAAGTGACTTGCCTAAAGTTACACAGCTAGTAAGTGGCTGAAGCTGGATTTGAACTCAGGAAGATGAGTTTTCCTGACTCCAAGCAAGGAATTCTATATATACCACGCCCCCTAACTGCCCCATTTTATTTATTCTACAAACATTTAAATGTCTAATGTGTGTAGGTGTCACACTAGATGAATATGGGGATCTGAGAAATGAGTGTAAATAATATCATATCCTTGTCAAGGCCTCAAGGTCACATGTAGCCTTCTAAGGGAACAGCCTTTTGATTAAGTCTAAGTTTTACAGAACAAATCTTTTTATTAAGAGAATTTGTTCTGTGAATTCGGATTCAAAGAGCTGAACTTGAGGACCTAGAGGGCCACATGCAGCCTCAAGGTCGCAAGTTCCCCACCCCTGCTCAAAGAAAAAAAAAAAGAAAAATCAAACAAACATAATATAAAGTAAAGAGTGATTAGTACATAAGGGAAACAAGTACTATAATTATTCTGTGCTGGGGAAGTCTGAAGTTTCATGGAAGAAGGGAAGCCTCGAAGGCAGATTCAAAAAAGGGCATACCAGGCATAGCAAATGGTATGACAATGTGTAGTATATGTGTTCAAGAAAGAACAATTAGAGAAAGAGGGAGTGGAAATGCAGTGGGGGAGGGAAGGAAACAGAAAAGTTTTTAACATAATTACATTAGCATAATGAGCTTGCAATAAAGTATCCTTACATTCCTCTTTTCTATTAGAGGCAATACTTTCAAGAGAGGTTTTCAAAGTTAATGTGATATTTGGTTCCTATTTTTTTTCTTTTCCTTTTTGTCATCACCATATTCCTTAATGTGAAGATACTTCTCAGTATCAACTGAGACATTTCAGCTAAGAACAGAATGTCACCAAATCCTTTGACCATGCAGCCCAGATTTTCTGAATGGGTGAGTGTTCTACACAATTGATGTCAAACTCAAATAGAAACAGGGACCACAGAACCTTTGGTAAGGATTCCTGAAGGCCATCCATTGACTTAGTTATAAAATATAATATTAACTTTGTTTTATAATAGTTTTATTTCAAAAACTATTTCCCAATTACTGGTTTGGCCCCTCTGAGGATTGTTGTGGGTTATATGTGGCCAGCAGACCAAGTGTTTGACACCTCTGGTCTATACATCTCTCTGGGTTTGATTCACTAATAGAAATAATAATCAATAATTAATAATACAAAATATATTAATAATAATTATTATTATTGATAACACATATATAGCACTTGCTATGTTCTAGGCACTTGACAATTATTACCTAATTTGACCCTCACAACAACCCTGGGAGCTAGGTGCTGCTATTATCCCAATTTTTTAACAAAAGGAGAAACTGAGGCAAAGAGGTGACTTGCCTAGGGTTTCACAGTTGGAAAAATGTCTGAGAATAGATTTGAACTCAGGGCTTACTTGACTTCAGACCCAGAACTCTATCCACTGTGCCACATAGCTGCCCCTAGGAGATACAATAAAATTAAAGACACATCCCACCTGATGATGTAGAAGTAACTGCTGGGCTTCAATTAAGTTTTCAGTGTCCAAGATCTTTTCTGCTTGCTCCTGAACTTCTTTGGAGGTGTTAATTAACTGTTCAAGGGAGCTTTTTGCAATTTCCTTGTACTGGACACGATCCCCAAGAGTGCTTAGCATCTTTTCAACCTAAATTAAAAAAAAAAAAGAAACACACAAATAAATCCATGACCCATATAACACTGGATAGAACTATTTTATGTTGAAATGTTTCAAGGATATTAATAACTTAAAAACAAAAGTAAAATGGACATTATTTTATTTTGTTCTTGTAGTATATGGCATATCTATAAATCTCTAATTATGCTTTCAAGTGAAAATACTATATTAAATACATAGCACTCAGGGAAAAAAGACCTCATCTGACACATTCTACTGGATCAAAATCACTCTTTTTTTGGGGGGGGCAAGGTAATTGGGATTAAGTGACTTGCCCAGAGTCACATGGCTAGTAAGTGTTACGTGTCTGAGGCTGGATTTGAACTCAGGTGCTTCTCACTCCAGGGCCAGTGCTCTATCCACTGCACCACCTAGCTGCCCCAAATCATTCTTTTTAAGAATCAGTGTGAAACGGTATAAATGTTTTACCATTTCCCTTTAAATAAATGACTGTATTTCATAGTTCACCAAAGTTTTGAATTAAAAAAAAAGTAGGAAGACACCTGACAATTAAGCATAATACATGTCCTAGAGGAAGGCCGCATAAATTACTATTAAAATATTTGTGGGTTTGTTGTCATTGTTGAAGGGGAAAACTGAATAAGTACACTAATTTTAACCTAGAAACTTTGCTAAAACTTCAAAATTAACTACCCTAATTATTACAAAGGATTTAACTTTTATTTTATTTTTCCTATGGGGGATACATGGGAAGAAGAGAAAATAAATGTCTGTTAAATTTTTAAATTAAATCATCAATATTGTAATGGGGCACAATTTTTTTTTAATACTGTAGATTAGCTTTGGCAACCTCTGCATTAATAACAAATATTTCACAGTGTAATCTTTTACTCTGATTTTGGTTAAAACAAATTAAAACTCTCCATATAAGGAAGCTCAAAAGAGCTGCACATTACTGAAATATATAACTTTACCTCTGACAGCAAAGTTATGAGGCCCTTGAAGTCACTCGAGAGTTTTGTGAGTTCATCATCTTGCTTCTGGATTTCTTTCTCAGCAGAAACTTCAGTAAGAGTTTTCAGCCTAGCCTTCAACCAACCAAGATTCTCTCCTTGTTTGTTCATCTCATCTCTAATTTCCTGCATAGAAAATTCATCAAAACATTACCTGTGAACCATGGTTAAGTGCAACAAAATCTAAGGGGCAATTGATACAATGGTCATGCTTCTTGACGTGGTTCCCTTCCTTCCATCTCTCTGACCCCTCCAGTTACTTTGTTAGCACTCATACTTCTGCCCCTTAAACATGACTGTGTCCTAAGTTTCTCTAGAATCTTGGCCTTTTCCTCTACAGTCTCTCCATTCAGGGGATCTTATCTAACTAGTCCCATAGCTTCGATTATCACTCCTCTGATGAAAACTGCCAAAGATACGATGTGTTCCAAAAAAACCGAACTGAGATTTTTGGGACCCCTTACATGCCTAACCTCTCCCCAGAGATTCTGTTTTATATTTCCAGTGGAGTTCTGGAGGGCTACACTTAGAAGCTCTGTTGTTACCTCAGATTCAGTTTAACTTCTTTGAGCCTCAGCTTCCTCATCTGTCAAAAGAAGTGACTTGAGTAGATGCTGCTTAACCGGGTGCTATTTAAAGTTATTTTTGGTTATAAATCTATGTTCTCTCTCTCTCTCTCTCTCTCTCTCTCTCTCTCTCTCTCTCTCTCTCTCTCTCTCTCTCTATATATATATATATATATATATATATATATATATATATATATATATATATATATATATCATCTACCCCCCCAAAATTGTCTCTCTCCATAACATATCTATTTCTGTTGCTAGTGTCATCACTGTCCCAGTTACTGAGACTCATAATTTCAGTTATTTTTTCACTTGTTGTTCAGCTGTTTCTGTCGTGTCTGACTCTTCATGACCCTTTTTGGGGTTTTCTTGGCAAAGATAATGGAGTGGTTTGCCATTTCCTTCTTCAGCTCATTTTATATATGAGGAAACTGAGGCAAACAGGGTTAAATGACTTGCCAGAGTCACACAGCTAATAAGTGTCACAGGCTAGTTTTGAACTCATGTCTGATTCTGGGCCTGGTACTCTATCCACTGCACTACTAGCTGCCCTAATCAGTTGCCAAATTCTTCAAAGTCTAAACCAATCCTATTGCTTGCGTTCCATCTTTGTACTTCTCATTCTCCCTTTTGTTATATTTATATATTTGCTTTTCCTGCTACTGATCTCCTTGAGAGTGGAATTTGTGTTCACTTAGTACTGGGCATCTCAATAAAAGTGTTTTGAATTAAATTGTCATCAATGATAGAGGTATCAGAAAATCCAATATGCATTCCATACTTATTTTCATTTGTGTCCATATAATCTCCAGATGCTATAGAGAAATGTTAGCTGAGATGTTCTTACCCTATATATGCAATTAGCTTAGTGCACACAAAACAGACTACAATCTTTATACGTGGATGGGTTAGATTTAGCAATTTCATTTTTATTAGCTATCATGAAGCATAATAGACAGAGGGCTGCTTCAGAATCTGGAGAACCTGGGTTCAAGTCTCACCTTTAATAAACACTGCTGGTGTTTACCTTGTGGAAATCACAGCTTCTCTCTACACACTAAGTAGAGAGAAGAATAATATAGGACATAAGAAAATAGAAGGAAATACACGGGCACAGAGGACCTAGGTGAGTTTTCTGTGTCCCCACTCTGAGAGAAGTGAGTGGTAACGTGAGCTAGGTGTCAATCACTAAACTTCTCTGACTCAGTTTCTTCATCCATAAAGTCTGGATAATATTTGTAGTACCTGAGGGAATGGTTGTGAGGTATAACAATAGCATAATATATATTAAGTATTTTTCAGGCTTTAAAGTATTACAGAATTATCAGTTCTGTAATACTTTAAAATCTGAAGGGCAGGAAATTACTTGATTTGAAGAAATTTGGATTTAAATCCCAGCTCTGTCACTGACTTACTATGTAAGCTTTGGCAAGAGATTTACCCTCCCTGAGCAATTTTTTCCTCTTTTGAAAAATAACGTGCTTGGATTAGAGAAGTTTGTAGATCTTTGTACATCTAGACATCAATCTTTATTGCCTATACTACACTTGGTTTGTGTAATATTGTTCTCTTATATTTCTGTTGCAATATTTACATGTACACACAAATCTTCTGTTGAGACCCACCTTGAAAACTATCCCTGGGCAGAACCAAATCCTAACGTCCTCATGAAGCAGCTTCACTCGATAGTTGTGCACAACACAAAAATCATTCTTAACCTTTTTTGGTAGGAAAACTAGGAAAAGCCACCCAAATAATATACATAATTTAAATAACTCTCAGAGGAAGTCCCCTAAGTATTCTAACTTATACCTATCATTACATTATGAGAGGAATTATTTTACTATTATATTAATAATCAATTATTAAATTAGGATTCACACATTTCTCCTTTATTTCCTCCTTTAAGATGGAGCCCCTGTAATGAGTCAATCTCTGAAAGATATGACTAATTGATGAGATTGTCTTAGCTCTCAAGGTACATGCTCTTCAATCTTGGACCTGATCCCACCCAACTAGGAGACTTTACTCTAGAGTATGAACAGAAATCCAATCTAGGCAGATTCCTACAACAAAAGCCCCTATCCCTGCACCCCTCCATTAGAGTTTAGGGTGATCCAGATCACAAAGAAGAAAACCAACCAGAGTGGTCTGAATGGAGATAGAGTCCCCAGTCTAGATTGCAGGAGCAGGCTGAATCTCATGATCAAGCCACATTCTCAGCAGGAATTGCTGAAGACTTCTAGTCCGCCTCCTCATTAAATGTCCACCAATCAAGGCTGATTTTCAGTTGTCAAGGGAATTCCCTTTAAAGGATTATTTAAAGCTTTCAGGCTTTCCTTGTCTTTTGCCTTTAGTTGCAGATTAAAAACCACTGACCATCAATTTATTTATTATTAGCTAGCCTAATTAATAAGTAGATTATTAATTACTTAGAAACTCTGTCTCTCAGGTTTTTCATTCATCACATACTGCCAGTAGTTACATATAAAAAGTAAAAAAGATTACTGCTGTACCATCTAATCAAGCAAAAAGAAAAGAAAAAGGAAATCTTCAGATATTATATAAATACAGGGCAGGAACTAACCTCTGCAGCAAGTTTGGACTTTCCGTATGTGGCAGTATCTTTGGCTTCCTGCTTCATCAGTTGCAACTCTCTCTCTTTTGCAGATATCCAAGATGAGAGTTCAGAAAATCTAAAACAATATAATCATCATCTTATGAAGAGAAAAAAAAGGATGTCATAGTGGTACATAAGTACTTAATTATTCAGATATTACTTTTTTTAAATCCCCCAAATTCAGCAACACTTCAATAAATATGTCCTCTGAAGAAAAGAAAAGTCTCTTTTTAACAAAGTTGACCTTGCTATTGGAGGGCAAGGAGGATGGTTTGGGTTAATAGTGGTTAAATAGGCTGTCAGTGCTGGTGTCTTGCTCAGGTGAAGGTTTGCCCTGGGGCCTGGGTCTAGCCTTACTCCTGGAATTCCCATATCTCAATCACCCAGAATTGGGTCAGACAAGTTGATTTTGTTTAATCTTCACAACACTGGGTGGAGGATTATTCCAAAAAAGAAGCACTATTTCAACTGGCCCTAGAAGGTTGAGAAGCCTGCCCTCAAATCCTGTAGGGGGTAGAGAATTCCTGGACAATGAATGGCAGGTCCAGAATCCCCATACTGGAAGGCATGCTAAGGCCTCTTTATAGTATGCTTCTTTTATTCACTACCTCTGGTGGTCAAGTGCCTGATAACAAAGTATTGTCAATGCCATGTGCTACATAGAAGTATTTTTTCCTGTACTTTGAGAACCTATGATTTTCATCAGGGTGTGTACTTTTTCTATTGTAATAGGCCACAAACTTTCTACGTGTTCCAAAAAGGCTTTTCCTAGATGTGCAGTCACTAAAGCAGTCAATACTCTGCAGCCAGCATGGTGACGATCCACCTCAAAAGTAGCTAGTATGGTCCTTGGACAACAGATACATGGTCTGTCACTAGGCCCACCCAACTCTTTCCAAATGGCCATACTTTTCTGATGTATCCTTGAAGAACTGGGGGCACCTCCATGCTATAAGTGGTTCTACAATGCGGCATTAATGGAGCTACTGGAAGTTTTACAGTCTATTAATAGCAATATTTATATACATAAGAAAGTTAAAATTGTGACACCTGTTTTTCACCTGTTTATTAAATAAAATGAAATTCATGTCATATCATAATTATTTTTTGTACATCTTAGGTCATCTTCCCTAATCAGACTGTAAGTTCCCTGAGGGGGAAAACCTTGTGTATTATCTACTTTTGTATTTCCCCATAACACCAAACACAATCCTTTGGACATTATAGGCAACAGAAAAAATGTGTTGGTTTTTTTTTTTTACAAACAATTGGTCAATGTACAACAAAATTAATATAGCCACTATGTTAGAACTGTTCTATTAAAACTTTTGTCCAACTCCCAAGAAATACCTACCTAGTCTTGTAATCTCTCCATTTATCTGGGTTTTCCATCAATTTCTTATAAGTGCTATCAATCATAGCTTTAAGATCTCTGAGAGTGGCTTGACAGTTCTCCGGTGTATTCCTAACAGGGTCACGGACTGGAAGTTTCAGACTGAGCTCTTCAATCAGTTGTAACCTTTTCTCACAAAGATGATGGGGTCCTTTGTCGCTGAAGAAAATCTAATGAGAAATAGCTGACACGATTAGTATTGCATACAGGAAGCTGCAAAAAGGTGTCTGCATTTGTACAGAAAACAAAAGTATTCTCCCTTGGAAAATTGAGCCATTTTGTGATTTCAGTCTCAGGCCAGACTATCAGTTTGCATGAATTCCACAAAATTCCACTAATGTCCACTTGGTGGTGCATGAGACATACCTTATGCTCTTGAATGATCTTTTCACTGCCTTCCTGTAGCACCAACTTGTTCTCTCGACCAAGCTCTGATTTGCACTCTTCTACTGAAGCCAGAAATCTGTTTTTCTCCACGTCTATCTTTAAGTGAAGTAAGTGATAGGGAGCTTCTCCTTGGAGATCCTACATTTCACAAAGAAGACCAAGGGAGTGCAACAATGGTGATTGTGATGAGAGAGATTTGAATTGAAATAGCAAGCTATAGAAAGTAATTTGTTTTTTATTTTCCAGCTAGAAAGGGTCCTGAATATCCTGAGGTACTTGGATGTGGAAACTGCATGTAACATCAGATATGTTGATTATTCTGACTGAACTTTTTTCTTCCTTTTTTATTTTCTTCTTTATTATAACACGTGGCTCTCTTGGACAGGGGGAGGAATGCAGTGGGAAATGTAAATGATGCAAAAAGAAAAGTTTAGCAAAATTTTTCGGAGTGTTTCTATTTACTGTATGGCATGTATTTGACTTTTTTCCTATCTTTGATTTTCTTGAGATATATGCCACATCTTTGGGTCATTGGATTGGATGATATAGACAGTTTTGCCACATTTCTTGCATAATTCCAGACTGATATCCAGGATTGCTGTGCGACTTCATAACTCCAGCAACACTGCACTGTTGTGACTGTTCTTCCATAGTCCAATATTAACTATTAACATTTTTTTACAATCTTTTCTAATTTGAATGGTGTGATGTGAAATCTTCCAGAAATGTTTAAAACTGCATTTGTCTCAATATTAGTAATTTGGAACTTGTTGTCATGTGTTCATTTATAGTTTGCAATTCTTTTAAAAAATGTTGCTCATATACCCTTTAATCACTTACCTCTTGGGGAGTGAGTGGTTCAGGGTCTTCTATATTTGTGTCAGTTTCCTAAATATTTTTGATAGCATACTTTTGTCAGTGAAATTTGGTGCTGCTGCTAATGGATTTAATGGATTTAATACTCTTCAATCATGGCAAATGGAATTTCTTTCACATAATTACTCACCTTCCATTGTTTATGGAGTTTTCTAACAGCTTCCTGTAGACCCTGCTGTTCTTGCTCAGGGAGGATGTCAGTTAGCTCATCACAAGCTTTCAGGAAGGCATTTAGTACCCTCTGATCCAGCTGACTAAAAAACTCCTGATGTGGGGATTGTGGGGAGGAAGAAAGCAATTAAGAGCTCCATCTATTTACTGCTGTTAATACAGAAACCAGTTGATATGAAAGTAATCATAAAATGTTATTTAAGGAAGTAATAAAGTTTCTTAACATGAGCTAGCTTAAGCTCTACACTAGTTCACATAAGGGTTGAATTTCTATTTAGCTGCAATTAAGATTCAGTAGCTGCCATGTTTAGAATTCATCTAATACTTTGTATTTCTTTTTTTTTGGGAGGGGGATTAATTACAATTCCCAGATTAGAAAGTATGCACATCAGTGGAGCAGTCATAGTTAATAAGATAAGGAGAGATTATTAACCTATAAGCTTAAGATGACAGTGAGTCATATCATTTACACTTATTTTTTTAAAGGCCAGTCAGAAAAAGCTAAAAGAAAGTCAGAGCTAGAATTTACAATCTTATTCTTGACATTAACTTATACTGAAGACCCTCATGCTCCATTAAATGTAAGCATTCCCCCAAAGGGTTTTTGCCCCATCCCTCAAAAGAAAAGATAAAAAAAGATAGCTTACTAATACATTCACAATCATTTCATGACATTTACTTTGGAAGAAAGGGGACAGCAACACTGATATACACTAATTAAAGGAGGTAATTATATAAAAATCTACTTGTGAGCTAAGCAGTGACTATAACTCTCCCTACTGGGGAAGGCTGAAACTGGTAGATCTCTTAGAATTCTGAGCTGTAGTGTGCTAAGTTAATCAGCTGTCCAAATTAATACTAGCATGAATATGGTGAATCTTCAAAGCAAGGGGTTGCCAGGAAGCCTGAGGAGGGGGAATCTGGCCAAAGTGGGAAACAGAACAGCAGATCAAAAGTCCATATCAATTAGTGATGAGCGTGTACCTATTAGTGGCTGCTTCACTTCCAGCCTGGGAGACCCACTCTCAAAAATAATGCTTTTCAATTTTTGTTTAATAAATTTTGTTCTGTCTCCCAGACAAGAATTATTATTGCACAGATTTACAACATCACTCATAGACATGGGTTGACCAATCTGCCAATACATTGATACATACTGCTGATTTAACAGCACCCAGGGCATGCCTTCAAAGTGGAAAGAGTTCAGCAAAATTATTCTCATTTAGAAATAATACTATTAGTTTTCATTTCATGCTTATTAAGGATAAATAATAGCCTGTTTCAACACTGGGAGAAGGTCATTCAATATCCCACAAATGTCATATGATATCATGCCTTCTTAAGTGCTTACCAATCTGCTTCATTTTGTTAGAGTTTAAGCAATCGAAAGATCTTTCCATAAATCTGAAATTATCCATTTAGAAAGAACTCTTTTGTGTTTTTAATTGCTTAGATAAATAAGGGGCAAGTCAGAAGGTCTGAATTATCTTTATTAATCTCTACAGTTTTTATATTCTCCATTACATTTTGTTTTCTATGAACTTGTCATTAAAGATTCTGATCCTGAATCAATTACACCTTTCCAAAGTATGATAACAAGTCAATGAGAAATCAACATTTGCCATTATTTTGGCTAGAATCTGTAAGACTTTCTCCAATTCTGCTTTGGACTCCTCATATCTTCCCTCAGGATTAGATGAAAATACTCTTTGGTCCCATCTTTTATCTTAGACAATCTACATTGAGAAGGAATGTGGTATGTTGGATACAAAGCTGGCCTCAGAGTAAGATAAATGTAGGTTCAAGCCTTGTTCCTGACACAGACTGGCTGTGTGATTCTGAGCAAGTCACTGAATCTCTCAGTATGCCAGACAACTCGCTATGACTGCAAATTACTGAGCTGGTGTCAATCTGCATGGTAAAGGGATTTCCCTTATTGGAATTTTCCAAAAACAAAGAAATCACAGGTCCAGTTAAAATTTAAAAAAAAAAGCCTGCCCATATGGCTCATGTTGAATGTACATTAAAGGATGTAATTTACCGTATGTTTCTTCAGAAGTGCTTCAGGATCCCCTTTTTCTTTTATGCTGGCCTGGGCAATCTGGAGAACTTTCTCCAGTTCTGCTCTGGACTCCTCAAATTTCTTCATCAAACGGCTATTTGTTTCTACGTGCTTTTTCCACTCACCAGTTTTCTTTACCATATTCTTGATAACAAAGTCAAAAGAAAATTATTTTTCTTAAAAATGAAAGCAGCATGTTGTGTCTATGTAGGCATCACCAATTAAGTATTTATGTTTTTAATAAAATATTTAACAGGAAGCCTTAATGCAATCACAGACCCTGAAGTAAACAGAAATAATGATACAGGTAACTTCTTTTTGAGGCTTATGAATATGTAGTGGAATATATTGATTTTTCCATGCAGTAGTAAAAAGAAGAGAGAGAGAGAGAAAGAAAAGAAAAAAGAAAGAGAAAACCAGAGGCATAATCAATAATAGATTCTTCTCTGCCTTTCTCTCACCAACATTTTCCCAAATGGCAATTTAAACCAGAAAAAATAAATTACCTGAAAAGCAACATGAACCTCAGCAACCTTCCTTTGCAGCATGCTCTGATCAAAGTGTTTTAACACCTTACTCAAGGCCACAAATTTCTGCACATTTTGACTGTCTTTCTCAATTAGTGTCAAAGTCTTCCTGCAACTTTCTTGATGAGATAACAACTCCTACAAGGAAAAAAAACCCAATAATATTACAAAAGAACAAGAAACTGTTCAGTTTTAGGTTATCAAAGGGATATAGATTAATCAATGTTAAAAGATTTCATTTTCAAAATAAATTATTAAGAAACAATCTTTTAATCAAAGGATTCAGCAATCACTAAAGTTGCTCCATTTTAGATCAGATGTCAAAAGTGGTTTTTTGACATCTTACCTTTGTCTCATATCATATCCTCACATCTGATCTAACGCTATAGTGGAAATAATAGAATAAAAGAATCAAACAGAGAATCAAAATTATAATAACCACCTAATTTCTGGCTTCATGCAACCAACAGGGCTCATGCTAATGTCATGATAGTGACACTACTAAAATTAACCTGCACATCAGATTATAAAGTGCTGAAAGGTCTTTTAATTTAGTAAGTTGAAGTTGACTGAAATAACAAGAAGCAGAAAATGTGTTTTACATGCCATCATGCCCATAGTACTATAAAAACTGAAGAATCTCTCATTGTTGCTAACAGGCTGCAGAATAAAGGCAGATTGTGCCCAGGGGATCAGAGACTCATGGAATCAATTGTATTTTTCTGTGCTTTCAAAAGTAGATGAGCAACAGGGCCTTCAGGTCTTTGAAGTTCTCTCTAGTGGCTCTATTATATATCAATCAATCCAAACTGCTTGATGGGGGAGGGCAAGGTAGCTCTGCCAGGGTATATCTGACTAGTTATTGATTCTAGGCAAGTCACTTCACTTCTCTCAGGTTCAGTTTCCTGATCTGTAAATTGGGGATAACCCTACTAGTTGTGATGATCAAATTAGCAATAACATATGTAACAGGCTTTGAAAACCTTTTTCATAAATGCATGAGTTTGATTTTTCTTTTTGTAAAATACATGCAAATCTGACCGGTATAATCTCTTTGTTATTGAGTTTTGCCTTTACAAACTGAAAAAAAAAACAACACTTTTTTTTTCCTCCAAAGATTTGGGAAATCGGATAGGAATTATGTTATAAATATACTATTACATGTTAATTGGGTTGTGGCATACATAACATAAGGATTTCATAACTATTTTGCTGATACAGTAAATGGGACTATATCTAAGGATGAAAAAAGTCATGAATGAAAAGAATGCATTTGAGTGATTTAGACACCCAAGTGATCTTTTCTGTCAAGGAATTCATTCAGATCAGGGGCTTCTAACCTAGGTCCATTGTTATAAATTGTTATAAATTTGATAACTCTATTTGAATACAAATTGATTTTCTTTTATAATCCTAAGTATTTTATTCTTTTAAAAACATTATTCTGAGGAGGTGACTGAAGGTTTTTATCAGGTTGCTTAAATGGGTCCATAGCACACAAAAGGTTAAGAACCTCGACTTAGATTAAGTATTGCTAAGCCCTAGAAGTACTTTTTTTTTTCTATCTGTTGACAGAGGGTTTCATTCAATAAATACCAATTAAATAAAATAATTAGCTATGCTCAGTGGAGGGGTAACATTCTTAGGGAAGACAGGTGTGTTTATAATGAGACAATAAAAAATACAGCTTGTCATCCTAAGTACATTTTATGATGGCTGACTTAGCGTGACAAATTGTATGTTTTAATTCAGAGCCTACCTCACCCTCCATGAACAGTATCTGTTCAAGAAACCTGAACTGATGGATCAACTCTGTCACTATGAAGTTGATTTTGAGATCTATTTATCCAGCCCTAACCTCCCTCCTGGGAAGCTACATGGTTCAGTGGATAGAGTACTAGGCCTGGAGTCAGGAAGCCCCCTTTTCCTGAGTTCAAATCTGGCCTCAGACATTTACTAGCTTTGTGACCCTGGGCAAGTCACTTAACCCTATTTGCCTCAGTTTCCTCATTTGTAGAATGAACTGGAGAAGGAAATGGCAAACCTTGTTTTGCCAAGAAAACCCAAAATGGGGTCATGAAGACTCAGACATGACTGGTATGACTGAAGAACAACAAAACCTCTGTCCTCACTTCCACTCTTGCACCTATACTGACTATCGAACTTCTCAAGTTGGATGTCTTGCAGACGTTATATTCTCAGCATATTAAAAAGTGAGCTCATTATCTTTTCCCCAAAACCTTTCATCTTCTTAACCACTCTAATACTGTTGAGGGTACCACCCTCACAAACTATGTTATGCTCAACCTCTTACTCTCATTCCCTATATCCAATCCGTTGTCAAGTCCTGTTGATTCTACCTTTACAGTATCTCTCGGACATAAACCCCTCTTCTCTGACACCGCCTCCATATCTCACACTTGCACTATTGTTATACCTCTTAATTGGTTTTCTATCTCCAGATCTTCCCCCCCAAAATCTAGCCCATCCTCTACTTAGCTATCAGTGTCATCTTTCTAAAGTACGAGTCTGACCTTCTATCTACCCCTCTTCCATTCAATAAACTCCAGTGGCTTGTTACCTCCAAGATCAAATATAAAATCCTCTTTGGGGCTTTTAAAGCCCTTTATAAGCAATACTGTCTTCTTAATTATGTTCCACTTAAGATTATTAAAAATTAGTCAGAACTATGCTCTAACTAGCCACAAACACACACTATAACAAAATGGCATATGTTTCTTTCCTCATTCTTTTTCAAAATCTTTACTATGCAAACTAATTGCAAAAAGTTAAGGACTTTATCTGGATTAATGTTCCAATTGTATCCTACTTATTATGCAAAGGGTAGGGTAGATATATATTGCATAAATGTCCTTCTTGTCTAATGTGGAGGCAATGTGGAATGGTGAATAGGGTATCTGATTTGGAATCAGGAAGACCTTCATTCAAATCCTGCCTCAGAAACTTAGAAACACTGTGACCTGAGAAAGTCACTTTTCATCCTCTGTGCCTCAATTTTCTCATCTGTCAAATGAAAGGGATGGATTCAGTGGTCTCTAAGATACCATTCAGTTCTGAATCTATGGTCCTATGAACTTAATTGGTTTGAACAAGGAACTAATGAAGCCACAGCCCTGAGTTTATTCTTTGGATTCCAGGATAAAAAGACTATCTTCTCCATGGCCTATTTCAGATTAGCAAAAGGAAGCTGAGGAGAGAATAAGTATGAATGGCTCCCTCGACAGTGGAAAGGAGACTCAAATACATGTTCTACTGACAATGGTCCAACAGAGCCATATTTGTTAAGGAGGCAAAACACAGTTTGGGAGTGTTTAAACTACCCCCCAAGAGAATGTCATTAATTTTACTTTTGTATCTTGGGGTCTGGGCTCCTTAGAAATACTATGAGTTGTTCTTTAAACAAGTACATTCATTCTCTGCCTCTTGCTCCTCTAAGGGTCTTTCTTTTATAAAATTTTAAAAAGCTACTAGTTGCTTCTGAATTGATAGAGACAATTGTCTCTTCAACAAGTCAATTCAATAACTTTTAATAGATACCCACTAAGGGCAAAGTAATAAAGATTACTGAATTGAATTGATTAAATGCCTACTAAGGGTAAGGGGAGCAGTCAGGTGGCTCAGTGGATAGAGTTCAAGGCCTAGAGTGAGGAAGATTCATAATCCTGAGTTCAACCAGCTGTGTGACCTTGGGCAAGTCACTTAACCCTATTTGCCTCAGTTTCCTCATCTGTAAAATGGGATGGAAAAGGAAATGGCAAACTACACTGGTTTAAACTCTTTAAACTCAAGTTTAAGCAAGTAAACGGCAGCTTTCCTTACCTGATGTTTTTGTTTAAAAAGGGTGGTAGCTTGTGCTTCCCTTTCAAGGAGTGACATAGTTTCATTGATCCTCTCAAGTGCCTCATAAAAGAGTGTGATCTGCTTTTCTAATTCTTCCAGTGGAATCAGCAGCTGTTGAGTCTCATAAAGTAATGCAGGGTAACATTCTTTGACCTTCAAAAAGACAAAGACAACAATTCCATCCAATAGCAATGTGCCAAAGTGGAGGAAATCTCGTAGTCACCTTGTTATAACATTTTCCTTATTTACTACCTTAAACCAATTTTGCAAGCTGGCACTTACAAACCCATAATGTCTTACCTTCATGTGATCCTCAAGGGATTTGTATAGTTCCCTGAATTAAAATACAGGCATTATACTATGAAATCCAGGGGGTTAGGATTTAAATGAATGGTTAGTTATTTGCCGATAAATGTGAATTGAATTGAATTGAATTGCTGATAAATGTGAATTAAACAACAGAGTGAGCTAGAAACCTCCAGCATCAATGAATCTCCCTGATTATCATTCAGTCAGCAAATCACTAATTCTTTTCAGATCCCAAGTAAAAGGAAAGCAAACAGGACTGACCAGTAGGAGGGCTTCCGTTTTGTTTTTTGTTTGTTTGTTTGTTTTTGGTAGAGGTATATAGTATGTATGTTACAGAGTACATAGATAAGATATGAAAATTATCAAAGATGAGAGGCTCTGTTCTTTAAACTTGGCATTCATAAGCAGAAACTTTTTGGTTGTGGTTGCTTATAAATAGCTTTCTTTTTCATGTACTAAGTTTTGAGATTAATATGAACTGAAATGTGAATTACATGTCTACTGTGGCAGAGTTTGAAGAATGAAGGATAAATATCCCAAAAGAAATAGAAAGTGCTCCTTATGGGTATATGTCATAGTAGTATTAATAATAATAACAAAATAACAATCACAGCTGATGTTTACGAAACACTTTGAAATTTACAAAATTTTTATCTTTTATGAACCTCAACTCAGGAATCATTATCCTCATTTTACAGATAAGTACAGATTAAATAAATTACTCAGTGTCACAAAATTAGGATATAGTAGAACTAGAATTTGAGTCCAGGTCTTTCGATTCTGAATCAGGGATCTTCCTACTTTTCTATTTTCCAAGTGTCTGTTTTAATACCATATAAATCTCTCTGTGAATGGGGATAATGATAGAATTATCTCACAGGGATATTGTGAGGATCAAATGTGATAACATAAGGAAAGCACTTTGCAAACCTTAAAGCCCAACATAAATGTTAGCTATTAATATTATTCTTAACTGATAACTTATCATTCAAAATCCTATAAAGTACAAAAACTATTCTGATTTTGAGACTTTTTTCAAAGTCTAACGGGGAAGGAAGAAAAGTATTTGCATTGTTTTTGGTAATATCATAGGGTATAATAGATTATGTCCTAAGACAAGCTCAGTGACACAAAAACAGCAGAATGAATGACAACCAAGCATGTTAAAGATCCCCAATATATCTTACAGAGAATTCTAAGGGTTCTTGACACTTTTGTCTCATCCAGAAACAAGCCAGACTTGGGTATCCTCTACAGTCCAAGGGTGGAGAAACTGCGGTCTACACTTACATTCATTCCCTACCCCCTGCTCCTCCAAGGGTCTTTCTTTTATAAAATTTTAAAAAGCTATTAGTTGCTTCTGAATTGATAGAGGCAATTGTTTCTTCAACAAGTCAATTCAATAACCTTTAATAAATACCCACTAAGGGCAATATAATAAAGTTTACTGCATTAAATTGATTAAATACCTACTAAGGGTAAGGGGAGCAGCTAGGTGGCTCAGTGGATGGAGTACTAGGCCTGGAGTGAGGAAGATTCATATTTCTGAGTTCAACTAGCTGTGTGACCCTGGGCAAGTCACTTAACCCTATTTGCCTCTGTTTCCTCATCTGTAAAATGAGATGGAGAAGGAAATGGTAAACTACTCAGCAGCTTTGATAAAAAACTTTAAATGGGGTCATGAAGAGTTGGACATAACTGAAACACTCAACAACAACAATGTTGGCACTGTGCTGTGCTAAGCCCTGGGCATCCACTGACAAATGTGGAAGATTCAGGCTTGGAGAAGTTGTCTTTGTAAGGCATGGTATAATATTAAAGAGAGACCTGGGATTAAATATAACATGACCTTGGCTCAGGTCCTGCTTGGCACTTAATAGTTGGGTGACCCTGGTTTAAATGGAACGTTTTTGAGTTTCTGTTACCTCTCTTGTAGAATGAGGATAATAATAGCACCTACTTCATAGGGTTTTTGTGAGGATAAAAGAAGCTATTATATGTAAAGAATGTTGCATATTTTAAAACATTGTATAAATGTGCCTTATAATTGTGCTTTTATTTTTGAAAGTTCTTAGGAATGTAATTTTTACAAATAAATGGATATATATACACATATACACACACATACATACATGTATACATATACATACATACATGCACATATACATATATGTATGTATATATAAACATTTGCTCTATAGATCTCACAAGGATGTTATGGGAAAAATCGCTTTTTAAACTTTAAAGTGCTACAAGAATGTGATATACAAATATACATAGGTAATGTGCATATATGTATGTAAAAATCTATATATATATATATATATGTACGGAGAGAGAAAGAGAGAGACAGAGAGAGAAAGAGTCAGAGAGAAACAAAAAACCTCTATCCTTATTTAATGATGAATTCACTGGCACTGTGGGTCAACATCATAAAAAACAGATCAAAAGCAATTGTAGTTGCCTTTTTCTGTACATTGTGAATGTCATTAAAAAACAAAAACCTCATGGATTACCTTGTTTAGCTGATCTTTGAGTCCAGATATGGTTGCAAGGATTTCGCGGGCTTCTTCTTGGGGACTCTCTTTTGTAATAAGCTGTGCTGTCCTTGTGATAATCTTGTATTGAGCTTCCATCCCAGGCATCTTCTGCTTAATATCCTGTCAGGAATCATTACTAGGAATCATTAGTAGGAAATAACTGTTTCTATTAATATGAGGGATACAAGTACTGTTCAGCTTTTTCTAAGCATAGAAATGAAGAAATGTATTTTATAAAGATTTCCACATTTAAGAAATTTGTGCAGGTCCTGGGGACAATCATTCATTTATAGTCACAATCACTCATCGCTGAGATTCATGTCAATCAATCAGTAAACAAAAATATTATATCTCCAAAGAAGTATGAATACTATGATTTAAATACTACGAATTGTTATTCATACTATGAAAACATTCAGATTAGCTGCAATAGGATTTATATTTCTAAAATATATGCAGATCAGCTATTTTTGTAAATGCCAATAACAATCTTTAAAATGAACACTTTAGAAGACAACCTTCCTCCCCATTTTAAAGGCTATCATTTATTACATTCATGTAGAGGCAATATATAAAAATTTTCTTTTTTTTTCTTGAAGTGTACTTTTAGAATGTGAAATCTACATTTAAGCCACTAAAGTGAATAACTAAAAGCAATTACTACTAAAGTATGTGACTTTATCTAAAGAAGTATAATTTTGAAATGCAGATTTATTAACTGTACTCCTCATCTCCCCTATTAGGATTCTTTTTATCTCCACTGATTATATTCATTCTTTGTCTGTCCCATTAATGTTTTTTTTGGTTCAGCATTTTTTTTATGTGGCGCAATTGGGGTTAAGCGCCCTGCCCAGAGTCACACCGCCAGTGAGTGCTTTGTGTCCAAGGCTGGATCTGAACTTAGGTGCTCCTGACTCCAGGGTGGTGCTCCATCCACTGCGCCACCCAGCTGCCTCCTTGGCTCATTCTTTGTAATCCCAATACTTGGCACAGTGCCTCGCACATAATAGGAATTTAATTAATGCTTTTTTTATTGACTGCTTGTGGAAGGGTTCATATTTAGGCAGTATCCATTTCTATTTATTTGAATTCAACAAATATTTATTTAGTAACTACTTTGTACAAGGCAGCTAGGTGACCCAGTGGATAGAGTGTAGGGCCTGGAATCAGGAAGACTCATCTTCCTGAGTTCAAATCTGGCCTCAGATACTTACTAGCTGTGTGACCCTGACCAAGTCACTTAATTCTGTTTGCCTCAGTTTTCTCATCTATAAAATGAGCTGGAAAAGGAAATGACAAACCATTAATTTTTTTATACTCATTCCATTTTTATTTAGGTTTTATATATATGCATATATATATGTATATATATATATATATATGTATTTACACACACACACGTATACATATATATGCCAGGCATTTGAATTTTTAAAAAAAATGTACATCATTAAATCTAGTAATACCAAGTTCAGAAAATAGTCTTAGGCCTTCAAAAAACCACCTCTTTTACCTCTTGAATGGTCTACACCCCCAACAGTAGCAATTCTATTAAAGTCATCTTCTAAGTCTTCCAACCTACAAGGCCTTCAAAACAGATTTTTTGTTTCTGCATAGTTTATTAGAGGGAGTTTGTGGTTGCTTTAGATTTGAAGCTATTTATATTTCTCATCATTTCTTAGTGTCCCTGGGGAAAAAAATCAAATTGATCAATAGCTGCCAGCAGGTTCTTTCTAGAGTCATGCAGAAGGCAAAGGCTTTGTGCCTCTGTTCATACTTAAAGTTCTCCCAGGGGCAGCTAGGTGTCACAGTGGTTGGAGCTCTGGCCCCGGAGTCAGGAGGACCCAAGTTCAAATACGACCTCAGACACTTGATACTTACTAGTTGTGTGACCCTGGGCAAGTCACTTAACCTCCATTGCCTCGCAAAAACAAAACAAAATTAAAACAACAACAACAACAACAAATAAAGTTCTCTCTCAATTTAGCTTAAAAAACCTCCCCATACTTTTTTTCCTTTGAAAAACAAATAATCAACCCATAGGGATTAGGTGCATATAAAATAAATCTTTTTTATAGCACTTGCCATATTATTTTAAAAACCAACATGCTGTAAAATGTGTCTATGTGTATGTGTATATATATGTGTGTGTGTGTGTGTGTGTGTGTGTGTACATATATACATACATATACATATACATACATACACATACAAAATCATCCAAAACATAGAATTAATTTTAAAAAAACCATTGAATATTTACTATATGCAAAGCATTGAGCTAACCTTAGTGTTAGCTTTGATTCTTGGTACTATCTATACGCAATAAGTCACTAAGTCCTGTTGATTCAGTCCACAATACATCTTGAACTTATTCTTTCCTCTCTATGCCCACAGAGACCAACTTTGAATCAACATCCATTACCATCTGTCTAGACTATTTCAATAGACTCTTAAAGCTCTTACCATATATGTTCTTTCCCCTGTCTAATCTATCCTTCAAGCTTCTGTCAAACTCATCCTCACTTAAATCCATAAATCCAATCATGACACCTCTCTGCTCAAAATGTTCAGTGCCTCTTTATTTGGCAATCAATTATAGTTCAAACTCTTTTATATGTCATTCAGGATGCTTGACAGTCTAATGTCCCTTTAACTTTCAAGCCTTATTTCATACTACTCCCTATTCATACTCTGCACTCCAACCAAACACTGCCCCCCAGACCAACACATATCATGTTTTTCTCCTCTATGCATTTCTTCATATTGCTCCCTAAGCCTACAATGTCCTTTCTCCCCTTTACCTACTGAACTCCTGCTTTAACGCCCAACATAAATGGCATCTCCACAAAGCCTTCCCTGTATGTTGGTGTGGTGGTGGCTGTTTTTCAGTTGTGTCTGACTCTTTATGATCACATTTGGGGTTTTCTTAGCAAAGATACTGGACTGATTTCCTTTTCCTTCTCCAGCTCATTTTATAGATGAGGAAACTGAAGCAAACAGGGTGAAGTGACTTGCCTGGGGTCACATAGCTAAGCACTTGGTTTTGCACTACTTGGATTACTTTATCCTGTATTATGGCTAATTTGGTGTAACATCCTCAGATAAAGAGTGAGGGCCAAAACTTCTTATCCAAATTAGATATCTCCTCCAGCACTCCACACATAGCAGGTGCTTAAGAAGGAATTTGTTTAATTGAATCTAGCAGTGTTGGGCACTCAAGGGAAATGATGTCATAATAACAATAACGACTATATTTTAATATAATCTGTTTTCTTTATAATTCTATGTGTTTTATACATTTAATTCTATATGTTTTATACATTTTATACATTTAAAAACGTTCTTCTGAAAATGGGTCCATAGGTTTCACCAGACTGTTGAAGGGATCACTGATACAACAAGACATTAAGAACATCTGGCTTATGGATATAAATTTAGGAATCAACTGCGCTGAGGTGATAAGTGAATTAGTAAGGATAGGTGGGATCACAATGAGAGAATGCATTGAACGTAGGCTGAGGACCGAACCTTGAAGAACATATACATAAAGGGGAAAGTAGGAAAAAGAATAGCTAAGTGAAGACAGAAAGAGACAGAGACAGACAGATTCAGGGGAGTATAGGATCATGAAAGCTCTAGAAAATAATAGTGGTAACCAGGCGGTGATGCTCAACAGTGTCAAACGCTGAATCTACATTTAAAAAGATAAGTGCAGAAAAAAGATCACTGACTTTGGCATTTCAAAGGTCATTTGATGACCTTTGGATTGGAATACTTTCCTTGGAGTGGTAAGGATGGATTATTGGACCTTTTTGATAGAATTTCATGACTTTTTTATCCAGAAACATTTGACAGCTGAGGAATGAAAGAATACATGATGGATAGTGGAATTTCTCCAGGGTTGGTTATTATCAAAACAGTTATGGGAAGTAGAAATTTAGAAGGCAGGCTAAAGAGTTATTTTATGACAAATTTGGGCAGAGGGAGAGAAGGACTGGAGATATGTGTAAGACTAGATTGAGTTTGAAATTTCATGTCACAAAAAAGTATCTTACCTCTAAATCTTGAAATAACATCTTGACATTAAGAAAAGAAACATCTAAAGGCTCAGAAAGTTTTCCATTGGCTTCAGCGGTAAAAACGGACAATGTGGTAACATAATCTAGATATTCTTTTTTCATTCGGTCAAGCTCATCTGCTCGAGCATACTGCAAGAAAAATACAAAAGTGCAATATTATCAAAGCACTGTTGTACAGAGATTGAAGAAACCATTAATCTCTTATAAGTTCCATTTAAAAAAATGAACAGTTCCAATTCTGATATTTATCTTAAAGAAGTTTAAATTTGGAGTAGACAATAATTTACTACTATCCATGGGTGAGGAAGAGAAGTAACACATATAAAAACTAAGAGCTTACCAGAGAGGCAAATCAAGCCAATTTTAAAGGTAAGGGTATTTTGGATAAGGAAAACACCTTAATCTCCTTCTAAAATTTAAACTAATATGCCTATATTTCTAGTGTCCTTGAAACAAAACAACTGAGAGGAAAAAGTGGTAACCAAATACAAATGAAGATTTCTTCATTATTTCAGAAGATATATGGTTTCATTCATGCTATCTCATCCCACAATTGCAAATAGCGCAGATTAGAGGGGCCATGGCTAGTATGCTGCCATGGACTGCTCACATGAGAAACATTGTTAGTGCTGTCCCTCTGCTAAATCTTGTTACAGATTTTAAAACTTATGGCTTTCCTTGAGTTCTGGGCCTTTGGTTTCAGACTCATTTTCTCAATTCCGTGATTAGTTTTCTAGATGAGCTGCCTTTTTTTTTTTTTGGCTAGGCAATGGGGTTAAGTGACTTGCCTAGGGTCACACAGCTAGTAAGTGTTATGTGCCTGAGGTTGGATTTGAACTCAGGTCCTCCTGAATCCAGGGCTAGTGCTCTATCCACTGCACCACCTAGCTGCCCCATGAGTTGGCTCTCTGAACTGCTGGCTTTGATATCTGCCTAGCTTTCTATGCATAAGCTTGGATCTTGGTGTAAATATCATTGCCCACCAGGCTTACTCTTTCCAGCTAGTCCTGTCAGTCTTTGCTAGGCTTGAGATATTCCAATGTACAGATGTTCCCTTATTCTCTCCACAGAAAGCAGGTCCCTACCAACTCTGGATATCCTCATCACCTATTTAGACTGTAACCTGGGCATACTTAGCAGACAGTTTGAAGAGGTGTTGTGGCCAAAATATTTTATTCATGATGGTGGTCAAACTTCTGAGGATGAATGCTGAATTTAGATAGGTTGGTTAATAGAAGAATATCTATTTTTGGGCCAGTGCTCAAAGTCTTTCCAGCTTATGAGGGCTTTCCATACCTAATGCTCCACTGGAATAGCCTTCTAGATGCCTTTTAAAGTTATTTCCACATCACAATAAAGCATGCAAAAAGGACTAGAATAGAAAAGAACCTATAACAATTCTAAGCAAATATAAGCCAAACTTTAGCAATTGATATGCCCTTTAGAAAAATGACAAAACACTTCTTAAACCATAACACAATATGACAATCATACTAACAATTTTAAATGGTTGAGAAATACTTACTTGTTTCACTTCCATAAACAGTTCTCTCCAACGTCCATTTAACAAAAGCAATTGCTGCTTAAGGTCTCGGGAAACCGTCTCGTCACATGTTTCAATAAGAAAATTGCCAGCATCATTCATAGTTGTGTGCTGCTGGATCCAATGAGGTAAATTTCGGAAAAAATCCTGAAGAAAAATTCATGATATTATAAATTATAAAACAAAAAACCTGTAGGTATTCAAAAATATTATCTTATGATGGTGATGATATATGTATAGTAATATTATAAATACATCATGCTATATATTATAAATATCACCTATTATAGGTGATTTTTTATGACTCTTTAATTTGGGGAAATGTTTGATAAATATGTTCTTCCTCTGCTGTCTGCTTTCTCTGGCTTCCTTCAAAACTCAGCCCAAATCCCCCCTTCTTCAAGAGGTGTTTCTTTGTTCCCTCCACTTCCATTTCCCCTCTCTAGTGCCCTCTCTCTCTCTCTCTCTCTCTCTCTCTCTCTCTCTCTCTCTCTCTCTCTCTCTCTATATATATATATATATATATATATATATATATATAATATATATATATACACTATATATATATATATATACACTATATATATATATACATATATATATACACACGTATACACACACACACACATATACATATATACACATAGATCCTGTATATTCATAATTGTCTGCATTAGAATGTGAGTTTCTTGAAGGCAGGGATTGTGTTTTTGCTTTTCTTGGTATGTCCAGGGCTCAGCACAGTTCCAGGAACATAGTAAGCTTTAATAAACTCTGTTGACTGACTATCAAGGTGGCATTCTACAACAGGAAGGCAGGATAAGGACAAGACTTATGATTTCACTGCCATAGGGAATTCTCAGCTGAGGAAACTCCCTTTACTAAAACAGTAGAACACTGACAGGATAATTGGCTTATTCAGTATCACAGAGCCAGTATATGTCAGAGATAGGATTTCAATCACTCTAAAATGAGCTCTATCTACTATATATATATATATATATATATATATATATATATATATATATATATAGAGAGAGAGAGAGAGAGAGAGAGAGAGAGAGAGAGAGAGAGAGAGAGAGAGAGAGAGATCATTAGCATTTATATAACACTTTCAGCTTTGCAAAGTGCTTTACAAATATTATCTCGTTACCACAACAACACTGGGAGGTAGGTACTATGAAAATCCTCATTTTATAGATGAGGAAACTGAGGCAGAAAGAAATTAAGTGACTTGATCAGGATTGCACAAGCTAGTAAGTGTTTTAGGGCCAGATTTAAACTCATGTCTTCCTCATTACACATCTAATGTTCTATCCATCGTACTAGATAGCTGCAATTCATCTCTTTTAAAATGTTTAGAGAAAACTTTTGATCCACCTGTCATTTAAAAATTTTAAATTGAATATTATTCCAAGTGGATTAGTTTGTATCACAAATACAATCAAATGACAATTAAAAAGAGTCAAGAATGCTTACAGTACATCCCAAGGTTGTTCCTCCTTCATTGAGAGTCCAGAATAACATACTTAACATAAAGGCAATGATACCCCTCTCAATTTACTTGTTTTTACCCCTTTATGCCAACTAAAAATCTCCCAAATGGACAAAAGGTGGCAAATATAACTCACTTGCATTTTAAGTCTTTTAAAATCTATTTTAATAATAACCTGTGTGTAGGAGGTTCCCCTACATAAATAGAAGAGAACATTTCTGCTTCTGGTGGATTCACTTCACAAAAGCTTCAACACATATGACATTGACTGGCACACTGCCACCTTATCAGAACAGCCCTAATTGGAATAGGAATGGAAACTCTACCATCATTAGCTACCCCAAAAACATGGCATCTATATGAAAACTGATTCACATCAGAGGATGTGTAAATTTGCTCTGCCTATATCATACATAAGCTTAGAGGACAAATTTAGAGTGATATTTTACATGCCAACTTATCTGCTATGGCAAACCAAAATAGTCATTCAAATTCAACAAACATATAAAAGCCTGCTGTGTACAAGGCACAGAGTTGGCACTGAACACTCAAAATAGATGTAATTCATGCTATACTCTTAAGAAGTTCAGAATTTGAAAGTGGGAGAAGAATATGTTCACCCAAGTAACTGATTCCAGTGAAAATATAGTAAGTACAAAATAGAGATATTGCAATATGAAATAAAGAGTCAATCAGTGAACATTTATCAAGTGCCTAAGGCACGGTGCTAAGAACTGAGGATACAAAAAGAGGCAAAAGACAGTCACTACCCTCAAGGAGCTTACAGTCTAGTAAGGGAGACAATATGCAAACAAATACATACAAAGCAAGCTATATACAACATAAATAGGAAATAATACAGAGGGAAAACTCTGTAATTAAGAGATGTTGGTGAAGGTTTCCAGCAAAAGATGAGATTTTAGTTAGGACTTAAAGTAAGCCAAGGAAGTCAATAGTCAGAGCGCAGAAGGGGGAGCTTTCCAGGAATGTTTAAGAGAAATAATTTTAAATGTAAGATGGATGAATATGTAGGTAAAGGTTAGATAGAAAATTAGGGATTGATGGATAAGGTGGCACCTGAAGGACCTTCAACCAAGAAAGGGTGGAGAGAGTATAAGTTCAACTTCACTTTGAAGGTAGATAGTCCAAAGGTATTTAGTCCAAAGACCTCATTTTATGGACAAGGATGCTGAGGTCCAAAAGTGAAGTGAATTATCTACAACTCAAGCTTTTTGATTCCCATTCCTCCTAAAGTATTTAAGGACCTAGAAGAGATAATCACTACATGGGCATGGCCCATTATTAGCAGAATGGCCATTAACTGCAAATGCTCTTTTACATGCAAAAATGAAGAATGGGTAAACCCAATTGCCTAAAAAAAATTTAAAAAAACCTTTTAACCCCAATTGCCTTAAATTTTTTTTTAAATGAAGACTGGGACATAAGTATATTGAGAAGGAGATTAACTGCTTTTTTTTTTTTAATTTCTCCATTAATTAAAGTAACTAACCTAAAGCAGAATACTGCAAGCTGAATTTGGAATCCTAAGGAGCTGGCTTCAAATCTTCCTTCTGCTATCTTCTGGATCTGACTCTAAGCATGTTATTTCATCTTTGTGGGCCCTTTTCCTCATCTTTAAAACTAAAGGTCAGGGAGATTTAAATGATTTGACCAGGGTCACATATATGTTAGAGCTAGGATTTGAACCTAGCAAGGTCTCCTGGTGCCAAATAGAATACTCTTTCCAACTTTAATCATTATCTAGTCTAGCCACCCCATCTACCTCTAAATCCCATGATCCCATGCTGCTATATGTGTTCAGAAGTACAACCAGACAGACATACACATGCCAATTAAGCAGTACTAGTACATGTATAATGTAACTGGGTTAATGTTTACTCTAGTAAAAATGAGTTTGATATACTCCATCGGCTCCCTATCACTTCAGAATCACATATGAAATCCTTTCTTTTGGGTTCAAAATCCTTCCTGACTGTACTCCTCTTACTTTTCAGTCTTCTTGCACCTTACTACCCACCAATCCAGTGACACTGGCCTCCTCTCTCTTTTTCAAACAAGACCTTCCATCTCCCGACTGGGCATTTTCGTTAAATGTTCCCCACGTCAGGAATGCTCTCTCTCTTTATCTCAACCTCCTGGGGTTCCTTGGCTTCCTCCAAGTCCCATCTAAAATCCCATCTTCTGTAGGAAATCTTTCTGATCCCTTTAATCCTAGCACCTATCTTCTATTGATTATTTCCAATTTACCTGGGATATATCTCATTTGTACATAGTTGTTTACTTGTTTCCTCCCCATTAGACTGGGAGCTCCTTGAGAGCAGGGTTTATCTTTTTCCTTTCTTTGTATTTCTAACACATAGCAAATTGCCTGACACATAGTAGGTACCTAATAAAATTCTGACTGCCTGGAGTCAATTGCTGACACAAACTGGCTCTGTCACCCTGAGCAAGTCACAACCTCTCAGAGATCTAAGGGTAACTTTTAATAAGACTCAATTGCATAGGAAATGCCTAAATGCATTGGTAAGAGAGAATTTCCTACCTTGGGAGTTCCCTTTACCATTAAATGACACACCTTGTCCTTATCTCAATCCCCTACTTCAGAGGATTGTGAGGAAAGTGCTTTGTAAACTTTAAAGCAGGGTATAAATATGAATAATTACCCTACACTATTTTTCCTTGCAAATTAATGTTCAACTCCATGAAGTCAGCTTACCTTTTTGGCATGCTCTGATTGGTTTAACATTTTTTCAGCATCCTCCAGCCAGGCTTGTAGACTGGCCACAGTATTGCTGTACCTGTCCCAGTTAGAAATGACTTCTTCTAGCATGCTCCTGACACTTCTCACTTCCACAGACAAATTCCTCCATTGAGCAGTTGTTTCATTCATGAATTTCATCACATTCTCTGCCTCTTCCACTGAAACAGATGAAGCAAGATGGAATTTTTAGGTACTGATTTTCTAGAAATAGATGCATCTGGCAAAGATCAGAAAGCTATCTAGTCAAAATTCATAGACCTTAAATAATAAAGGATTTGGGAAAGTGATTTTTACTTTAAACATCAATTCTAAAGAGAGCCAACATGGTAGTGGCAGAAAAAGTAATGGTTTTGGAATCAAAGGACCCAGGTTCAAATTCCACCTCTGTCAAGTTCAGCTTTGTGAGACATTGAGAAAGTCATTTAACCCCTCTGGGCCTCAGTTTCTTCATCTGTAAAATGAGAGGATTGGAGTAAATTGTGAGTTCCCCCCCCAGCTCTAAATCTATGATCCTATAATCATAGTAATTCTACCCACTAGTAGACACAATACCTTGGCATTTTAATAGGACTGAGTGACAAATGCTTCCCAAAACATGGAAATTAATACAGCTCAATAGATAAATATTTACTAAACTCTACTAGTCATGAAGCACAATTCCATCAGATTTACCTAGCAGTGATTTCTAAGAATGATTGTTAAGATTATAGAAGCACAACCTCAACTTGTGACTTAGTCATGGAACTTCTGGGGGAAATAGCACAGGCTAGCTTTATAAAGAGAGAACCCAAATGCAAGGATTATTTTGTACAAAGGCACTGAGCATATATGAAAACGAAAATGGCTTTAGTCCTTCAAGGAGCTGTGATTTCACTAGAATGGTTATTCCTCTTGTTCAAGTGTTCTGATTATAGCCTCAACATACCTCAGTAAGTGGTTTTCATAAACTGATGTAGCTGAAAAATTCACCACTCTGAAGCCAACTTTCTGAAGATAAGCCTCCGTGGATTTAGCTGAGCTGGTCCAAATGTAACAGACATATAATCTTCCCCTGGACCTACACTTAACGCTTTCCATTATAGCTTTATAAGACCTGTTTGAGCTTGCATTCTGTTGGCCTAGAGTTCAAGAAGCAAGGGTCCACACGACACCACAAGGAAGTCTCAGTGTAAGACTTTAGAAAAGATAATAAGCACTTAAACGAGCAGTAAGCCCTTAAAATATTGGTTACCATGTATTATAACCAATATGGTTACCACCATAATAACTGAGTCTTTATCATGCATACAGTAGAAGTATGATGCCATGTTATCACTCGAGATATTTCATGGTTTAGTTCACTTCTGACAAAAGTTATCATAATCCTAACATTTACATGGCTTTCATTTAACTTTTGAGATGCTGCTAATAATGTCATTTGCTAAACAGATCTTGGATAAGGTTAAAAACAGCAATCCTTTTTCAAAATGTCAAAATTTGAAGAACCTCCTTTTAACCTCTAGAGGACAAAACAGCCATCAGTGTTATCCAATAATTAACCTTGATAGTCAAATTTTATGATATGCAAAATATAACCTTTTTTATTTCAGATTCTAGTAACTTAATATTACAGATGAGGATGCACTAAAGCAGTAGCTCCAAATAAAATATTTTCTAAATAGATTAATGACATGAATGAGATTACACAAAGAACAACAGAAAACTGTTGGGGCAGCAAGGTGGTGCTGGATGAAGCATTGGAGTCAGGAAGAACTAAGAAGAAAATCAGCTTAAGACATTTACTGGCTGTTTGACCCAGGGCAAATAACTTAATTGTCTCCATCAGTTTTCTAAATCATAAAATAGTAATAATAATAATAGTGCCTACTTTGCAGCGCTATTGTATTTGTAAAGTGCTTAGCACCGTGCCTGGCACTTAAGTGCTTGTTCCTTTCTCCCTGTCCTCTTTTAAGCAATTTCTAATGCCTTAAATGATTGACAAATCATTCTTATCTATTCATAAAAGCAACTATTATATGGAACCTCTATTAGCCGATAATTTTGCTAATCTAGTTTTGCTCAATGTGTGTACTTTATAGTCTCAAAATGGCATTTCTTTGAAATATTTAATATTTATAATATTCAACATTCTTTAAAATATTTTGTCATTCAGACTTCACTAATTTACATTGGCCTTCACAAATACTGGTCTAAGCTACTGAGATCTTATAGTTATTTGGGGAAAGAGGATGTGTATTATATGTGTAAATTAGTATATTAATGAGTTGTTATAACAAATATATATGTGCACCTACAGGTAGATAACAACCAGTATAGTCTAATAACTTGTTTAACTTGGTCTTTTTTTATTTAATTTTTATTTTAGTGGCTGACTTTAATCATTAGGCAGTCTTTTATGTCATATTTGAAGACAGAATACAAGCTTTATTGAAATTAACTTAAAGGATGTGGCTAACAACACTAAGAAAGAGGACAATGAGCTAACTTTGCAACATTTTGCATGGTTTCTTTGGCTGTTTCGGAAAACAAAGTTCAACATTCTTTTTGGGAGTGGAGAGAAGTACAAAATAGACTGCCATGGCTCATAGCAACACAACCAGCTATATCTTGATATTAGCTGGCACCTTTTTTTCCCCTTTAGCTGGAATATATATATATATACATATATATATATATATGTATACATATATATTTTATACAGATATAGATATATAGATACAGATGTAGATAGATATAACTTAAAAACATTATTTCAAACTTATTTCCACATTTCAAAGTTCCATGATTTCAAATATGTGGATATTTCCTCTACACATTCAGAATGCTACCCCTCTAGCCTCATAGATGACATTCCAGAATTGTTGGAGGAAAAAAAAAAGGACCTATAGTTGGTGGCAAACATTCTGGTAGTAAGCCTGTTTGGATTTGGCTCCAGCATATCAGTCCTTAGATGGCAAGCATGCAGTCTATCAATAATAAATCTGTATTCAAAACTTTGCTAGAGCTCGTGCTCCACTGACACAGCTTTTAAGAATCTTAAATTGAAGAGGAGACACCATGTCAACAATATTCTTTTATTAGATGTGCATAGAAAACATTAAATTATTTAACTTGGCTTCCATTAGAAATGAAATACTCAATGGTCATCTAAAAAGGACTCAAATGAGGTGATATATACTAAGTGTTTTATCTCCCTGAAACATCATATAAATGTCAGTTGTCACTACTGTAATTACTAATTCCATGACACTCACTATGGCTTCATCCCAGACATGAGTGGTTTAGTGATCTTAAGTATTTTAGACTATCATTTAATAATGTATTTTTTAGCTTCATCCCCTAAAAAAAAACCACTCACAAATATGTTCGAAAGCCTAAATAAAGGACTATTGAAAGGTCATTATGGGAATATGTATATGGGTATGTATGTATGTGTGTATGTATATTTGTATGTGTATATGTATATATACATGCATATACACATACACACATACATATACATGCATACATACAAACACACATTCACACACATATTGTCAACCAATATGGATAACCACAAAATCATACACTTTTAGCATATGAAGGAACCTCAGAAGTCATCTTGTTTAATCCCTATTCAAAGCATGAAACTTGGTTACACTGTCTCCAGTAAGTAGTTATCCAGAATTTTCCTAAAAATTTTAGATGACAGGGCATTCAATACTTTACCCCCAAAGACCTCTTTTTCACAATTTAGACATTTGTAATCATTAGGCAAGAATGTTTTACTTATATGTTAAAACCTGCCCTTGTAACTTTTTAATCATGTTTTCCCCATCAGGAGAAAGAAATTCAAATGTCTCTTCAACAAGAAAATTCCTAAAAACCTGAAGCCAGAACTTTGATCAACACAATGACCAACCAGAATTCCAGCAAGCTCATGAAACACTCTTTTGTCAGAGAAGTGATGTGTTCAGAGAGAGAGAGAGAGAGAGAGAAGAGAGAGAGAGATGTATATGTACAAACATACACACATACATATATGTATATACATATATATGTGTGTATATATATATATGTGTGTGTGTGTGTGTGTGTGTGTGTGTGTGTGTGTGTGTGTGTGTGTGTGTATAGACAGATGTGGATACACACAGAGATAGATTATGGTCAAAGTAGGAATTTATGTTTTTTTGATTGCATATGTTTGTGACATGGGTTTTGTTTTTCTTACCTTCTCATCTGGGGAAGGAAAGTGTCATTTCATTAACAAAATTTAAGATAGTAATAATATTTTAAGTCACAGAATACTTAATGTATACATGTATATACATGTGTGTGTGTGTGTTTATATATATATATATATATATATATATATATATATACGCACACACACACATACACATACACACAGAGAATGCATACATCTTTTCTTATACAGTGTGTGTGCTTTCTTGCCCCTACCATTTCATTCATGACACACCAAGAGGCTGCAGTGTTCTGTGCTTTCATTTCCAAATATCTTTCCTGCCATTCAAGGATCATCTCACATACCACTTCTTTTTCGATACCTTCCCTGCTCATCCGTCTTCAATGTGATTCACCTTTCTTAGAATTCCTTAACCCCTTGTTTGAATCAGTCTTGTAGTTATCACATATTATGTTATAGTTATTTTGTGTACTTGTCTTTCTCCTCTGCTGAAATGTAAACACTTTGAAGGTAGATACCATACCTAATTCATCTTTATATCTCCATCAGCCCCTAACACTGTGACTTTATATAAAAGATACCCAAGAGATGCCTGTTATATTAAATCATTGCAAATAATGTTATATTAAGAGAGTAGTTTAAAAATTCCAAAGATCTTTACCTATTGCTCCAAATTGTCTGACTTCACTCCTCTTCCTAACTTTGTAGTATTGGATGACTAATAGATACATGGCTGGGGAATACACAAACGGGAGCTACCAGGACCAAATAGATTGTATCAGCCTCAATTCACCTTGATTTGAATGTAAGTTGATGAGCCCATAGAGGTGTGGAGGGTTGGGGAAAGACTTGTAATATATTATTCCAGATTGGTGTCTTTGGCTATGCCCCAGCATCCTTTGGCTCACCTCTCTATAAAAAACAGCACCATTTGCTCTTAACTGTTTCAGCCATCTGGGATGGGATAATGGTCTGGATGGAGTCTACCTTTGGGAATCATTTGTTGCTTGGGTATGAGGTCCCATTTCCCTGAGCAGATAATAAGATAGGCCAACATGCATGACTTGTATTCTTTTTCTATTAGTATGTCGATCAGTGATTTTCATAAATTGTTCAATAAACTCTGTAATTAGATCAGTTTAAGATGGGTCATACTATTTCTCTGTTCTTCAATAGCTAGAATGTGACTACCATACCTCTATCTTATGACCTGATTCAATTTTCCATATAGGGAAGGAGGAGAGTTGTGGTAAAATGCCTTGTCCAAGGTCATACATAGAAAATAATGATAAAAGTATGTTTCAATCCCATCACCAAGGCTATATTGTTAATATTTAGTCATATCATGATATTAAAATATATGTATGTATATTAATTGATGTCTTTTCACTAATTAAGATTCATCTTTAACTGATCACAATATTTATAATTTTGTCATTATCAAAAGTCATCAAAAGTAGGCTAAGAGAACTTTGTAAACACAAAAGGGGGAAAAAAGTACAGTTCTGAAAAGAAAATCATCACTTTCTTTTCTTGATCAAAACAAAGAATAGTATAGTATAATATACATACTCTTTTGTCAATGAAGATACTTTGTCATACACAGAATTCTATGTAGATCTTGTACAGTTTTATTGCAGGTGAGTTAATGAGCTCTGCTCAGCAGGTCAAAGCCACCCCACTGTGGAGTCAACTACTAAATGCATACTTAGTATGTTAATAAGAAGGCAGATTAAAGGCAGTACATGTAAAAACCATGTTACTATTTATTGTAGGAGATATTGCAAGATGTTTTACCTGAGCCATCTGCTTTCACATACATTTCAGCGGCCTCCTTCAAGATATGGTACGTTACTTCATATTGTTCAAAAAATTTACTATTTTCTATAAAAGACTAGAAAAGAAGGAATCAGAAGGCAAAAGGGAATTAGTACAAAACAAAAGGCATGTTTATATGGAAAATTAAACACAGATTTAATCTGCCACCTTTTTCTTCAAAGCAAGTAGGTGGCCCATCTTCCCTGTAATTTGGGGATCCTTCACCAATGCACATCAAATGGTTTCATTACTATAATTAAACAAAGATTCTCTTGTGTTTATTAGCTATTTCCACTTTGTTTTTTTCCCCTAACAGTTGACTCTAATGTTCTAAGAAAAGAAATCCTTTCTTTCATGACCCTTGGGCTTGCTCCTGGAAAAGATGAAGGATCCCTAGAGAGAACAGCCCTAGCATTTTCAAAGCATTAAATTAAGAGGTACATTTTAAAGCCTTCTGCTGACATGCAGCACTGGGATTCCTTTGCATTCAGAATATTCTTTACTCCTAAGTGATTGCTCTGTGGGTACTTCAATTTAAAAACAAAATGGTGCAGTGCTCAAACATTTCCTTATAGAAAAAAAAGTCTATTTTATGTGTTGAAAATACATCAAAATAACATTTCATTCTTTCCACACAGTGACATATTTCAATGATCAACACAAAGCTCCTAGACACAAAGCAATTCATAGCATGAGGCTTTTTTTTTTGGAAAATTAAAACAAAAAAATGTTTTTCTAGATACATAAAAAACACATTATAAACATCAATGAATCAAAAACATAAACTTGAAAACAAAGCACCAAAGCATAATATTAATGAATTACCTAAATGTAATTGATACTGTATTCTTGGAAACATGAAATGAGTCCTTACCCATAGACCAATAAAATAGAAAAACTAGACAACTATATAGATATCCAGGTCAAAGCTAATTGCACCAGTGGAAGAAGAGATTTTTTTGGCAGATGTTTTGGGAGAAAGGAAGAAGGGATATTTGTTACGTAAAGAGTAAAGAACATTTCAATTGTCAATGTGCTGAATTCTCACAATTTCCATCATTTTAACAAAAATGATCAAATGTATGTTGTAAAATTAGTCCTGAAGATCAGACTGAGTACTCAGTACATTATTTGTAGATATAAAACTCCCTTATAGCAATTTCATAGGAAGAAACATGCAGACCGTTGTTGATGCATACTTAGTATACTTCAAGACGACTACAGAATTCATGCACAATACGCCATTTTTGGAAGAACAAGTAAGTAATTTGCCCTTAAACAAGCTTTGTTCATTTTCATGGATAAGAGTACATAGTGACCACTTTCCTTAGCAACTGCAAAACACTGTATTGTTGATATTGAAGTAAATAAACCATACTCTAATTAGTTTATTAACATCATTGATGTTCCTAGAAAAGTACAAAAAACTTTTCTTTGAAAAAAATTGAAATGTGTTTTAGTAATCTAAATGTAGATAAAACCAAATAAGGCTTAATCAAGTCAGCAAATTTCTATCTAAAACTCAAGCACATAAGGCCAAAAACTGAAAAGACCTAGGTCAGGATTAAGGGAAAAAAAATCTCTATTTTCCTTGAAGCAGTTCTTACTCTAAAACTTCCTTAATCAACAGGATTCAGTTGATGAGCCCCACATTTTGTATGTATTGAATTTAATTTGATTTTAAGTCTAAACTATAAAGAAGACATTAGTCCTATCATTTTTACATCAAATAGCAATGATAACATCTGACACTTAGGCTAAACAATCATGACAATAATGGCTTCATAATCCAAATAAGTCAAACAAATTGAGATCCTGTAAGAAAAAAATAATTGATGTGCTAGAGTATTTTAAAGATTGAATAAAGATGAGCAAAAAGGAATTGTTCATTTTGAGATTACTAGTAGGCTAAGGCATTCAAGAAAAATATATTTAACATAATGTAGTGAACAGTTAGGAGACCTAAGGACATGGGGGTGAGGGAATGGAGAGGTTTTTATCTGAGTACTGAACTTATTAGCTTTATGACTGCAGCCAGGTTACTTAATATCTCTAAGCCTCTAAGTTTCTTTATCTATAAAATGTGGACATTAATACTTTTATTATCTATCTCACAGGGTTATTGTGAGGAAAGTGTTCCATAAGCCCTAAAACACTATAAAACTGTTTATTATATGTGTGTGTGTGTTTATTTATTTATTTTCCTGAGGGAAGAACTTTGTAGATCTAAGAGCACTTCCTAAATTTGAGATGTCATGATTCTCATACTTGCAAAGATGAAAAGACTTTTTTAAAAATTTTCCTTTTAGCCAAGTAATGAATTGAATATAGGTAGACTATGTATGTGTTATTTTACATTCTCCCTAGATTCTTTTGTCTTAGATATGTAACTTTAAGGTGAATCATTCGGGAACATGAATTATACTATCGGCCAAAATTACTTTAATTCGATAATTGCCTGGATCATTCTTCCAGCAAAGACTTGGGACCATGAATTATGCTATCACTAAATATTTTGGCAAAAGGAGCTCTAAAGAGAAGGTGCTTCAAAAAAACATTCTAACTATAATCCCACAAAATTCTCCATTTTAGTCAATGTGACTAGACCTTTCCTGCCATTGGGTAAAAAGAAAAGTATACAAAGTTACTCAGCATATGAATTATAACAATTATAAGGTACTTCACAATTATATAACAATTTGCTTAACTATGTAGACAGCAAACAAATAACTTTGAAGAATAAATTATCTGGACTAGCTTTGCATGTGAATTAAATTAAGTGACTGTGCAATTGCCACATCTCTACTTGATTCTTGAAAGAAGCTAAGAGAGGAAGGCAAGGAGAGAGTACTTTTAGGCACAGGCAAAGGCACTGAGTCTGAAGATGAAATATCTTATGGATAGCAACCATTAGGCTGTGTGGAAGATTGAAGATTTGAGGTAGAGAAACTAATTAGGAAGTTGTTGAAATGATATAGAGAAAAGTGATGAAAACTTGAACTAGGATAGTTCTGTGAGTAAAGACACTTGTTCATCCTTTTTTTTTTCTTTTGGTGAAGCAATTGGGGTTAAGTGACCTGTCCAGGGTCATACTGGTAGTAAGTGATGTTATGCTTCTGAGGCTGGATTTGAACTCAGGTCCTCCTGACTCCAGGGCCAGTACGGTAACCACTGTGCCATCTAGCTGCTTCTATTTGTCCTTCATTTTCAAAGAGGACCAATGACATCAAAGATGATGTCTTGACTTGCACATGAATTGGATTAAAGTGAGGCAGAGTTACACAATCATCAGCCTTACTCTCTCTTCTAGAGACATTGAAATCCAGTGAACAGACATGTTGTGACTACAGAATTGATGACTTTTTGATTATAGGAGGTGAGAGAAAGTGAAGAGTAGAGAAAGACCTGAAGTTTGCAAACTTCACTGATTAGAAGAAGGGTAGTGCCCTAGACAGAAATAAGGAAGTTTGGAAAGGGATGAATTTGTTGTTCCAATGTGATAGATACCAAACCAGAATACATATAGGCAATACTGCTGAGAGGCGTGAAAGCCATAGTTTCTGAAATTCATTAGAGTAAATATTATTGGCAGCAGAACTCAACTTCGTAAATACTTAAGAAGCACCTACCAATCCCTTATCAAGCATTAGTACAAATACAGCTCTATCTCTGTCCTAGGCACTCACTCTAAGGAAATAAGCTATGTAGTCCTTGCCTGCTAAATAGTTTACAGTCTAGTTCTGAGATAAATATATGTACTTAATAAAGTCAAAGTAAGGGAAACCCTACCATGAAGTCCTTATTTCTTCACAGTTGCATTTGTTGCTGTATTTTGCAAGAGGAGAGAGCTCAGTATAAACAAATATTTAGTGATGAATTAATATCTGTAGTTACAAATATTCGCATTAAGGATGCAAATAAAAGATGACCTTACTCATAATATTGTAAGAAAAATACATATATATTTATATTCATGTATATTTTTAAGTTAATGAACCATTGCAAATGGCTGTACCTTGAACATAACAGAATATTATTGAGCTATTAAAAAAGACATAAGGTTTAACAGATTCATAAAAACCTGGGAAGAACTATATCACTTAATGAAGAATGAAATGAGAAGAACCAGGGAAACAATTTTTACAATAATAACAATATTAAAAAGACATACAATTTTGGAAGAGTGAAGAACACTGATCAACGTAATGACTAACTATGGTTCTAGAGGACCCATGATGAACTATGCTACTCATCTCCTAAGCTCTTAGCAGGTAAGGACTATTTCTTCAACTCCCCACAGTGACTAGAAATGTACAGCTCTATAAGTACTACAGCTAGGACCTAATTAGTACGAACAATGAATCCCTGGAACTGGTCACATCATTCAGATTTTTGGTGCACATTTTCACATGTGATCCATTGTTTCTGCTAGTCAGGATTTCACTATATGTGAGAGATAACGGATTCAAGAACCTGAATGAGACATAATTTCAGACATGGACAATGTGAGAATTTTTTTATTTGGCTATGAATATTTGTTACAAGGGTTTTTTTTTTTCTCTTAAGACAGGTGGGGAAGGAGGAGAGGAGAGAAGGAAAGAAATTCCTATTAACTAAAAAATAAAAGGAAATAAAAGGAAAATAAAAGAATGGTTGCATCTTTAATGAATGATAATCCAGTAAAGCAACAGAGAAGCTATGAAGAATATGGCCTGTAATGTATAAGCTAATATTTTGCTTCTGTGCAGGAATGGCCAAATACGTGAAAGTACTGAATGGATTTCTTATTGAGGTGAGACAGTTTACATGGAAACAGTTAAGACATATTCAAGACTTCTGGCTTTTCAATGAAATCTCCTTCTGGAACATTGTACAGTACTTGAAATAATCCAATGAGTCAAGAGAACAAAGAGCTATGTAGCCAAGATTTTATAGTTCTTTAGCAACTCCTACTGGGAGGAGAAAAATAAGAAAAAAATAGCTGAGTTCCCTGAGCCACTGTGTATTTATGAAGTTCTGCATTTAAAATAATTATTTTGAGCATCAGGAAGCATTTGAAAATTAACAAGTTATTAAACCTCACACGAACTTCGACGTGTAGGCAGTAAGCATTATCTTTGAAAGTAATTAATAATTCAACATTTATATAACCTGTATGCTAGGGAGCTCAAAGAACATTACTAACATTGTTATATTGGTACATTAATAATAGCTAGCATTTACATTAATGTGGTAGAAGATTCACATTATCTATTTAAGTCTGACTATCACTTAAGAGCTGTAACAAAGCAGAGAGTTCCAAAATTACCTACTGAATTCACAGTTTATCATTACATATGAATGAACTTTCATGTATGCATATGTCTGTGTGCAGACACAAACACTATGTATATACAATTTACATACGTGTGTATGTGTGTGTGTGTGTGTGTGTGTGTGTATCTGAATGTAATTGCTTTAGTGGCACAATAGATAAAGTGCTGGACCAGAAGTCAGGAAGACCTGAGTTCAAATTCTGACTTGGATATTTACTATTAGTGTGACCCTGAGCAAGTCACTTAACTTCTCTGTGCTTCGGCTTCTATGACCTTAAAATGAAGATAATAATAGCACCTACCTTACAGAGTTGTTGTAAAGATCAAATAAATTAACACATGTAAAAGCACTTTATAAACTTTAAAACACTATAAAAATGAAAGCTATTAGTATTATTTTGGATGATCCAAAATAAAGTTAAATAGGAAAGAATTGATACCTTATTGTTCCCTAGCCAATTTTTAATAACTATATATGAATATTTAAATATAACTATTTGCATTTGACCAGGATTTAAAGTAGATGCTGTTCATTTAGAACTTATGAGGTAAGATGAATATATGATAAAATGGTGAGATATAGTCAAATAAAGATGTGGCAAAAATGGTAAAACTTTTCTATGATGCAGTAGTTAAGAGTGTTAATTTTTATTTCTATTCCAGGAAGACAGTGCCAGAGTAAAGGGAATTAACATGGCTATATGAATGCTTACAGGAAAACAAAATAAACACACATTTATTTTGATCCCATTCATTTATAATTGGTGTGATTTAACCTGAAATGTCATGACCAGGATTGAGATGCCTTATCAAGAAAAACTTTACTGAGAAAAAATTGCTAATTAAGTTAATAGCGTGGATCAATGGACAAGAATAGGGCAGGTTTAACTTACTAAGAAGAAAAGATATCTTCAGAAGATAATACATTAATTATATGCAAATAGTGAACTAATTCAGATTGAGTCTAATTTATTCATTAAAATAAGTCTGACAGGATCTACATTTTGAACTCCTTATTAACAATTGGTCCTAGTTACTGTACATACTTGGGGTGGGGGGAGGAGTCTGTACTTATAAATTCATTCATGTAGGAAACTCCTAAGGGGCAGCTAGATGGCAGTGGATAGAACCCGGGGCCTGGAGTTGGGTTGTTGTTGTTCAGTTGTTTCAGTCATATCAGACTCTTTGTGAGCCTACTTGAGGTTTTCTTGGCAGAGATCCTGGAGTGGTTCACCATTTCCTTCTCCAGCTCATTTTACAGATGAGGAAACAGAGGCAAACAGAGTTAAGTGACTTGCCCAGGGTCACAGAGCTAGTAAATGTCTGAAGCTGGATTTGAATTCAGGTCTTCTTGACTCCAGGCTCAGTGTTATCCACTATGCACCTAGCTTCCAGGAGTCAGCATGACCTGAGTTCAAATTCAGACTCAAAAACTCATTAAAGAGGTCTTATATTTAAATACTGTTGAATACCAATGATTTATGCTTATAAGTAAGAAATACCCTGGTATATTGTATATAAAGCTGGACTCAGAGCCAATAAGCCTAGGGTTTAAGTTTGATCTCTGACATCTACTGGCCATTGTGACTCTAGGCAAATAGAAACTTCTCAGGGACGTAGGAAACTCACTATGACTTTTACTTGCAGAACAGGGAATGACTTCAGTGGGTAAAGGAAGTTTACTCACTGGGAATTCTCTATATCAATGAAATCACAGGTCCTAGCTTACAAAAGAATAACTCAGATAATATAATATTGCAGATAATTTAAAAAAAAGATTATAAATAACTCTGTTACTCATACTACCATTAAAGTTTGGAGGGTTATTATACAGTCCAAATTTTACAACAATTTTTCAGTTGAGAGAGGGGGAGAAAACAAGCATTTAAGTGCCTACTATGTGCTAAGCACTTTACAAATATATTCTCATTTGATCCTTACCACAATCCTGGAAGGCAGATACTATTATTATTCTCATTTTACAGTAGAGGAGACTGAGCTAGACAAAAGTTAAATGACTCACCCAAGGTCACAAAGCTAGAAAGTATCTAAGGTCAGATTTGAACTCAGGTCTTCCTTATTACAGGTCCAATACTCTATTCACTATACCACTTAGTTTCCTAATGATAAGAAAACTGAATTCATATGACTTTCATCACAAAAGTAATTAACCTCCTAATCATCTTTTACTTAAATTAATGTTAAAATTTGTTTGGCCTTCCTTGATGGATGCAGACTACCATTTGAGTGACAGAACACAGCCTAACATTAAACGTTAGCTACAGTTTACCCACAAAGTGAATCTTCTCCCTGAAGACATGGGAAGATTGCATCTGTACAGCACTTGACTGTGTCTAGGGAGATGTGGTTATGACCTGTAAGTCTAATCTATGATGAGCTGGAAAAGCAGTATTTAGGGACTGTAGACATCCTGTCCCCCTGAGGGATAAACTTGCCAAAGAAAAATCATGCATCCTGAAGCCATCAATTTCCCCTGGTTACAAAGGGTTAACAAATAAGTGTCCCACTTTAAAATAATATGAAAAGTCATAGGATAGCATCTAATCTAATGAATGTTTCCTGATGTTTTTCTTTCTCCATTTATTTTAATATCAAAAATGAAATTCCTAAGTTTTTACCATTTCATTTAAAAGAAACATGACTTACAATGTAATTCTGTAGAAGTAGCTCCACTGTCTCCCTTCTTCCATATTTGATAATCCATGATTTTAACTTCGACTCTGCTAAGACTAACAGTGACAACAGCCGGTACTTTAATTCCAGAAATTCCATTTTCATTAGGTGGAGTTCCGAGGCAGATGAAACAAAATTAAACCTAGAAATGAAATGTGTTCCACATAGAGAATGTTACCAATAGTAACAGAGTGAAGCTTGTTAACCTGTTAGGTGTGAGCTGTGTTTAATATGAAACATAATGCAATGATCAAACCTCCTTTTAACTCTGGCTGCTTCACTAGCCTGAGGACTGGTTTAGAAAAAGCATTCCTTTTCTAGTTCTGTGCATTTAAAGGCATAAATCATCTATTCAAATCTTTGGCTTAGTTTTATTTCCCCTGCCAACTCATCCTTCATCTGTTTCCTTTTGCAACATTACATAATGTTCCTTACAGTTCTGAAAAACAGTATTGCCTATAAAAAAAATCATTCCCTTATTTTTCAAAGGCATTTAGATTTCTTCTTTTCCATTATTGATAAATCAGTCCTAGCTGTCTTGGCACAAGGATCAGGAAACTATGGGATGCTAATGGCTCCCATGTTTATTCACCAAAAGCAAATCATGATTTGGAAAATGTGTGCTGAAAAATGCCAAGCAACAAGCAGTCACTATGCATTCTAAAAGAGAGAGTTCAATGTAAAGCCAGAGATTTTCCTTACCTTTCAGCCATGTCCTCTAACTGTTCAGGTGGAACAGGGACACCATTAACAGACCTGGTCCGGTGGATCTCATGGAATGCCTTTCTGTGGCCATCTATGTTTTTAAGTAGATCCTGGCATGGTTTTAAAAGAAAGAGAGGAAAGAAATACTGCTCACAGGAGGCTAAGAAGCATAATGTTAAGCCTGCAACGATGAGTCAATGTATTCAACAATTTGGTCCTGCTGCCACATTTGTAGGCAGCTTACTTTTGATCACAGGCTCCGGGCTTTTACAGAGGCTCAAGCACTTACATGTAAGACATTATGCTGGAGCAGAATCTAATAATTATGGCATCTTTTAAACACACATGACACTTGCACAACAATCTCATTCTGAGATTTTAAAGAAACATGACATGGTTTTGATTACTCAAAAAGAAAATTTAACTGATTCCACAAATAATTTGCTAATGTCCCCATGATTTTCCTTGGATATATCCATTTTTGAAAAACTAAAACATAAAACCAAATGCAACTAAGTTAACCCTTTAATAGTAACAGATTCTGTTACTGACTGGTCACTACCTAGTGGCAATAATCAATTCTCCCAGATCACATCTTGTAAAACTTGAAACCAAATTTATGCTCTGACTCTCAGCCCCACAATGGTATTATCTGGTGATTTTTCCTTGTCATCAGCCTCATATATATCTGGTTTGTAACACTTGCCTGAGTTTTGTCTTTGTGGTTCATCAAAGAATGAGGAAAAAGGACCAAATGATGGGGAGGGAGGGGAATGAATACATTTTACTTTTTTTTTTTTTGGAGATGCTACCCTAAGTCCCTTGCTAGGTCTATAGCTATTTGCTAACAACTGAAAGATACTATGAACTATCAAAAAGATAAATATACATGAACATGATGAGAGGCTGGCCAATGAGAGAGTCTAGTCCTAGGAGCACACATGTGAATGTTTGACAAGCCTAGCTTTGGACACATGCAATGGAGGATCCAACTCCACTTCAGAGCATGCCAAGACATTTCCATAATTATTCCCCATCTTTTAGACTAATTGGTAAGCCAGAATTTGTTTTTCATGCAAAAGACCCCCATAAAGGGGCAACTTGGTCTTTTTCCTCCCCAGCTATGTTCCAGTATGGAAGTAAGGGCTATTTTAAACCTCTGAGTTGGAGGAGAAGTGGTAGCAAAAGAAGAAGGAGCAGTAGAGGCCTCCTGCTGCCAGTTGCCCAACATTCAACCTGGGCCAACGCTGGTGAGCACATGCCTTGGCTGTTGCTTCTCTGTTATGTCTATTCTTGTATGTTCTTGAGTAAAAGTGCACTGAAGACTCCCATGACCTAGAGAGCTTCAAAACGTGGGAAGTCTATACCAGAGTTTGGTGACAGCCTGAGTGACCTACTTTAAGAATAAGCCTCTAGATGTCTAGGGGTGAGAATGCATGCTATAATTTGCCATCAGTCAAGCCCAGTGACTAGCAACCTACTTGACCCAGAACAGGAGCGGAGCAATGGTAGCCAAGAGAGAATCTCTCATCTGTTGACTGTGCTATATTCAGAAGTGAATTTGATAGGGAGAATACTGTGTAGAAACCATGTTAAGTTTCAGCTTGATCTCTCAAGGACTAAGATGGTATAGGGGAGGAGATGCCTTCAGTATAGGGAGATATGTTAGTGTTGTTCATGCTTTATCTTCTCAGTAATATCGCTTTGCCAAAGATAATTGACCATAATTAGTTAAATAATAGTGCCAATCGCTGGGTTAATCAATGGTAGAAGGGAAATAGTAATTGTAATTGGCAATCAATATTGGCGACAGCACACCAGAATGGGGACTAGCACCTATGGCATTAGAACCTCTTTCCCTAAAACCCCAAGGGGAAGATAGAATCTGGTTCTGGGAACTTGACTTGTTAGTAACAGTGGGAGTTGGAATAAAGACCTGCACAGCATATAGCTAGCTGCCAGTGAGAGTGGGAGTCTGCACAAGTACAAGTTCAGAGTTTATAAAGACTATAGGCATAAATTTATCACTAAACATAGTACGGGGGAACTTTCATGCTGAGAAAAAAATGTAAAACCTAGGAAAGAGTGAAGATTAATAATCAAGTAAAAAATTAATGATTTCCTAAAAGAAAGATCTCATATGATATATTCATATTTTTAGATCTCATTTCTTGTTCCTCCCACTCAAACCAACATGGTATAACAGAAAGATCATAGGATGATGGGCCAGCACCTTATGTTTTTGTCCAAGCTCTGCCACTAATGCAATGATTTTGAGCAAATCATTTTGTCTCTCTGGGTCTCAGTTTCCCCAATTATAAAATTACAGTATTGTAGCAGGAAACTTCTACATTCCCTTCCAATTCCAAGAATCAAAAGGGATCTGACGGTATATCATGCTATTTTTCCCCACATAAAACATCCTCATATGAAATCATATCTCTATATGTCCTAATTTGACCAATTAACAAATATTTGTAAAGTTCCCTTTCATCCGTTTAATCAATTTGTACAAATCTCCCCTTACCTGGAATGCCCTCCCTCCTCACTTCTACCTCTTGGATCCCTAATTCCCCTCAGGGTCAGCACAGGTGCCATTTCCCACAACAAATCTTTCATGATTTCATTATAGTTCTTCCACCTAAAATTACTGTGTATTTTAAAATATGTTATATATTTACTTAACTATTTACATAGTCTCCCTCTCTCCCATCTCTAGAGGGCATGGATTGTTTCATTCTCATTTTTATGTCTCCAGCATCTAGCATAAAGCCATGCAATATTAGGTGCTTAATAACTACATACTAAATTGAATGAATGTTCACAGGATCAACATTATGAATTACCTTGAGCTGAACAAAGAGTTATTAAAGCAATGTCTTAGACCTGCAACAAAAGTGCCTGGTACATAGTAGATGATTAATAAGTGCTTCTTCCCTGCTACAGTGTTAATAAGGAATATCTCTACTTCACGATGCACTAGAAGAAATCCCAACAATCCTTGTTACTCATCTCCAATAACCCTGGCTCATTTGCAAATGCTACACCTGGGGCTAAGGAATTGAAAGAGAAGCTTCCTGAAATGTTAAAAGGCTAAGTTTAAAATTGCTACCAATTATCACTGTACTGACCTTTATCTTAATCAAAACTTTGAGTCAGTACAATTGTGAGTGAATATGGATGAAATATATATGCTAACAAGAATTTGACTAACAGTTAAATAACTGAACTAAGGGTTTGACTGGCCCTATTTTCCTTTTCCTTCTCAGAAGTTTTTCTGTTGTCAAATTTTTACAAGATCCTTAAAAAGATCTACTTTTGTAGCATCAAAGTATCACTTTAAAAGGAATACTGAGGGGTCTAATGAACTTTTTTGTGTCCTTATATCATGTTTCTTATATACTGGGCTCCAAAGATTCCAAAGATGTTTTGTTTAAATTAATCTGAAAAAAATTGATATAAATTTAAATTTAAAAGAGAAACCTACCCTAGAGTTTCTGAATGAATTTCCACAGTTTGCTAACATAATGTCATGGGCATATGTTGCTTTTTTTCCCCCTGAAGGAATAACTTTGCTAACACTTCTAAAGTTTGATCCAAAGTGAACATGCTACTATGTCATTCTACAGGACCTTCATGGGAGAAACTGGGGTAGTGAAAACTTTATACAAATGATGTAATAATAAAAGAAAATGCACATAATAAGACAAATGTAAATCAATTTCTATTTTAAACAAAGAAGATAATTTTTTTTGTAAAATGAAGAATCAAGCTAACATTGGTCATCTATGATGATAACTCTTTAATCAAAAAGCATTTATTAAGCACCTAACACATTCTAGGCATTGTGCCAGGTGATGAAGATATAAAGAAAAAAAAAAGAAAGAGTTCCTGCCCACAAAGAGCTTACTTTTAATCCTTGCTTACAAATCATCATTGGTAATATGCCATGGTCTACATTCCAAATAGATTTCCTTTTCAAAAAATATTTATTTTAACATTCCTGTTTTTTAAATTTTGAGTTCTGAATTAATTCTCCTTCCCATTTCTCCCACACCTGTTGTGAAGGTAAGAAATATTATATCAAGTTTATATGCAAAATCATAAAAAAAAACATATTTCCATGTTAACCCTATCGCCAAAAAAAAAAAAAAGAAAGAAAAGAAAGTGAAAAAATTATGCTTCAATCTGCATTCAGATTCAATCAGTTCTTTCTCTGGAGGTGGGTAGAATTTTTTGTAATAAGTCCTTTGGAACTCTCTTGGATTATTGTATGGCTGAGAATAGCTAAGTCATTCACAGCCGATCATCATAAAATATTGCTTTTGCTATGTAATGTCCTCTTGAGTCTGCTCACTTCCCTCAGCATCAGTTCATATAAGTCTTTCTAGCTTTTTCTGAAACCATCCTGCTTGTCCTTTCTTGTAGCACAATAGCATTCCATAACAAACATATACTACAACCTGTTCAGCCATTCCTCAACAGACAAGCATCCTTTAATTATCAATTCTGTGCCACCATGAAAAGAGTTGCTATAAATATTTTTGTACAAATAGGTTTTTTTCCTTTTTCTTTGATCAAAACTTGTTGTACATCTTCTCCCCATTTTCCTTCTTTCTTTCTAATCTTGGCTGCATTGTTTTTGTTTGTGTAAAACCTTTTAAATTTAATGTAATACAAAATAAGGGGCTGTGGATAGAGTGCTGGGCCTGAAGTCAGGAAAGCTCATCTTCCTGAGCTCAAATCTGGGCCTCAGATACTTATTGGCTTTGTGACTCTGAGCAAGTCACTTAACCCTGTTTGCCTCAGTTTTTTTACCTGTAAAATGAGCTAGCGGACACGGCAAACCACTCCAGAACACCCCAAATGGAGTCACAAAGAGTCAGACACAACTGAAAAATGAATGAACAATCAAAATTAACCATTTTACATCCCATGATCTTCTCTATCTCTTATTTGGTCATAAATTCTTCTGCTTACCCATAGATCCAACAGGTAAAATTTTCCATGCTCCCTTAATTTGCTTAATGATATCACCCTCTATATCTTAAATCATGTACCCATTTTGACTTTATCTTGGGTGTGAAATGTTGATCCGTATCTAGTTTCA